AGCTCTACCAATGTCAGGGAAGAATTGATTTTTCAGCAAGCAAGATTTCTTAGTGCAAATACTGTAACATGGTATATAGTTTAGTAACATTCCCAAGAACAAGTGGTGGTGGGATCAGAGTTGTTTTAAACCTTTCTCCAGCTACAAGCCTAGCATTGAAAAGGCTACTTAACCCATCTTGCTCTTCTGGTTGTTGTTGTTAGCTGCAAAGTAGTGTCCGACCCATCGCAACCCCATGGACAGTGTTCTTCCAGGCATCAAAACATCTCCACCAAAGGACCTCCCAATCTGAACCTGAATGTATCTCATGAAATACTTAGATAATTGCCATGTTAGGAAGTTATTTATAACATTCAGTTAGAATCTTTGTTTCTCTATCAGAAGACTACTAGCCTACCTGCTCCAACCATGTTTATCTTATTTTCTGTTCCTCCCCAAAAGAATTTGGTAGAGGTTGAGGGAACAACATATAAGAGGTGTTGTGGGAAGAAAGGAGGATTTGTTTATTTGTTGGAAGAAGTTCAGGAAACACAGAACCAGGAATTGTGAATTGTATCTACATAGTGGCCTCATTACTGTGCCATATTTTTGAACATCGCTGAACAAATTTTTGCTAGTCCTTCCAATCCATTTAAATCTCAAAAAATTATTTGCATGGCGTAATGCACTACATAGCCCCGAGGGGAATACTGTAGTTAAATCAGTTCAATGCTGCCCCTTTTGCAAAGACAAATGAGTATCATTGGATACAATCCACTATTCATTTGCAAGTTGTTATAAGTAAGTGAATACACAATGCAATGGAAATACATCTCTCTGTGAGAGCTTAAGTAATAATAGTAAAGTTGGAAGGGACCTTGGAGGTCATCTAGTCCAACCCCCTGCTCGGGCAGGAAACCCTACACCATTTCGGACAAATGGCTGTCCAGTCTCTTCTTAAAAACTTCCAGTGTTGGAGCATTTACTGCTTCTGGAGGCAAGCTGTTCCACTGATTAATTGTTCTCACTGTCAGGAAGTTTCTCCTTAGTTCTAGGTTGCTTCTCTCCTTGATTAGTTTCCACCCGTTGCTTCTTGTCCTGCCTTCAGGTGCTTTGGAAAATAGCTTAATTCCCTCTTCTTTATGGCAGCCCCTGAGATATTGGAATACTGCTATCATGTCCCCCCTTGTCCTTCTCTTCGTTAAACTAGACATACCCAATTCTCGCAACCGTTCCTTATATGTTTTAGCCTCCAGTCCCCTAATCATCTTTGTTGCTCTTCTCTGTACTCTTTCTAGAGTCTCAACATCTTTTTTACATCGTGGTGACCAAAACTGGATGCAGTATTCCAAGTGTGGCCTTACCAAGGCATTGAAGAGTGGTATTAATACTTCGCGTGATCTTGATTCTATCCCTCTGTTAATGCAGCCTAGTACTGTGTTGGCCTTTTTGGCAGCTGCCGCACACTGCTGGCTCATATTTAACTGATTGTCTACTAGGACTCCGAGGTCCCTCTCACAGTTACTACTATTGAGCATGGTGCCACCTATGCTGTACTTGTGCATTTGGTTTTTCTTGCCTAAATGTAGAACCTTGCTTTTTTCACCATTGAATTTCATTTTGTTAGTTAGTGCCCAGTGTTCAAGTCTGTCCAGATCCTTCTGTATCTGAAGCCTGTCTTCTGGAGTGTTGGCTATTCCTGCCAGCTTGGTGTCATCTGCAAATTTGATGAGTTCCCCATCTATCCCTTCATCCAAATCGTTGATGAAGATGTTGAAGAGTACTGGGCCCAGAACAGAGCCCTGGGGCACCCCACTACACACTTCCCTCCATATAGATGCAGTTCCATTGAGGACCACTCGCTGAGTACGGCCGGTCAGCCAGCTACGGATCCATCTGGTGGTGGTTCTGTCTACCCCACATTTTTCTATCTTGTCAAGTAGTAGGTTGTGATCTACTTTATCAAATGCCTTACTGAAGTCCAAGTAAATTATGTCCACAGCATTCCTCTGATCCACTAATTTTGTCACTTGGTCAAAGAATGCAATAAGATTTGTCTGGCATGATCTATTTTTGACAAACCCATGTTGGCTTTTAGTAATGACTTTGTTTGCCTCTAGGTGTTCGTTGATTCGTTGTTTGATTATCTTTTCCAGGATCTTCCCAGGTATTGAGGTCAGGCTGATAGGTCTGTAATTTCCTGGATCCATTTTTTTTCCTTTTTTGAGGATGGGAACTACATCAGCTCTTTTCCAGTCCTCTGGTAGTTCCCCTGTGTTCCAGGATCTTTGAAAAATATAGTTCAGTGGCTCCGATATCACATCTGCCAGTTCCTTGAGAACTCTGGGGTGTAATCCATCTGGTCCTGGCGATTTGAACTCATCTAGGCTGGACAGGTGCTCCCTAACCATTTTCTTGCCTATCTTAACTTGTGTTTCTGTTTTGTTTTTTATGGCACTATTTTTGATAGGTTGGTCTGTTTTTTCCCTTTGTGTAAAGACAGATGCAAAAAATGAGTTAAATAGTTCTGCTTTCTCCCTGTTGCTTGTCACCTTCTTGCCACTTCCACCCACTAATGGACCAATCATTTCCTTCACTTTTTTCTTGTTTTTTACATGTTGAAAGAAGCTTTTTTTGTTATTTTTGACTTTGGTCGCAAGCCTTAGTTCATTTTGAGCCTTGGCTTTCTTCACTTCATCTTTGCAGGCTCGGGCTATTTGCTGATATTCTGACTTAGTTATGTTCCCCTCTTTCCACTTTCTGTACTTGTCCTTTTTATCTTTCAATTTGTCAGAGAGTTCTTTATGCAGCCATGCTGGTTTCTTTTGAGAGCTGTTATTTTTCCTCTTTGTTGGTATTGTGCTAGACTGTGCTTTTATTATCTCATTTTTCAAAATTTCCCAAGCTTCTTGAGTTGTTTTCCCCTTGAGGATTCTCATCCATGGAATCCTTCCCAAGCCCTCTCTAAGTTTATTGAAATTAGCTCTCTTGAAGTCCAAGACTCTAGTTTGACTGTGTTCTATTGGTTGTGCTTCTATAATGTTGAATTCTAATATTGCATGATCACTTCCTCCCAGGGTTCCTATGGCTTCAACACCGTCTATCATTTCATCTCTGTTAGTGAGAATTAGATCCAAAATGGCTAATCCCCTAGTTCCCTTCTCTACTTTTTGGGAGACAAAGTTGTCTGCTAGGTTTGCCAGGAACCTGTTTGATCTTCCACTTGTTGCGGAGTTTGTCTCCCAGTTGATGTCAGGGTAGTTAAAGTCCCCCATTACTATTGTGGTGTGCTTCCTACATACCTTAGTTAGCTGACTAGCAAAAAGTTCATCTATTTCCTCTGTTTGGTTGGGTGGTCTGTAGTATACGCCTATGGCAATGTCATTTCCCCCCCCTTTTATATTGAGTCAGACATGTCAATCTCGCGACATCATGTGACGTCGCGCAACGTATCAGGACTGTTTTGTCATTGCCGGCAATGGGATGGGCGTGGCTTCCATGTGACGCATCTGGCCTAAGGGCCGGCAGTTTGACACCCCGGCTTAAGTGAAAGTGAACTTCATGTACAATTTTGATAGATTCCAGATATTCTTTCTGCAAAACCCCTGGCCTTGAAGAGCTTCCAACGCTAATGCATTATATACAATCATCTAAAGCAGAGGTGTAAAACTGCCGGCCCACGGGCCGGTTTTATCATACCGGAGCCGCGCCCACCCCATTGCTGGCAATGGCGAAAAAGCTCTGATATGTTGCGTGACGTCATGTGACGTTGTGAGTTTGACATGTCTGATCTTAAGCAGGGTGTCAAACTTGCAACGTCACCTGAAGTGTTGGACCGTATCGTGACTTTTTTTCCACTGCCGGCAGTGGGGTGGGCCAGCAGTTTGACACTCGTGTAATGGTTCATAAGTTCAATTCTTAGTAGAGGGTTTGGACCCCATGGAATAACATCTGGCTATAGAGCTGGTCCTTGACTTGGGATCACAATTGGGACCAGAATTTCCATGGCTAAGCAAGATAGCTATCAAGTGAGTCATGCCCAATTTTAGGACCTAATCACCATGGTTATTAAGTGAATTGCTGCAGTTGTTAAGTGAGCCATGCAGTTGCTACTCAATTTGGCTTCCCCCATTGACTTTGCTTGTCGAAAGCCGGCTGGTAAGATTACAAATGGTGCTGACGTGATCTCAGGTGCTGCAACCACTGTAAATACACGCTAGCTGTCAAGTACCCAAATTTTGATCAGGTGACCATGGGGATGCTACAATGGTCATAAATGTGAGGACCGGTCATAAGTCATTTTTTTCAATATCATTGTAACTTCATATGGTCACTGAACAAATGGTTGCAAGCTGAGGACTACCTGTGCACAAAAGATGGCTAAGGGAATCCTCACTCTACAACATTTTTTTCTTTATTCGAAGTTTTGTAACTAGTTAGGACAAGATGGATAGATTTTAATTATTGTTTACACCCTAGTCCAGTGATGGAGAACCTTTTAGAGACCGAGTGCCCAAACTGCAACCCAAAACCCACTTATGCATCGTCGGGTGCCAGGTAGGTGTAGCCCATTGGCTGGGTGTGGCCAATTGGGTGTATATGGCCCATTGGCTGGGCATGGCTACGGTGATAACGGCAGACTGGGTGGGACTAAAAAGTTAGATCAATCAATTCCAATTTTGTAAGATCTTTTTTTTCCCCATGACAAGTTGAAATTGACTGATTGAACCTTTTTTTTGCACATGGCGGCGGAGGCCTAAAGTGAAAAGGTTTTATAAAACCCAGCTGAAGGCCTAGGACTGGGGCGATGGCGCGCGTGCCCACAGAGAGGGCTCTGAGTGCCGCCTCTGGCACCCGTGCCATAGGTTCACCTCCACTGCTCTAGTCAACAATACTGTTGGCAATAAATATTTGGCTACAATGATTTACTGCCTTTTGTGTAGGCAAGGCGGATGGAGGAAAGCGATAGATGATATTCATAAATAATGCTCATGGATTAAAATTAAATCTATTCACTAATATTAACTGTTTCTTAATGACTTTATTTAATTGCCATTCCAGCATCCAATTCAAAGACATTTATTTTATTTATACAGACATCATAACCATAATTCCATCAAAATAAAAATTAACCATATGAAACCTTATAAAAATGAAACATAGCAGCAAATAACGTGATAAATGCATGGCAAGATTACACATCTATTGACAGAATATAGAACACATAAGGTTAACAATAATTTTTAAATTGTTTTAGCATCCCTTGAATATTTCTTGGAGAAAGCTAAATCAAAAGCAGCAGTGATTTATAGTGGAATTCAAGTTTTAACTGATATTATGGCAATACCCATTGAACTGATACCTAGAAATATACTGTAGACAATACTGGTGGACTAATTTTTATGAAATTATTATTATAGGTAAAATAAAGTATTACTTCACATAACATATAGTTTATATTATTTATATCCACAAGGCACTGTGGATAACATAACATATAGTTTCACATAACATATAGTTTATATTATTTATATCCACCAAGACATGAAGTTGCCCTAGGAGGAAAGTTCTCAGATTAAGACAGGAGAAATCTACCAATCTTAATAACAATCCAGAACTTCTTGGAAAATATTAGGGAGCAGCAAAGAGGATGGGCTACACTATTGTCCTTTTTCTGAATGTTAAGAGCTTCTTGTTAGTTACCCTGGAAAACAAGATGCTAAATTGCTGGACTTTGCTTCAATTCAGCAGGATTTATTTTTCATTAAACAGGAATCACATGACAGAACCATAAGTTCAAGTGCTCCAGCATTGCAGGCTTCTACTGAGTCATAATAAGGAAGATGTGGAAATTTCCAATATCTGCACCATCATAATTCTGTCCAGTCATTCAGACCTAGGTTCTTGGACCCAAATAAATATTGCAGTAGATAGAAAATTAATTCCTGAGGATTTTATTCTGAATCTTAACTGATTTCACAAAATAATGTCTGTGGAGATTTTCAGTCATCCAGGCCATGATTGTCCCAAAGGTGTTTTTTTCAAAAGGGAACTGGACTTTCTTATTTTTGCTTGAAGATGTTTCACTTCTCATCCAAGAAGCTTCTTCAGTTCTGTTCTGAAGAAGCTTCTTAGATGAGAAATGAAACATCTTCAAGCAAAAACAAAGTCCAGTTGCCTTTTGAAAAAGAACCTTAGGGTTCACAAAATAATGCTAAAATTGTGATACGTGATATTTAGTATTTCTCTGGATTTTATGTAAATTTTATGTAAAATTTGCATAATAATATGCAGGTAGTCCTCATTTAGCAACCACATTTGGACTGGCAACTCAGTCATTAAGCGAAGAGGTCGCTAAATAAACCTGTGACTGTGCTTTTGATCTTACTTCTGCTTTCCTTTCTTTACAGACCCTGTGAAAGTCGTAAGTGTGAGGATTGGTTATAAAGTTACGGTTTCGTCACTGTCATAACTGCAAATAGTCACTAAATTAGGCAGCCGATAAACAAAAACCACCTGTATGTTTCAATGAACATATTTTGGCTTTAAACCAGAGTTTTTATTTTCTCAGTGTCATGGAAGCCTCCTAAACAGCATTAAACTTAGAAAATTCCCAAAGGTGCCTGAATAGAAACTGATGACTTCCAAACACTTCTGGTTGGTCCTTAAATGCTCTGAAGCAATTTTGAGTGAGGGAATAAATACACCTGCAATGGAAAGCCAAGTAGGAAGAAAACTCCTGCTTTTTTTGACTGCAAGAGAATTTCATTTTAAAGGAAAACTTTATACAATTTGTTTTTTAAATCTGCAAATCGATGCTGAAAATCAGCATTGGAAGAAGGAAAAGTAATGTAACAGATGTTACAGCCCTATGTAACACCTAGAAATGCCTCTTGGTAACCGTATGCTTGTATATATTAATTTCGTAATTTTCCCTTATTTTCAAAAAAACTTGCCATTGTGACATAGGTTTCTTCTTTATTTAATATCCTGATCTCCCCATTGGAATAAGTGTGGTCACAAGACCGTGTCTTTAATTCAGGGAAAATGTGATCCATTGAGACACTGGAATATTTACACAGATCATTGTTGTTCCAGCCATGTTGGTCAACAATTCTACCCTCATTATATAGATTGATGCTGCGGACTGAACCATCAGCAGAGGTGTTCTCACTTCCACTATACAGCTTGTTCTTCGTCTCCGTGGACAACATTCCTTCATATGCCAGTGGCAGCTTCAACCATTCATGATGAATATGGTTCAAGTTGCCTTTTTGTTCCACCAAATTCTCAATCTCTGCCTCCAGGTTACATGATGGTGGGTGAAGGTGGGCAACTTCTGATTTAGCCTGAATGCTGTCCACCTTATGGATGTGAGCATATCCCAAACTCTCAGGATTAAAGAAACTGGTGTCTGAATTCTATATAGGTAAGAAGATATTTATCAGGGAATTAGTTCAATACATTTCCAAAGTTGTAAAGACAATACATGAATTCATTAAAAAAAATGCACAGGTAGCCTGTATTTCATTTTATGTTGAGTAGCAAGGCTACTTTTTCCTGAAGTAAAAGTACTAACCTTTCTTAGTTTGTTGCAGAATTTATCCAGAGTTTTTTGATGGTTAGGGATGGTGGGCCAAACAATTGCTTTGATCCTGAAGACGATAAAAGTTGTGTTTTTTAGGAACAATCTTTCAACATGAATGAATCTTATATGAATTAGAATTGTAATTTTTTTTTAAAAAAATTACCTGTTTTTCCAGACTGTTGGGACCAGAAGAATTACAACCAAAAGTACAAAGAAAGTTGCAATGGACACTGTTATCAGGACAACTTTGTCTGAAGAAAGAAATCTTAGTTTTAAAAATAGATATAGTAATAGATTCTTCACTGGGAATCAAAGCATGACATTTACATTATATGAGACACCCATTAATTAACTTCCAGAAATTGTTTCCTGCCTCAACAGAGCTCTGATTCTGGGTATCTTCTATTCTGTATCATTAGCCTAGCTTCTGACCATCTAGCTTATGATATATGGTCACACCAGATGTTTACCACACTAATTATGATTCCAGGTCTCCTCTTAACAATGCAAAGCCATATATTTGTCCACCATCTGACCATTGCCCACTCATAATCAAACAAAACCTACAAAAAAAAGGTTGGAACTATATTCTTTAGAAAGAAAAAAAATCTGCAGAAATAATTCTTCCAGTCTTCTAAATTCTTAAAAGACATTGTATAAAAGAGGAACAAAGTTTTGTTCTTCAGTATTATAGAAGAAAAGGCAAGGCTTAATCGGACTAAGCAACCAGACAATAAATTTTAATTAAACATTTTTTGAAAATTCTTGCCTGAGTAATTCAGCAATGGAATGCATTAAGTTGGTGATTTTGCCTCCACCAAAGTTCCGGCAGCAGAAGCTGATGATGTCCAAGCTCCAATCATTCTGATTATCAGGGATTCTTGGATCCCATGGTCTCATGAAATTCTTATGGTTCTGTGGGTGAGACCTCTGCCTCCTGATTCTTGTTTGCTTTTCTTCCAATTCATCTAGAACAGGGGTAGGCAACCTTGGCTCTTTTATGACTTATGGACTTCAACTCCCAGAATTCCTGAGCCAGCCATGCTGGCTCAGGAATTCTGGGAGTTGGTCCACAAGTCATAAAAGAGCCAAGGTTGCCTACCCTTGACCTAGAACTAAATGTCCTGCTTGTGACCAGCCTCATCTGCTTCTCTATGGGTACTAAAAAAAATATCCTAAATTGTCAACATAGTACAATTACTCTATTACAGTACACATTCTAGAAATAAGACATGACAGTTTTCCTGCCAAAAATTCTTTCCCATAGCTATTTGTATCTTTCAAAAGTACATGATGAAAGGAATATTAATAATTTAACATCATATCTGATAGGGCCTGGAATTTGGTCATGGTATAGCAGCTACTATTGTCAATTATTAACTGATATTGATAGTAGTTATAACAATGGCATGTTACATTCAGAAAACTTTGTTGATGTATAAAGTTTTTGACCCTAATCCAAGTACAGGTAGTCTTCAACTTACGACCAAAATTTATATTGCTAAGTCAGAAATTTGTGCGTTTTGCCCTGTTTTATGACTTTTCTTGCCACGTTTGTTAAGCGAATCACTGCAGTTTTTAAATTAGTAGCACAGTTGTTAGGTGAATCTGGTTTCCCCATTGACTTTGCTTGTCAGAAGGTTGCAAAAGGGGATCATACGATCCTGAGACTCTGCAACCGTCATAAATGTGAGTCAGTTTTTAAGCATCCAAATGTAAATCACATGACCATGGGGATATTGCAATGGTCATAAGTGTGAAAAATGGTCACATTTTTTTCAGTGCCGTCGTAATTTTGAACAGTCACTAAGTGAACAGTTGTGAGTCGAGGACTACCTGCATTGTTTTTCTTCCATTCAATTGCATCTGATTCTCAGAGAATGCCTGGACAAGTTCCTGGTGAGGACCACTTATGCCAGTGGTGGCGAACCTATGGCACGCATGCCAGAGGGGGGCACTCAGAGCCCTCTCTGTGAGCACATGTGCCTCGCTCTTTGGCTAAGTTTTCGCAGGAAAAAATCCATTTCTCAAGCCCCACCCTAGCCAAAACAAGCCTCCGGAGCAAGCAAGCCTCGTTCTTCTTAAGAGCAATCCTGTGAAAACAAGGTCCAAAGTCACCCAGTGAGTTGCATGAACAAACAGGAACCTGAGGCAGAGCTTCCTGGTCAAGGTTCAACGGGTTTACCACCGCACCTGGTTTTAAACATTTCCAATATTCTTGATTTCCAATAAGAATACAATAAAAATCTGGACTCACTTATTCCACTTGATGGTTTGTCTGAGGTACTGAGATGTTGGGAACTTCTGGCTGAAGTTTTGAAATATTGAGATGAGCTCCATTCACTCCAGTGGCCTTTGAAATAATGTCCGTTGGGCCTTGACCGAACCTTCATCTCATACGTTACTTCTGACTTAAATTCCTTCCCCAGAAGTTTTAATTTAAGCAAATTAAATTCTTTGGTCTAAAACAGGAATAAATTTGAGAATTAAAGTTAGACAAAGATATTCGAAGATCCACGTCAATACGTTCATTTATTTCTACATAGTGAAATCTTTTTTACCTCAAAGTGTTCTTCAAACTCTGATGTGAATATGACAACATCCTACATTGGCATCCGAAACAGAGCAGATTATTTTGTATCAAGAAAATATGCCAAATTGTTCACGGAAAATGATCTGATTGGTGCATCAGAATGTTTGGCTGCATTCATTTGCCACAGATGAAGAAGCTTGGAAATGACTTCTTTATTCCATTGTTCATAGTCTATTCTCCAGCAAAATGTTGCAGCCCTGACAGACCCATGTCCCCATTTAAAAGATGTTCCTATCTCTGGCTAATTTGGACAGAGATGGGAAGAATATCTAACTGAAATTCTGAAGAGCCAATAAAAGTGTGTGTGTGTGTATGTATATGTGTATATGTATGTGTGTGTGTATAATAATAATAATAATAACAACAACAACAACAACAACAACAACAACAGTAAATGCTGCCTATGCAAAGAAGCTGAAGAAACAGTGGACCACTTGGTAAGCTGTTGCAAGAAGATTGCACAGACTGACTACAAGCAGCGGCATGACAAAGTAGCAACAATGGTACATTGGAAGATCTGCAAAAAATATCATTTGCCTGTAAGCAAAAAATGGTGGGATCATAAAATAGAGAAAGTCATAGAAAATAATAAAATTAAACTGCTCTGGGACTTCAGAATTCAAACAGACAAGCACCTGCAACATAACACCCCAGACTTAACAATTGTCGATAAGAAAGACAAAAAAGTCTGGATAGTGGACGTGGCAGTGCCTGGAGACCGCAGAATAGAAGAGAAAGAACAGGAGAAGATAACAAAATACAAAGACCTACAAATAGAAATAGAAAGACTGTGGCAAAAGCAAGCAAGGGTAGTACCAATAGTAATAAGCTCCTTGGGTGCAATCCAAAAACAACTAGAGCACCACTTGAACACCATTGGCATTGACAAATTCGCCATTAGTCAATTGCAAAAGGCGGCCTTACTAGGAACTGCTTCCATCCTACGACTATATCTGTAATACCATCAAACATCCACATCTGCCTATCCCAGGTCCTGGGTAAGGACTCGATAGGTAGACAAAATGCCAAATCCAGTCTGAACATCTGGCTGACTGCGATGATCCATAATAATAATAATAATAATAAAGTTGGAAGGGACTTGAAGGTCATCAATTCCAACCCCCTGCTCAGGCAGGAAACCCTATACCATTTCAGACAAATGGCTGTCCAGTCTCTTCTTAAAAAATTCCAGTGTTGGCGCATTCACTGCTTCTGGAAACAGGTTGTTCCATTGGTTAATTGTTTAACTGTCAGGAAGTTTCTTCTTAGTTCTAGGTTGCTTCTCTCCTTGATCAGATATATACATACACACATGAATTTATATGGCCGCTCACTCATTCTTAATCCCTCAGAGAGCTAATAGGCTCTGAAGAGCCAATAAAGTCTGTTTGTTTGTTTGTTTATTTAAAATTATATGGCCGCCCACTCATTCTCAGTGACTCAGAGAGCTAATATCTATAGAGATTCTCAGTCATCCAGGTATGGTTGTCCTAAAGGTGCTTTTTTCATGAGGCAACTGGACTTTCTTGTGTTTCTTTTGAAGACGTTTTGCTTCTCATGCAAGAATCTTCTTCAGCTCTGACTAGATAGTGGAAGAGCTAATACATGTAGTCCTTGAGTTACAATTGAAATTGAGCCCAGAATTAGGGGCTCAATTATGGTCATTAAAATCATTAAGCCCCCCCAGTTTTACAAAATACTTTGCAGTGGATGTTAAGTGAATGCAGCAGTCATTAAATGAATCCATTTTATCCACTGGGTGGTTTTTGTTAGAAAGCAGAAATAAATGCTTGAAACCAGCAAAAAATGATGGAAATCATAGTCACTTGACCACGGGTTGCTGCAAATGACTTAAAAGTGAGCTGGTTCCCCAGCACCCAAATTTTGATCAGCGGACAAGTTACAGATGTTGCTACCTTGAAATCAGGTCACAAGTACCTTTGGGATGGTGCATCATAACTTTAAATGGATGCTAAGTGATTGGTCATAAGTCAAGGACTATTTGTATTGAGTTTGTGAATAAGTCTGATGTGACAAAAGTAGCTCCCTCTGCTGTAGCCTTATAAACAGGAAATGGAAGTTTAATAAATTGTACAGACATATCCAAAGGTATATCCCATGCCTCCTCTGAATTGCATTATGTGAGAATTACAGATAGTCCTCTACTTACAACAGTTTGTTTGGTGACCATTCAAAGTCACAGTGGCACTGAAAAAAGTGACTTATGACTGTTTTCACTCTTGCCATTGTTGCAGCATCCCCGTGGGCACATGATCAAAATTCAGTTCTGGTTCGAATAGAATAGAATAGAATAGAATAGAATAGAATAGAATAGAATAGAATAGAATAGAATAGAATAACAGAGTTGGAAGGGCCCTTTGAGGTCTTCTAGTCCAACCCCTTGTTCAGGCAGGAAACCCTGTACCATTTCAGACAATTGGCTGTCCAGTTTCTTCTTAAAAACTTCCAGTGTTGGAGCATTCACAATTTCTGGAGACAAGTGATTCCACTGATTAATTGTTCTCACTGTCAGGAAAGTTCTAGGTTGCTTCTTGCTTTGTTTAGTTTCCATCTGTTGCTTCTTGTCCTGCCTTCAGGCGCTTTGGAAAATAGTTTGACTCCCTCTTCTTTGTGGCAGCCCCTGAGATATTGGAACACTGCTATCATGTCCCCCCTCGTCCTTCTCTTCGTTAAACTGGACATACCCAATTCCAGCAACCGTTCCTTATATGTTTTAGCCTCCAGTCTCCTAATCATCTTTGTGGCTCTTCTCTGCACTCTTTCTAGAGTCTCAACATCTTTTTTACGTTGTGGTGACCAAAACTGGATGCAATATTCCAGATGTGGCCTTACCTATATTTATGACAGTTGCAGTGTCCCGGGGTCATGCAATTACCTTTTTCAACCTTCTAACAAACAGAGTCAGCAGGGAAGCCAAATTCACGTAACAACCTTATTACTAACTTAACAACTGCAGTGATTCATTTAACAACCATGGCAATAAAAGTCATAAAATGGGGCAAAACTCACTTAACAAATGTCTCACTTAACAACAGAAATTTTGGGTTCGATTGTGGTCATAAGTAGAGGTCTACCTGTACAAACATCTGTAATACACATCTAGGACTGGATTATACAAGATATTCACACTTTATAATCATAATATGCAAACTTTTGAATTAAAAGCAGAAGGGGACCTATTAGTGGAAATAGTCTGGATCTGTATTACTCTAACACCATATCCTGCTAGAGGCAGAATTTAAGCTAAGCAGATGCTAAATCAGAAAGTCTGGGTCAAATCAAACGCATTGCCTGAACAATGTTGGTAAGCTGAATTACAAATCTGTTTTGTTGAAATCAAGCTTGGTTTGCATTAGAAACTAACAGAAACATTTCTGAGGGGAAAACATTTGATCAGAAAACAGAATGTTTCTTGTTAAGCTCTGCATGTACCCAGCCAGTTAATTATTTTCATCATGATCTACTAGGGGTGAAATTGGATTTGGCTGCAAGGGGAATTTCTAATGTTAACAAGGAATAATATCTTTGAAGATTGATATTAGCAAGTGGTAACATTCAAATGGGGCTGCCATAAAGAAGAGGGAATCAAGCTATTCTCCAAAGCACCTGAAGGCAGGACAAGAAGCAACGGGTGGAAACTAATCAAAGAGAGAAGCAACCTAGAACTAAGGAGAAACTTCCTGACAGTGAGAACAATTAATCAGTGGAACAGCCTGCCTCCAGAAGCAGTGAATGCTCTAACACTGGAAGTTTTTAAGAAGAGACTGGACAGCCATTTGTCCAAAATGGTGTAGGGTTTCCTGCCTGAGCAGGGGGTTGGACTAGATGACCTCCAAGATCCCTTCCAACTTTACTACTATTATTATTATTAAATATTGATTTCCACTGGCTTTTGAAAATAAAAGTCTAGCATACACTCCACATTAAAAGTTAAAAATAACTATTGGCTTTTTATTCATTCTAAACTTTATTCACTCTAAACTTTATAAATTTAGGTACAGGTTAAAAAAAAATTAACACAGTCTCCCATAACATGCACAACATCATACACCAAACATCCCTTGTTTGCAGGCATACAACTGAAAGCAAGTAGAAAATGCAAAACTGCTCATTCTTACTCACAGTCCAGTTAGTATTTTCTTGACGGTAGGCTAACTGATGTATTAATTTGTCTTGAAGGAATGTGTTTGCTATATGTGGTGTTGAGAATTGAACAAGATACTCATTTGCTTTTTCCTGGTAGGTGATATTTAGACCAAAAGGTGCTTCAGGTTTAACTGCAAAAGACAAGGTAAAGAGAAAGATAAACAAAACACACAGACAAACGCACACAAAATCACACGCCACCTGCACAATTCTTAAATTTCTGCTGTTTAAACACATTGTGAACCCAAATTCAAATGAGTCCATGCAATACTGATTAAAAACTGTTCGTTTAGTAACTATTTGAAGTCATAACACTGAAAAAAATGACTTCTGACTGGTCCACACACTAATGACTGTCACAGTGTCCTCACAGTCGTGTGATCAAAATTCAGGCGCTTGGCAACTGGCAGGTATTTGCAATGGTTGCGCTGTCTCAGGGTCCGGTGATTGTCATTTGCTGCCTTTTCAGGGGGATTCTGACTAGCAAAGTCTATGCGGAAAGCCAGATTCACTTAAAGACCACACGAGTCACCTAACGATTGCAGTGATTCGCTTAACAACCGTGGCAAAAGAGATTGCAAATTCAAGCATGACTCATTCAAGCATGACTCATAGAAATAATTTATTTTAATAATTGTTTGTTTGAGTTGGATGCTGAGCCTAGAGGTGACAACGTTTGAGTAAAGGAGGAGAGGTCAAAATATTAACTACCCCTGCTCAAATAAATCATCCACATTTATGTACAGGTAGTTCTCGATTTACAACCACAATTGGGACCAGAATTTCCATTGCTAAGCAATGTAGTTGTTAAATGAATAGAATAGAGCAGGAAGGGACCTTGGAGGTCATCTAGTCCAACCCCCCCTGCTCAGGCAGTAAATCCTATACCATTTCAGACAAATGGCTGTCCAGTCTCTTCTTAAAAATTTCCAGTGTTGGAGAATCTGGAGGCAGGTGGTTCCACTGGTTAATTGTTCTCACTGTCAGGAAATTTCTCCTTAGTTCTAGGTGAAATTTAACAACTGCATTGCTTAGCAATGGAAATTCTGGTCCCAATTGTGGTTGCTTTGAACTATGTACAATCTTCCATTTGTGCAAACAGATCCCTTTCCATAATTTGGATCAACACCATAACATTCTCCTGGTAGGAGAATTCTCATCTTTTTCTTCCAAATTTGGAAATGGAAGAACATAATTGGCCATGAGTTTTTGGACTCTGTCTTGATATAACTAAACTCCATGTAACTCCAGGTCTATGACAATTCACCACGGACAACTCACCGGGCCCTTGGCAAGCTGTCCCATTGCTGGTTGGCTGTGATGAGTTGGCCATGGAAAGTTGGCCGCAGCAAGTTGTCTGTGGCAAGTTGTCCCATTCCCTGACACTCCTATTTTGAACAGATTCAAAAATGAACCCAAATGGACCCCACACTATACATTTGCTTACCGATATGAACAGCTTTCAATTCCTGGCAATTTTTGCAAGGATTGATCGATGTTATTGTCAAGCAAACTTTCAAAGAACTGATAAGATCGATGCTGTATATAGAACAATTGCTGACAAGGGGATTTTTCATGAAGCAGGACCGGGGTTGAGTCCCATACCTGTGACAAAATATGGTGTAGCAATGACATTTTGGAAAACTGAAAACATAAAATAATTGATCAGAGAGCTAGTGAATTTGTTAGAATTTACACTGTAGTTTGAAAACTGCTATAGAGTGTGATGGTTAGGAAACTGTATACAATAGCTATCCTACACTTTTCCTGATTCACTATATTCCAAACTAGCTGGACATTAAATTCTCTTGATGGAAAAAGATTCTTCTGATGCCTTCTAATTGCTCCAATTGTCTTGTGACCAAATATTATATCTGATGAAACAATCTTCACTTTCTACATTTCAGTATTGTCAGGTGTTTTACAAATGAAGTTATGTTATATATCTGTAGTTAAAAGAGAAATGCTTTGAATTATGTTGTTCACATATGCCAACTCCCCAAATGAACAATAAGCATATTCTTGGACTAGATTTATCAGCATTACTAGCCTTTTCTGATTCATTTTTAATGTTTCTCCATTTTTATGGCAAAGTCCATCTTCCTATATCAAAACTTTGTACTCCTGGAGAGCCAGGAAATATTGTACACTTAATCAGATAATTAAGGTAAAAGTAAAGGCCAACTTAATAATCAGCCCCATTTGGCTACGTAAAACTTTCCTGTATTTTCTCAGTAATGTTAACATCCTTTGCTAAAGTATCTCAAAGTCTACCCCTTTTGTTTCTCAAAATGATCAAGATCACGAGGCTAAGAAGGTTATAGATATAGTATAATCTGAGTATTATGGTCCAAGATAGGATTTCTTCAGCTGCAAGCTAAGGCCACTTGGGAATCTGTGGATAGATTTTAGGAGGTCCATGAAGTTGGATGTAAAAAAGATTACAACTTTATTTTCACTAACCTCTAACTGAAATTAAGCTTTTCATTCAGTAATGAATGCAGGCAACAGGTTAATTTATGAACTCTAGATTCCAAAAACATTTAAGAAAAGTATTTATACATTGCAAAATCCAAACCAGAATACATTTGGTTCTGTGCATTGCTTCCCCCAAACACATATAATTGATCATGGTTGAGATAGCTTGCATTTCAAAAGTGCTTTCGCATTTAAAAATTCATTCAAGGCATTAAACCTATAATTCTAGAGCTCTAGAATTCATTGTTTGATCACCGTGAAGTCTTTTTTTAATCTATGTATTTTCTTTTATTCATTTAAATACATTTTTCTGAGAAGTAATCTATAGGTTTCACTAGACTCTAAAGACAGGTTAAGTTAATATTAGTTAAGCACTAACCCACAGGCCAAATAAGTAACTCCAACCAATTTCTGAAGCTCCAGGACCCCGCCAAGGTCGCACCCCCCAAAATTCTGAAGCCATTTTTTTTTCATTGTATCAATCTTCTAGCACCCAAATAATGATGTTTGAATGCATTAGAAAAGTTCTTACACAGAGAAACTGGCATTTGCCTCATTCAGGTTCACCTCTGTCTCAGAAGCATCACAAATTAAGAAATTGCTTTGGAGTGCTAGCATTTGAGTGAAACACTTAAAGTTGTTGTCGTGCTCATCATCTACACAAGTACCTAAGGAGAAAACCACAAAATAAATTTCTCAAATTTCAGACTGGCAGATTTAAAGCACTTCATAAGGAGTCTTATCAAACAAAGTAGATTACTTAGTTTCATTCCTTAAAATGAAAATGAGTTCTTTCCCTCTATTTCTTCCTCTACAGCAGGGGTCTTTAAACTTGGCCCTTTTATGACTTATGGACTTCAATTCCCAGAATTCCTCAGCCAGCTTTGGGAGTTCAAGCCCACAAGTCATAAAAAGGCCAAGTCCGAATACCCCTGCTCTATAGTATTTAATTATTACATTGTGGTAAGAACTGTCTGTAAGAAGGATCCAGAAACTGAAAGCAGTCTGTAGGTTTTGACTGGATTCAGTTTTAAAGGAAGTGTAATTCTCCATCACAACAGATGTTTCAGTTTCCAACCCAATTCAAAATGCTCTTTACCTTCTTTAGGGCATTATGTGACTTACCACCTATACCCCAAGAACGCCTCCTCTGATATTGACACGAGGAAGTAAAAAGAAAGCCCAAAAAGATAATCCAAAGATAGGTCTCTCTTGAAGGGATACAGAAAACAGAGGGGGTTTTTTTTGCAGTTGCACATTGCATTTGAAATTCCCTTTCAAGAGACCACCTGTTCCTTCTTTTTGTTGTTTCTCTTGTAAGTTTTGACTGTTGAATTGACTTTATGTTAATTAATTAATTCACTAGCAAGTAAGTTTTTTTTCTCAGTGCACCAGATGTTTTTAATTTTTATCACTTTTTTATCGGCAAAAGGTAAGCTTCTCTTTTCGCTTGCTAAAAAGAAAAGTACAAATGTTTTTATAAAAAAAGCAAAGCAATTGCTTCCTGGTTAATAAGGTATTTAAAGGAGAGCATCAATTAACACATTCTTGTCTAGATCAAAGAATTTAGACTACCAAGAAAACTTTTGAGCAACTCATCTTTTCTTATGACTCATGGTAATTGCTCTTCTCATTTCATCTGCATATTCCCTAGACTGCTTTGCACAGCACTATTGTAAAACCTTTCAAGCTGTAGATTGCAGAGGTCACCATGCAATGTGAAAATGTAAAGAATATTGTAGGAAATAGTTTGCACGCTCTATATGAAGCAGATTTTATGGGAATTTCCCTTCTTAACATTGAAAGGGAATTTTCATCAAACCTTGTTCAATTAATTTTTCTCTCATAACTTGCTGTATATAATAGAATGATTTTGGAAATCCAAAAGGAATAAAGTATAAAATATGGCAATTTTTTCTTATAGTAAAATATAAAGACCCAATCCATATTGAAAATACTTTGAGAGCAGAGGGTGACTTTAATCGTTCTCTGAAGAGCACTTGTGATGCCAACAGATTCTCATTTTAAAACTCTGTGAAATCAATGGTAGCTTTTCAGCCCATTCAGTTCACTATGAGCTTATCTTAGCATAAAGATCAGCAATGCCTGCTCTTTGATACATGTCTGATGTATTGTTTATCCCACAGATGATTGGGATAAAAAGATACATCAGACATGTATCAAAGAGCAGGCATTGCTGACCTTTATGCTAAGGTAAGCTCTTAGAGCAGGGGTTCCCAACCTTGGCAACTTTAAGACCTATGGACTTCAACTCCCAGCATTCCCCAGCCACCTGGGAATTGAAGTCCACAGGTCTTAAAGTTGCCAAAGTTGGGGACCCCTGTCATAGTGGACCAAGTGGACTGAGAAGCTATCATTCATAGGAGAAATAGAATTTTTCTATTTTCCAAGTGATATTGGGAATCTAAACAAGAGTGCATCTTATTAGCAATAATGTTAGGTTTCTTTTGGGATATTATGCTCTTATAAACCCACAGAGCAACCTATGCCACAAAACTTTCCATGAGAAATGCATCCACATTCTACCCAAGACAATTGTGTGTATAAATCAGGTAGATGATTTATACCACCACCACTATGACAAGCCTATTTTAAAAGTGTTGGTTAAGTTTGAGATTCAGTGCATTAAGAAAACCAACTATTATAACAAGGGTTAAAACAAACCATAATAGCAATGCTTATAATCACCAAAGGTTGAGGTCCTAATGGCCCTTCTAAATTTTCTAAACTCTAGGGGCTAGGGCTGAAGTAATTTTAAGAATATTTAAGATATTCTTTCAGGATGGGGATGAAGGAAGAAGGTCTACTAGTAGGGCACCTGATGGTAACATTCTCTTAGAATAGGGATCATACTCTAGTGGTCCCAGGCTCCTGAGATCTTGGAGTTCTGAAGCTACACAAGGCTTTAAAGATGACAACTCGCACCTTAAATCACACCTGGAGATCCATCGGCAAGCAGTTCAATTTTAACAAGTTTTGTCCTAGCGTCATGTGGGCAAAACGGAGCGTGCATAACTACTCAAGCTGCTGCATTATGGAGCAGCTGTAGCATCGGAGTAGATACATCGTAGTAACATGTATGGGGTGTGACCCAGACATGAATCACCATGCACAAGGAAGTTATAAGGTCCTCTTGGTCACAACTGCCAGATCCTATTTAAACAGGAGTCATGAATTCAAAAGAAACCCCCAATTACCAGTTCCAAATGAAAGGACATAACACCATCCAGAACCAAAGATGGAATATTCTAGGCTCAGATGGTCTATGAAACCAAAATCACTTGTACTTGCTGTGATTGGGCCTAACTTTATTCCTCCCTATCCAAAACCTAGCAGACTCATTCAGCCTGGATCAATGTACAAATGCATATCATTAGCATAATTGATGAAACCTGACTCATGGCAGTCGATGAGTCCCCCCCCCAATTGATGTGGATTATTAAATAGGAGAGGAGAGAGAATTGAGCTGAGAGTTCATCCCACAACAGAGGCCTTAGAACGTGACCTCCCATATCTCCATTAGAAGCTGTCCCACATGAGGAGAGCCACTATAAAATAGCGCTTCTTATTACTGATTTCTAGAAACAGTTGAGGATCGATTTTACAACTAACTTCAGCTTGATTTCTTTTCTTATTACTCTGTTAACTGCCAAGGAGGAGGAGGAGGAGGAGGAGGAGGAAGCAGGAGAGGAATAAGAGAAAGAGGTTTTTTTTTTAGTTTTTCATTGTCTGTTTTATGAATTAAGTTTATTGCTTTTAACTTCAGAACTGGGCATTCTGTTTAATTACTGTCTTTTGTCTTTTGAAAACTGGGCAGTCTAATTACTGTGTAACATTTGCTGAATATATAGGATATATATCAATATGCTATGATATATCCTGTATAGAATCTGCAATCTGGAGAGTATAAATCTCCAGATTGCAATTTGTCTTTTCATAAAATCCTTTCTACAGTACCTTGCTTGAAATTTGTCAAGAATTCTTTTGCACAGAAAGGTTTTTCATGTCTGCATATTTCATTTAGTTATGTATGAGGTTATAAATAAACGTTGTAAATGTTCAGTGAGTCTCCCCAGAAAGATACATAATAATAATAATAATAATAATGATGATGATGATGATGATGATGATGATGACAAATGCATATAAAGTCAAAATTGAGAAGACAGCAACAGACAGTAAGTGCCGCCTATGCAAAGAAGCTGAAGAAACAGTGGACCACTTGGTAAGCTGTTGCAAGAAGATTGCACAGACTGATTACAAGCAGCGGCATGACAAAGTAGCAACAATGGTGCATTGGAAGATCTGCAAAAAATATCATTTGCCTGTAAGCAAAAACTGGTGGGATCATAAAATAGAGAAAGTCATAGAAAATGATAAAATTAAACTGCTCTGGAACTTCAAAATTCAAACAGACAAGCACCTGCAACATAACACCCCAGACTTAACAATTGTCGATAAGAAAGACAAAAAAGTCTGGATAGTGGACGTGGTAGTGCCTGGAGACAGCAGAATAGACGAGAAAGAACTGGAGAAGATAACAAAATACAAAGACCTACAAATAGAAATAGAAAGACTGTGGCAAAAGCAAGCAAGGGTAGTACCAATAGTCATAGGCTCCTTGGGTGCAATCCCAAAACAACTGGAGCACCACTTGAACACCATTGGCATTGACAAATTCGCTATTAGTCAATTGCAAAAGGCGGCCTTATTAGGAACTGCTTCCATCCTGCGACGATATCTGTAATACCATCAAACATCCACATCTGCCTATCCCAGGTCCTGGGTAAGGACTCGATAGGTAGACAAAATGCCAAATCCAATCTGAACATCTGGCTGACTGCGATGATCCATAATAATAATAATAATAATAATAAAGTTGGAAGGGACCTTGGAGGTCATCTAATCCAACCCCCTGCTCATGCAGAAAACCCTATGCCATTTCGGACAAATGGCTGTCCAGTTTCTTCTTAAAAACTTCCAGTGTTGGCACATGGTTTTCTATATTCCAAAGTAAGTTTCTCATCTGAGCCCAGGAAAAAAAAACACTTTGGAACACCCCTATTAAATGCACATCCCTAATTAAAGAGAAAGTGCTTGTTGCTTCCTCCACCAATTGCCCCTATTTTAATAAGATTATATGGGTCTGAAAGAATATGACACACAACTGAATACTGAAAAATTCTGCTTCTTGCTGCAGATCTTATTTAGCAGCATTTCAACCGGTGGTTTGAACCTTTTTAATAATGCTCATTTAGGAAAGAACAACAATAAAATCTAAACTTGCTTTTTGTTGGCAAAATCCAGTACCAGCTTTATACTCTGAAAGAAAAACTCTGTGCTTTATTTCTAATAAATGTTAGTTGAGAGTTAGAACACTGGTGCCCATATCTGATAACCATGCAGCAGTTTGTTGTATCTATACACATTCATTATAAACTAAACTAAAAAATAAAAGTCTGCAGTTAATTAGTACACCAAGAGGACAGGATATTTGTCTTTCAAACTACAGTACATAATGCTAACAAACATAAATATCAAGATTCTTTGCATTACAAGTTTGGAAAGTCTCACTTTCATTGTTTGGAATGTTTGCTAGAAGGAAAAAATTGGAGTGACTTACCATATCCTACAGATGCTTCTGACCCAGAGCCACTCTCTGCACAAATGGAAGGAAGGAAGATAAAAAAGTAGGTATACACAATCAGATTTGGCTTTGCCATCTTCTCAAGTTCACATTTTTTCTACCCTGCAGGAGGAAAAGAGAAACTAAATCTGAAAAAGACCAGCTGGCATATAGCTCCTTCTAGAGTGCACTCATCAATAAAGTAACAAGCAAAGGGAAGTAAAAACATACAGACAAGTAGGCATGGAGTGAAACAGGAAATCTCTTGTGGAGGAGTGAACTAAGATCATACGATATTACTATGTTCTATATAGTCTTAAATACTATGAAAAGTGCTTGTTCTCCTAATTCAACTTCTCTTGATTGAAGTTCCCATATTGAATGTCTGTTGAGATGGAACTAAGATTTACAATTATGAGCTGGGCAAATCGATTAATTTCTTTTCTTTGTCCTCTCTCTCTCCCTCTCTCCTCTCTCTCTTTCTCCCTCCCCCTCTCACTTAATTTTGACATTTTTCTGTCTCATCCATGAAGAAACTGGCAAAGTTTAGTTATGGACCCCCTCCTAGTTATTAAATATCAGCAATATTTGGGGAGGGGGGGGAAAGACACCTATTTCAATCAAAGTCTAGTTAAGTAAGCATGTATTTGAACCCAGTAGATCCATACAAAGCCCTCACTTTAAATTTTGAATGTTTTGCTTTTTTCTATTGGTTTATTTGTTTTTAAGTCTCGGTTTCTTTCCATCCATCTTGAACAAATGGAACTGTGCTTGCCCGCCACTCGTGCAGAACCATCGCCTCTGCCCCCCGCCAGCCCACAAATCTGGAAAGATTGGGGACGGCTACTTTAGTGCATTCAACTAAATACCTGGACAACACATTCACATGGAAAGTTCTAGGAAGTGTCTATGGAGATTCTAAATCATCCAGGTCTTGGTTGCACCAAAGCTGGTTTTCCAAAAGGCAAGTAGACTTTCTTGGTTTTTTCCTTGAAATGTTTTCAAGGAAAAAACCAAGAAATCCAATTGCCTTTTGGAAAAATACTTTTGGGAGTTCTAGAAAGTTTATGGTGCCACAGACAAAGATGCTAAACATTGGTACCAGCTTGGCTTATCATATGTAGATCAGGTCTTCAGGGCAATCAAACAATGGGCAGGGTTTGGAAAAAACAGTTTCTCACTGAAATTTTTAAAATCCTTTCTATCTAGTTTTTCGTTAACTTTTAATGTTTTAAATTTTATTGCTTTTTATAGATATTTTATTAAGTTTTTATAGTTACAAATCTTTAGTGCTTAATAAACAATGTGTTGTCTGGGTCCACATATTTGACATTAATAATAATACAACTTCCATTCCTACTCTCTACTCCATTTTTTTAGCCATTTGTAAAAATTATCCCATGCTTGAAAATATTCTGTATCTTCTTTCCCTTTCATTTTCAATGTAAGTCTATCCATTTCCACACAGTCCAAGATTTTCCCAATTATGTCTTCTTCCATTGGTGTTTCTTCATTTTTCTTCATTTTACTAATTCTCGCTGCTGTTAATACATGTAATATTAAATATATACATTTTGTCATAGTTTTAATGCTTAATGTTTTTAACACTTTAACAATTTCACAGTTTTATATTGTTGTTTTACTATGCTATAAGCTACCCAAAGTCACTTGACAATGGAACGGGAGACATATAAATTTAATAAATAAATAAATGATCACTTCTTGACAATATTTTACAGGTAGTCCTTGACCTATGACCATAATTGGGACAAGAATTTATGCTGTTAAGTGGTTGTTAAGTGAATCATGTCAATTTTATACACTTTTTTTTGCCATGGTTATTAAGCAACTCAGCCGAGGTGGCACAGCAGTTAGAGTGCAGTACTGCAGGCCACTTTAGCTGACTGTGTTCAGCAGGTCAGTGGTTCAAATCTCACCTGCTCAAGGTTGACTCAGCCTTCCATCCTTCCGGGGTAGGTAAAATGAGGACCCAGATTGTTGGGGGCAATGTAAATATATATATACATTGCTTACTGGTGTACACCGCTTAGAAGCGGTATATAAGTCTCATAAATAAATAAATAAATAAATAAAATCTTTACAGTTGTTAAGTGACTCACAATGGCCATTGAAGCAAATCCAGCTTTCCCCATTGACTTTGCTTGTTGGAAGTTGGCTAGAAGATTCCAAATGATAATAACAATTCGGAGACCCTGCAACCATCATACAGTACATACATGCCAGTTGTCAAGTGCCTAAATTAGGATCACGTGATCATAGGAATGCTGCAATGGTCATAAGTGTAAGGGCCAGTCATAAGTCATCTTTTTCAGTGGCTTTGCTAAATGAAGGTGGTAAGTTGAGGTCTATTTATATATGGATGTTTGGCCAGAAATGAGTATGTAGTTTTTCCCAGGAGGAAAGCAGTCATAGATAGGGTAGTAAGATATCCTTCTCATACTCTTTCAGAGCTCTAGCTTAAAAGCTTGACAATAATTTTAGGAGCTTCATAAGCTTCATAAAGCTTAACAATAACATTTGGAACTTCACAATAAAGAAAGAAAAACTACATGCAATATGTAGCTTTGTCCTCATATAAATAACAGTAACGTAACATTTTGAAAAGGACCAAAAAAATTGCAGGACTTATTTACCCAATCTCTAATTCTCTTGGTACAGATTTGAGACTGCTTATGCAGCATATGTGGGCTTGTGACACACATTTATCTGTGGTTTATAATATTGCTTACACTTACTTAATCCGAAGAACCACAGGGCTGGAAATGTTAACTAAAGCAAATCAGTGTATGGGGCCCACATTTTTCATCTAAACCAGATTTCTGTAGGTTTTTTTTTTTTTTTCATGATCCAATCAGAAAGTTTTCTTTAACTAGCAGTTCAAATCCATCACTGTAGCTGATTATTTTAAATCAGCAAGCTTGATTTCGTTGTCTCTGAATTTTGCTTATTTTTGTCTTTACGCTTCATTTTGTCTTCTTTTCCCTTCAGCTATATGTTCCCAATCCTTGCTCTTTTGCCATCACTCATTCAGAGAAGTCAGGTCCCCAGGAGTGTCTTCAAGAGGGGTGATCAACAAATTGAAATAGCAGATGCAATCGAAGCTCTGAATCCTTTTAATGTGTGTATCATGCCACACATATAAAAAAGATGCAGGGATTTAATTGTGAGGTCATAACAACTATTTAAAAAACACCCACACTCCTCCTGCTCCTGCCATGGATGTCCTTTCATGAGGCTACTTGGGGCAAGCCAAAGTAGATATACTTCATTTCACCATACCCTTGTTTTAATTTCTCATACAGTGAGATTCATCCCATGGGAGGCTCCTCAAAAGATCCAAGAAGCAATAGCATTAGCATGCATTCATTATTTTTTTTAAAAAATGGAACTGCTTGTTCTGCAAAGAGAAAGCAGCTGTAACTGCCATTTTTATTACTCCGTTGCTTTTGGGCCTGGCTATAAACACTATTTTGTTGTCCAGATATTAATATAATCCAATTTGATATTCATTTCAGAGATAAAGTTTGTGGTCTGATAGCCAGCACACCTTCCAGATTTAATTTTTAGATGTTAACAGTTTATGGGGAAGCACAAAGTCCATGCTGCTGTTCCTAACTCATGATCAACCTTTAAAGTAGAACATGCAGACCTGGTTCATGGGACTGATGATTTCAAACTGTACTTTGACTTGCAGGCTACCCAAATGGTTCTTCATCACTCAGTCCAAGGAATGAAATAAATTCAGGCAGAGGACAAAGTTTTAAGTAAGTGATCTGAGTGAAATAATCATTTGGCTGCGCACAATTGCAGCACAAACATATTTGAACAGAGAATGATACTTTTGCAAAACTAAATCAGGTCATGAAATGTTGAGAATGGTTAGATGATCCGCAGAATTAATTAGGCTGACAGGATGTTATCTGTCCTGCTTATGAGCCAGTTAGGAATATGACATCAGAAGTAAGTGGAGGCACTTGAAAACTCCGATAACTTCTAGTCTCTGTACTGAATGCTTACTGTTTTTACCAAAGGTCTTGAAATAAACAGGATTTTTCCCCTTTATTTCTTAATTTTTGTCAGCCCTTAAGGATTTTATGGTATATCCTAAGTCCCACTGACATTGTGAATGAGCAGGAATTTTGCTTTTTTTCACAAAACGTAGGTGTGTTAAGCCTTTCAGGGATTTAATGTACATATTATAAGCCCAATATTGTTTTTATTAGAAAAAAAAACACCCTCTCCAAAGACCATTTTCTGGGGATATAATCTTGGTGGAATTCAACAGCTGCAAAACTGATACATGTAGTTAAGTCTTTGGCTGCAAATTGTCTGGTTTTGTGTAATGGAACTGTTCACTTAATGCAATCTTTAGATAATTGCACTCTACTAATAGATTTTTAAAAAGGGCTAGAAAGGTGAGCAGTTACACAGGGGGGAGGTTAAGGCATGGCACACTTGGGTAATTTTAACTCTGTACAGAATGTCCCTATAAGAATGCCATTTTACCTGGCATCGTGTGTTCCAAAATAAACTTATTTGGTTGGGAAATGCCTTTATTGGAGCTGCAGCAACAAGAACATAAGTTTGTAAAACCACATGGGTTGTGACATCGGGAAAGTGAAGGTGCAGGGAAGCAGAATATAATCCAGAAGAGGATAAAACTCTGTCATTCTCAATTTTAGTATCTTTTATTTGTACTTTTTAAATATTTTGCCTCCTGTGCTTCCGAGCTGTGATAACTGTCACTATATCTGCCCCTTCAGGATAAAAGTAATCTGATTTTAAAGACCTGGGTGGTCCCACACAAAATTCTTATTGATTCTGCCTTTAATAAGAAGAGAAAAAGAGTTGGAAGGTGCAGTTGCTAGGCTGGCTTGTACTTTTCACATCTTGATGGTGATGAGATAGATGAAGAAGGATTAGAGGTTTCAACACTGATGAAGGGCCGTAATAATTGTGGCTATCTAGAAGGCAGTTCTTAGTTTTAGATGAAGTGATTAGTCTGAAATATGTAAAATGAGCAGAGACTCCACACCATACATACGTTTACTGAAAATGATTGTATAAAATTCCACTGAATATACCACACATAACCCAGCAATATGCAAACACAAGGAAATGTCACTTTGCAATCTTCATCCATGTGACTTTCAGTATCATTACCTAGAAGAGTGTTTCTTACTGTAGACTTAGCAGCTTTAAGAATGTGGCTTCCAACTCCCAACATTCCCCAGCCAGCATGTTGGTTTTGGAATTCTGAGAGTTGAATCCAAGGTTGCTAAAGTTGAGAAACACTGCCCTAGACTTGTACGATCTGTAAGTTATATGATCCTATAGGGAGTTCGTGACTTTTCAGATGTTGATCTGCAATTGTGAGCCTCACACACTTACTGCTTATATGGTCTGGGACTTCTAGACATACTCATTCAAAAACATTTGGAATCTGAAATCCCCTACATCAAACCACAAACAAATCCACAATGAACTTTCCAGGATATTGTTGGGTACCCTTTTTTCACTCTCTTTTATTATTCCATATAGTTCATGTCTTACAATTTGCTTTTGCAGGAAGATCAATATATTATTTATTTTAAGATTTTTAAATCATACCTTTATTCTTTTTATAAATTAATCAAGGTAGCAAACACATTTTCTTCCTCCTATTTTCCCTACAGCAACAATCCTGTAGGTAAATTGGGTTGAGAGAGCAGCTGGTCCAAAGTCACCCAGCCAGCTTTCATGTCTAAGGCAGCAGAGGAACTCACAATATCCTTGTTTGTATCCTAGTGCATTTAACTACTACATCAAATTAGCTCCGCATAGGAAGAAATTCCTTCTGGCATAGAAATATCAGTTTGCCCCATGGAATGGATTTGACAATGAAGATATGGAATAAAATAAAAGTTAGGAAATAATAATCTGAATTAGAAAGGTGCAAAAAATAAAATAATTTTAAAAGCAGAATTATTTATATTGAAGCTCCATTTCACCCCACTTACAAAGCAGTATATAAACAAACTCATATCCCGCACAAAAATGGCTTCATTAGGTCAATTCATATCAATCATATATGGTGTCTGTAAATAGGCTATATTTTTAGGCTGCAGGGGATTTATTTTCAATTTAGCAAGCCTGATATTAAAAAAAATAATGGCATTGCTCGTGTTAAATGTTTGTATCATTTGTCATTAAGTGTCCTCTCATAAAAGTGTACACTGTAAATGCGATTAGTATTTACTTGCAAAAATATTTAAATCCTAATGTAAACACAGGTGGTTCCTCATTGAAAAATCCCAGTTTTTTTTACCCCCCCTCCCGAAAATTCTAGGTTTGTTTAATGCATGAAATGGGCCTCATCCTTTTAGACAATCCCAAGAATCAAAGGCAGGGAGAATCTATGATGGAGCAACCATAACATTGTACTGTTTTGAACCTATGCCAATAGGCTGGAGAAAGGACACTGTCAGGGAAAATATGCATGACAGGTCTAGCACTGGAACTCTTCTCTTCACCGTTCTGGGCAAGTGCACAGGAAAGGGCCGTTTTGCAAAGCTATCTTGGTCAGTCCTTACATCCTGTTTTCCTGGTGTAGCCATCGGGGACACCAGTAGAACAGCAAAACAAAGTAACTTTTTTTTGCCAGCCAATCAAAAATAAGATAAGAGGTCATACATTGTGTCTGCTATCTTCTTCTCAGCAACAGAGCATCCACAGCATGTGCACACAATCTCTTAAATTCACAAGACTACAGTTGTACCATTTCAGATCATTCTGTAGTTACGATTGTTTGAAAAAATTGTCTGAACCACCCACTGGTTTCAATTAAATCCATGTTTATTTAAAAGAGAATGCACACAAAGCCGTTTTTATTCTAATTAAAAGACACAACTCTACAAATGAGTAAGAATTAACCCAACATCTAGGACATTTGGGAAATACTTCTGTTGTGCTGAAAAACAGTTGTAGATTTCCTTCCCCCGCCCCTCCTCTAATGATAACTTCTTTATAATATGATGTTATCTCCATTAAATGGTTGAATTTGGATTGCTCTCTGCAGAATCATTTTAAAATCCTATAGAAATAAAAGAAAAATGAATCAGAAAGATGTAACTGATTAGTCTGATCAACAAACCAAAACAGATTTTCCCAGTAGCATTAAAAAATAGCATCCCACATAAATGTATTACTTCTTTAGAAACAACTGGCTGAACCTCTAACTGATGCAAATTACCACAAGTTTTGCTTGTGGTAAAAAACATCCAAATAGATAAAGAATGGAGATTGCGTCATGACACATTTCATCCTTCTGAAATCATGGCTTCCACTACATTAGTGTTTTTCAACCTTGGCAACTTTAAAATATGTGGACTTCAACTCCCAGAATTCTTCAGCCAGTATGGATAACCATGATGTTTGAAAAATACTGATCTAGATGCCTCTGAATACACTTAAGAGGAAATAAAACCATTTCCCCATCCATATTGTTAGGGAGGTCCTCTTAGTGAATATAAGGATATGGCTTCATTTTCTCTTATTTTATAACCACAAATTATTCTCTTATTATCAAACTTGCTATGCTCAATTGCTTTGCGATTTATTTTATTATAAAGTTGCTTTACAAAAAAATAGGATCTAAAGTATTTCATGAAAATAACTTGTATGATTGCATAAAATCATGTGACAGTTTAAAAATTAACCGATTTATAAATCACATTAAAACAGGAAAATATTTTTAAAATATGTCTGGATTCGGTTTTATCTATACTCTACACCAACAACGGCAAGGTTAGTTTGGGATAATGGCAGCTGCAGGTAGAAACAGGATGCGGAAGATTGCTGCATTCAAGGTAACTTTCCTCTAAACAAACACAGCACTGAAAACAAACAAATCCAGCTTAAGTCTGCAACAACCAACCAATAACACTACCTTTGTTGGTTCATATTTTAAAAGTTGTTATTTGTGGGGGGAAATGCTATCTTTTGCACCCTTTCAACATTAGCATCACTGTTTTCCATCTCCCATAACATGCCAGACCTTTGTCCCTGACCCAGGGAAATGTTCCATCTGTCCAGTAAATGGTCTGTAAAAAAAGCAAACAGGTAAACAAACAAACAAACAAACAAAAACAAAAAGCCTTTCTCTCAGTTTGGGTTACTCCGTGTACAAAATCAAACTCTCTGTGGAAGAAAAAAGTAAGTGTCTGCAGAGAAAAGATTGAGAGAGAGGGATAGAAAAGAAGGATTTTGAAGCAATACGAAATGGTTGGGCGTGTGAGTGTGAATGTGTCCTGGCATACACAATATAGAGTAAGCAAAATATGCTGGAAACAATACAAAGGAATATCATCTATTTTCTCATTAGGTTTCCAATACACTTGTGTCCTAACAATCTTATCACCCAGATGATTTCACATTGCAAACGAATAATCTTATTAGAATTCAGTCCCACTCTGCAAAATCTTCTGACAATTTTAACATGTTTTAAAAAGCAAAATAAAAAGGGTCTTATTCAGAACTAAGAGGGCTATGTTTCAATGAACCTTCTACTATCCCATGTGGGCTGGGGACAGAGTACAAATCATGTGTCATGACATCACCATGCAAGACATATGACTTATATCATTGGAGTAGACGCTGGTACCAATGCATAACTGAATTATTGAATAATGACATCCTGATACCTATCATCACCACCGTAAGCATGCCACAGTGTATTGGCCTCATAGAAGATTGGTGAGCATCTAGTGTTTATTCCCTTTTGTACATACAAGAAATACCTGCGCAGAAAGGATTAGCCAATTAAGGCCCTCTTGTGTATCGCAAATTCTTCCATGGCACTTAGAAATTTTATTTAACAGAGTTTTGCGAATTGTACCCTTGTATTTTAAATGCATGCTTCTTCTCTGCATTCCTATTTGCCACTATTAAGTTAAAACAGAGGCACCAGCTATCTAATTTAACACCTGCCGAGGGAAGGGGAATAATAGATACCTAAAAGCAGAGGGGCACTCCCAAGATATTGACAGGATGTTATGACATCATCCCCATCATGCTTTCAACTGCTTTTCCTCCCACAACCAAAAAGTTAAATATTGATTCATGGGTTGGTGTGAGAATTGTTTATACCGGCTATAAGGAAGTTATTTTAGAAAAATTCTTACCACAGTGGGATCCTGGCACAAATTTATTCCTATGAATAGATGGCATTTGTAATCACAAACAAACATACACAAACCTTTTTTTCAGTCAGGTGTGAAATAGTTATATATTGTAAATATATGCATAATACTATAATCTATTTTATATAAATTTTGATGGACAAGAAAGCTCAACTCAATCAAGATTTCAATGGCTCTGGGTTTTTGGACCTTGTAGCAATAGCAACAGCAATAACACTTACAGTAAACTTATATACCGCTCGTAGTGCTTTACAGCACTCTCTAAGCAGTTTACAGAGTCAGGATATTGCCCCCAACAATTGGGTCCTCACTTTGCTGACCTCAGAAGGATGGAAGGCTAAGTCAGTCTAGAACCGGTCAGAATTGAACTCCTGGCAGTGGGCAGATTCAGTCTGCAATACTGCATTTTAACCACTGCACCACCATGGCTCTTATAATGGTATGTGAGAAGGACCTTGGGAGACAGGGCGAAGAGATGCTACCTAAGAAACAGTCAAATAAGAGGCATCATAGCCCACAGCTGGTAGTGGGCAGAGCAAGAGGCTCAGAAGGGACCCTCCCTAGTTTCCTGGGCTCTAAATCAGTGGTTCTCAACCTGTGGGTCGGGATCCCATTTGGGGTCGAATGACCATTTCACGGGGGTCACCAAACCATGCTGTCCGCCATTTTTTTCCCTTTTCCCTAGCTGTCCTACTCCCTCTTATTGGTGGCCACACCCACTTGGGGGTCACCACAACATGGGGAACTGTATTATGGGGTCACAGCATTAGAAAGGTTGAGAATCACTGCTCTAAATGAATCAGCAGCAGAATCTTACTTTCAGATTTGCAAGACTCTGTTAATGTAGCTTTACCATAAAGTAGAATTAGCTTATCTGGTCATGTTTCCTCTCTGCTTTATCTGGTAATGCTGACATCAATTTTTTCAAGTCTGAAAGTACAATATCCTGCCATCTTCTTTATAACCTGAGAAAGTAGGGAGGGTCTCTTCTGAGACTCTTGCCCTGTCCACTATCAAGTTGGGGGCCAGGCTGTCTCTTGGCAGCATTTCTTTATTCCTTCTCCCAAGGTCTTTCCTACATCCCATTACAGATTCCAATTCCAGAATCTTCCATTTTTGGTTCTGGATGGACGCACTGCTCTACACAGACCTTGTGTGCAGTTTGGGGGATCCTCCTAGACATATGGCAGGTAACTGAGAAGCAGATAGCAGCTGCGACTAGGAGCGCTTTTGCTCAGCTTTGGGTCCTTTCCCCAACAGATGCACCAAAGAAAAGGAGAGAAAAAATACATACGCACACACATCAGTTGCACCCTGCTTGTTTCACCTGCTTATTTGCAAGAGAAACTGCAAAATGTTCCAATTAACATTTCCTTATAAGACCTAAAGCTTAAAAGTCAAGAAAAGAGCTCAAGCAAGAATCCCCTCCACCAAGAAAAAGAACCACAGCATCTCAAATTTTAACAGGCTCTAGCAGTGCAAAGCTTTAGAGATCCCAGTTAGATCATAATGTAGGGACAACTGTCTTGTAAGCTATTTGCATTCATCACTAATAAAGTAAGCCAGTGAGAACCAGTTCACTAAATCCTGAATTATGCTGTCTCCCCATGAAGTTAAATAGTGGAGAAGGAGCTTGGGAGAAGAGATAGCCTTTGAATTTCCTCAGAAAGAGCAGCTGTTATATGGAAGGTAAAGAAAGAATCAAAGCATACCCAAAATCCTAGCTGGAAAATTTCTAGGACACAGGTAGAAATCTAACCATTTCATAGAGGGTTACAAGTTGGTAACTTACACAGAAGGCCTATAGTTCTGCAGATTTTAAGTTAATTTAAGGTATCCCGATATTTCTCAAGTAGTAGAAAGGGAAAGATATTTTTGTTATTTCAGTTTTTCTGCTGTAACTGATTGGGAATGGGTGGGAAGGTAATGGCAGCAAATACCAGTTGAAAGCAAACATTGCAATCTTAATTGTCCTGATTGGATGGGGAATGCTTGGTGATAAGAGAGAACCCATACAATAGAAGAACTAACTTTGTAGAGGTTCAACCATATAGAAATTGAGCTGGAAATAATTAACTCAATCTCCAACACCATTGATCTTGTATGAATACAGAGGCCTGATTTCACAGTAGTACGTAATCTGGAATATTCTCCAGTGGGAGCTAAGGTCTGCCTCCATTCGCCTGGTCTTCTGGAAGACCCTGAAAACGTGGCTTGCCACTTGACTTAGAGACCTGATAGGGATCTGCTACATTGGGAGTGGCTAATGGGGCAGAAGTGATCCCTACTCCAGGCCATCTATAATCTTCATTTTTAAGTTTTTCTAATTAATTCTCCTAATTTTAATTGCTTTGTATTTTTTTTTACTTTTTACTATATTGTAAGCTATCGAGAGTTGCTGTATAGAGTGAAATGGGTGGCATAAAACATTAATTATTAATCCTCTTCCTCAGAATAGTTCCTTAGACTATGTGTTTGGATTACATGATTTTATGAAACAGTATCATCTGCTTCTTTACATTGTTTGGCTAGGGCAGGGGAAGGCAACCTTGGCTCTTTTATAACTCATGGACTTCAACTCCCAGAATTCCTGAGCCAGCCATGCTGGCTCAGGAATTCTGGGTGATGAAGTCCACGAATCATAAAAAAGCCAAGTTTGCCTACCCCTGGGCTAGGGATATGAAAGCCAAAAAGCTTTGCTACTGATGATCTAATTTGTATTGTGTTCTACTAGGAATGAGTCAGACTTCTTGATTTTTAGTGCTCAAAGTGCTGATGGGTGCAGGTGAAAAGCATGATGCATGCTACATTTGTACACAGAAAAACAAGCCACAATTTTTATTGCTAGTAGTATGTTTTGACCCGTAATGAATTGCAAGAAGCGTAGGCTGTAATAGAAGCCACTATCCACCTTCATTGGAACAACATGCTACACTTCTCCTCTGATTTTGTCAGCTTTGCAAGTGACATAGCTTTCACCTTTCAAACCACACCTTAATCAGCTCAGCTTAATCTCATAAGAGATCTCTGAACAACACTGCTCTATTGATTTTTTTTTTTTTGCTTTATTCTTAAAAGATAAGGTTTTTATTTGCAATGTCATTTATTTTATGTGGTTTGGAGGAATTTTTTTTAAGGGGGGGGGTGGATAACAGGCCTCTTCAATTGAAATACAATTTTTATTGTATTTATCCTAAATGAGAAATGCAGGAACAGAAAGCAAATTCTTAGCTTTGAATTCCAATAACAGGTGCACCAAATTTGGACACTAATATTTCCATTACTACAATTCATACGCTAAAAGTATGTCTTATGTTATTTTCTTGAAGCCACAAAAAAGGATGTAGGTTTATCCCACTGAGATGTACATTCAGCTCCTCCAATGAATGTGTATGCTTTAGCATCAGTAACCCATGTCCTCATCCTCTCACTACTACAATTTGCTCTACAGGGAGCAAATTGTCTTTGAAGACAACTTGAACATTACAGCAAAATGCAGCTGTCATAGATGGAGGCTGTTATAGCTGGATAATACTTATATTGCCAAAGTTGGCCTTGTTCACAAGTTTGCTTTCAGGTGCCCATTATTCCCTATAAAGCGCTTTATAGCCCAGATTTTGGTTACAGCGAGACCCTATTATTGTTGTTGTTGTTGTTGTTATTTTCTAGGATCTTCCCAGGTATTGATGTAAAACTGATTGGTCTGTAGTTTCCTGGGTCCGTTTTTTCCCTTTTCTTGAAGATGGGAGCCTCATCAGCCCTTTCCCCATCCTCAGGTACTTCCCCAGTGCTCCAGGATTTTTGAAAGATGTGGTGCAATAGTTCTGAGATAACATCTGCCAGCTCCTCCAGAACTCTGGGATGTAATCTGTCAGGTCCCAGTGATTTATACTTGTCAAGGTTGGATAGGTATTCTCTTACCATTTTCTTGCTTATTTTAATTTTTGTTTCTAGTTTGTCTTTGGCAGTGGTTTTTGGATAGGTTGGGCTATAGTTTCTTTTTGTGTGAAGACTGATGTGCCTATTCATAATATAGTTAGTCCCAGGGCAATTCAGATTTTAAAGAACATGATTCTGGAGGCAGACAACATTGGCTCCACTTCAGGCAGGAATTTGAAGACCAAACTGAACCCAACTCTATCATAGAGGAAAAGTATCACTAATATGATAGTTCTTCATTACACAAAGTACAGAAATAAAATATTAAAGTTGTTTAGTTGATTGGCAACTAAAACAGCTCTTTGGTGATTGAAATAACAATGGATATCAATGACAGAACAAACATAACACTGTTTTTTGGTTCCTAACTTCTTTGTTATTTTTCAAAGAAAATGGGCTGAGTACATGGGCTCAGACAACACAATCACCTAGGCTAGTCATGCCTTCAGTGCCTCTCCTACACACAGCGAGACCCCTGGTATGTAGTGTAGGCCACTACTTGCTACTATTCTTACCACTACTACTGCTACCATCAATAACTACTACTGCTACTAGCTGCTGCTACTAGTAGCCTAGATACTGTCTACTTCAAAAGAAGGAGGATACTTACAGGAAGTTTGTACCCCTGGTAGTTACTAATTAAGTCTTGAATGAAGGGGTGCTTCAAAAGGAGTTCAATTTTGATGGGCTGCAGCTCTTCAGAGCCAAGATCCTTGTACACCTTAATGAAATGCTTTAGAAAAATGAAGAGAGCTTACTTTATTAGTAAATGAACCAACTGAAAAAACCAAAAGCAATATATAGAAACACTGCTATAGAAGGCAGAGTTGTCCTGGGTTGAAGTGTCATAATAATGTCTCTTTTTCAGTTTTATATCTTAAAAATTAATACTGAAGTAGTAAAAAGAATGACTTTTCTGACCAGCACTGATGTTGCCACAAGTCCTAATTGTTGCTTAGAAAATCTGATAGGAGAGAACATTTCAAGATTTGCAAATCCCTTAACTGTAGCACAAAACATTGCAATCTTTATATTAGTCCTATAAATCAGATATCCATTTTCCTAGAAGCATTATACAAGAAAGCATGCCAGGTATCATTCAATAAAACCTATTATCAAGTAAAGGCTTTATAATTGAAAATGTAATATATCATGATCAAGAATTCCTAAGATATCCTTGGAGAGACAGAGCATGAAAATGTGAAACATAATTTATTTCTTACAGCTTTGATTTTTTTTCCCTTTAGAAGTAAAACTCTCAACAAAACTCTTTTCACGCCTTGCTTAAAGTTTGGTTAGATCATTGCTGACCCAACAGAATGGTTTTGCTAATGTTCCAATTGGGTGAGAATAAATAGACTGACAATCTCATCCACTACATCTACTTCACTCTGCATAGCTCTAATACTGAAACATATAGTCTCTCCATGTGTGCATATACTTATCTTTCTTGCCTGCAGGTTTAAGAGCTCTAATCTAATCCTATTTCAGAAATAATACAACTGTCAGTGAAACTTAGTCCATTTCTTTAAATGCCAGTGAGACATTGCTTGCCACAAACATGAGATAAAAAAACTATATGAATGTAATTAATGGAGCTATGAGTGAATTAACCAACCTCATAATTGTCCTCTTCTGTCAGATGACTACTAAATCTGTGATTGTCAAAAGCTTTGTTTGTTTCATACTGGAATACATGGAGAAGTGTAGCCAGAGAGATGTATCCATCTTTGCCGATAGACAGGGCTTCATCTTCTTTCTCCTTCTCTTCCTTCTCTTCCTCTTCTTCTTCCTCCCCTTCTTCACCAGCCTCCTCCTCTGCCTGTTCATCATGAGCAGCAGTGGTTATGAGCTGCTCAGCAGATGTTATAAACTGAGAAAAACAAGCCAAAGATACCATAAGGTTTTTTTGGGTGGGGGGCTAGATAGTTTCCTAGTGACCAGATGCAAGGTATGTGACTCTCAGAAAGAGCACCAGCTTTGAACAGTAAAGCCAGCCAGAGTGTTGCAGTTTTTTCTGAATAAAGATCATTCCTTCTCAGGTTCTTGTGTCTGTTTCTAATATTCAATACATGAAAAGGGATTCCAAACTGTGAACTTCCACTGTCATCTACAAGGAGATGAAACCCAAATTCTGCACTTAGAATTCTGAACAACTTCCAATCATTATTTTTAGTAGGGTGAAAGTACTGAATGTTTCTCTGTATGCATGAAACCTTTGCGAACTCTAATAAGCTGCAGAAACCTTGCTACACTACTGTAAACATTTCACTGTTTTTCAATCAGTTTAACTGGTATTGTATTCTTGCCTGCAATTTTGTAATATTGCCAAGATGTCTATTTAGTGTGCTTTGCTGAATTAAGCTATGCAATGTTTCTTGAAGATGGTCTGTTCACCAGGCTAGAAACCAGGAGACTGTGAATTTTAGCCCCACCTTAGGCATGAAAGTTAACTGCAATAGAGAAGTGAACATAAATAGTCAACATAAGCAATGGACAGAAAGCCTGACTACCAAGCACTGTATTCTTATTATTATCTGTTCCAATGGTATTTATTCTGATTCTATTTATTCTGTATATTGCACACGCATCCTGCCTTTTTTCCAGAAGCTCTGGGCAGCACATATAATGATAGATCAAAAGAGGCTGGCTTTATGGAACAAATATATTTTTGTCACCAACCAAATGAAGATACAATTTTTATTATCAATAATAATTATTTTTTTACCATTTGAGGAAGAGAAAAGTGTTTCTCCCTCTTCCTTTGAATATATGTCCCTGTTGCGACACTAAGAGCTCGATAGACACCATTTATAGCATCAGGGTGAGAGGCAAAGTAGAGCAGCATCGTAGTGTAGTTCAGTTGAGGAGGGTCTTTTTCAGGATCAGCAAATAAAGTGAACAAAAACTGCAAAAAGAAATAATTCTATTAATTGATGTATTGGATATTCTGTTTAATCACAACAATTCAGTATGAATATGGCTAAGGTGGGGGATCTAATCTAGACCTTTACTGTGATACTAAACATCATTACATGAAAGCTTGGATTGACCACAGAGGACATCATATATAGGCTCTATCTAATGATGACCATAACAAGTGGAAGGTTGCAAGTTGGCATGAAAAACAGAGTGGTAAAAAGATGAATTAATCAGGGAAGGCAAAGGAAGGGAACTAAAATAAATGGGCGGGAGGGGGAGATAGGAAGGAAGGAAGGTTCTCTGTTTGTAAAAGCAGGAAAAAGAGATCTGCAATAAGATCTGAAAGAAGGTGGTCTGATTTTGGAATGGAAGGAAGTGAAGTATATATGCAAGGAAGTGAAGTATAGATTTAATTATGAATGAAAGGTCTAAAATGCATGTTAAAACAACGAACTTATGACCTCTGCATTGATGTGGACATGTATGAAAGTAAGAATCCACAGATAAAGGATAGTTACATATTAACACTCTAGATCTCAAGATTATTCCAACAAAAATGAACGGTTTCTGAAGGACTATACAAAGGTGGGCTTCAGTTATTCATTTAATCAGTTATTTTGTTATTCTGTTTTTATTTTATGGTGATGGCTGTGTTTTTGTTTTAGTTCCTTTTTAAACTTCTGTTCATCGTTAAGCCATTCAGAATTACTTTTGAGAGACTGGAGGTCATTGAATTCAAATCGATAAATAATGAAAGAACCAAGAAAAAACTATATAAGATCCTGAATGAGTATAATTGGAAGAAAAGTGTTACTCTGGTGAATGAACAGAGAAATGGAAGCAAGAGGAGACAATATAGAAACAGTTACTGGTCATTCAGAAACTGAAGAATGAATGAGAATAGTGATTGATAGGTGAATATCTACCTAGAGAAATGTCTGTTTTTTTTTAATGTACAGTTTAAGCACATCTGTTCACATGTGTACATGGTAAAGGAAGGAATCTAAAAGTATGATTAATTTGACTGTTCGTTAGAAAAAATGTGAAGGACAAAAGCCTGATGAAGGGTCTTGAATGTTGAACAGACTATTTTTTGGTAATGGTAAAAGTGATCTTGAGAAAAAGCGGGAGAAAAGTAAAGAAAGAAATTTGAGCGAACATTTGCACTTTCTCTGCAAGAAGAAAAGTATGAGTCCTGTAGAAAAACTTATTATACAATACATTAACCTCTCAACAGAATGAATAGGAAATAGAACTATGGGAAAAATATTGAATATGCTTGAAGCAGTGGGAAAGAATTATACTGCAAGGTTCAGAATAAGTGTGGGAAGTATGAAAAGTGATGCTTCATAGAATTATGAAGTGAAAGAGGTGGGATTGAAGAAAAAAATGCATATAGAAATTATTGCTGCAAAAAATGATGAAAATAGTACACTCTTGGCCAAATTTGTGGATGAACTATTCAGGATAGTACAAGGTAAAAGGGATTGAAAATAATATTGCCAACGTTTTAACAGACTCATACAAATCTATGAGTAGACTGATGGAATACTGTGCAACCTTTGAGAAAATATGCAATGCAGTTGTAAGAAGTATAAAAGACAGCAACCAAAATTACCTGTGGCTCAAGCAACTTCCATACAAGAAAAGGTTAGAATATTGGTGGTTCTTTAGTTTACAAAAAAAGGTGACTGAAGGGGACCTGAGTGCATAAACCTATATGTGCCATATAGAAAGTGAGCAGGAAGAATGGTTGCACAAATTTAGTATGTCTAGTTTAATGTAAAGAAGGAATAGAGATAACATGATAGCAGTTTTCAATATCTAAGGGGCTTCTGCAAAGAAGAGGGGGTCAACCTATTCTTCAATGCACCTGAAGGCAGAACAAAAAGCAATACATGGAAACCAGTCAAGGAGAGATCCAGCTTAGAACTAAGGAGGACTTTTCTGACTGTTAGAACAAATAATCAGTGGAACGATTTGCCTCCAGAAGTTGTGAATGCTCCAACACTGAAGGTTTTTAAGAAGAGACTGGACAACCATTTGTCTGAAATGGTATGTGGTTTCCTGCCTGAGCAGAGGGTTGGACTAGAAGACCTCCAAGTTCCCTTCCATCTCTGTTATTCTGTTATAAGTTTTTCTTCCTGTCTTAAATATTAGAATGGATTGATTGGAAGGGGATACAAAATGGAACCGCCTCCTTCCCCAATCTTCATCCAACACATAAGCAACTTCTGAAATTCATTATAACAAAACATAGCAATCGTCACTAATTTGGATGTTTTTTAAAAGGGTCAGATGTAGTGTACATATGAAGAAGTAGCAACAGGCTGGAGGTAGCATTGCTTCCGGGCATTGTCTTAGTCACTTTGAGGGACAAATGTTGAGATGGGCCTTGGCCTTACCAGTAGGACATTTTTAATGATCTTAGAATTCCTTTCTTTGAACTTTTTCAGACTAGGAAGAGTGGATAATCAGGGAGACTCATAACACAGAATATACTTATAATAGGAAATAGTATCAGCTCTGAAATACAATGGAAAGGAATTACAAAGAAATAACCACATAGCCTGAGAATAAGGGAGAAAAACAGAAATCTCTTTCTCAGTTGACAATGTTTGAAAAATTGTAAGACAGGCTGTGGCTCAGCATGAAAATGTATATGTATTATTGCATGATCAATCTAGATGCATGGGAAAATCCCCATAAAATTGTTAATTCTAAAATCTGGTTGCCTTCCCCATTCGTAAAAATTATTTAACTCCCTCTCTCATCCCAACTATCATTTTTTTAACTTTCTCTTTTAAGACCTGGAAATAACTCCATAGGATCAGCGTTGAAAAATAGAAATTTCTGAATTTATCTGTTAAAGATAATCAGAAATGGCCAATGAATTGTATTCTGATTTGAAAGTCAAGCAAATAATCAACTGTGCCTTAGAATGGAAATACATTTTTTTTAAAAGAACTAAACTATAAGTAGCATCCACTGGTTACTTCAGAATTGTTGGAATGTAACAGACAGTGTTTGGAATTCATTAAAAATGGCAGTCTTACCCTTTTCCCTTGGATTATGTCTCTGTATATTTATACTTACTTCTATGAGATGCTTCTGATGGTTAAACGGTAAAGGCTCTGTAGGACTTTCAGGTATGGCTAAATCTTCACTGTCTTTAAACCACAGACCAACCTAAAGCAAACAAAAGAAAACCTTATACTTTGAACTGTGAATATTCAACATTTAAGGTTTTGAGCTTTTCCACACTTCAAAAATGTGTGGAAAATATGTACCTAGTCGCAAGGAGCTCTGGGAAGGAATATTGGAGAATCTGGTGACATCATCAAATTAGAAAGCTCCATTGAGATATTACTTTTCAATAACATTATAAAGATTTCATTTTGAAAATTGATTCTTAAAAATTATGGGTGGATTTAGTATCTTGATTTGTTTCAAAAACACTTTTTTTTTTTGGATTTTTCTCTCTCCCACCCCCATTTATCATTTCAAACATCAGAGGATGGGTATGAGACGCTGAACCCAAAAATTGCTCTACCCAACTTCCTGTGTTGTTTCTGGAGTTTTTGTTTGTTTTTATTCTCTTTACCTATATGAAGCGAAATACCGCAATTTTGCGTAGGTGAGTATAAAACAGATCTACATTTCTTGTGGCTTTACCATCCTGAATAGGGAATACATCTTTTCCTGCCCCAAGATTTGCAGGGGAGGCTGTTGCAGCTTGCACTTTTTCCTGAAGACAGCTCTTGCTTCATTACAATGTTTTTCAAAAGTATATATAAAGAAGGATAATGAATGCAGACTACAAGCTTACCTGAATGATTAATGTGGGGAAGCTTTACCACTTGATAAAACTTTACCGCATATTAAAATCCATGGTAAGAAACAACACCCACTCCATCCTTTATTGAAACAACATGACATTGCAAAACTGTTGGAGAAAGTCTTACTATTTATGCCAATATCTGTGGAAGGCAGCTCTCTGAAATGCTACAGCCAACTTTATATATAAAAACACTTGGTGGATATAAAATATGAGCTAGTGATACGGTGTAAGTCAGGGATCCTCTACCTTTTCATACAGGGAGTCCTCGACTTACAATTACAGTTGTGACCGGCACTTCCACTGCTAAGTGAGACAACTGTTAAGTGAGTCGCATCCAATTTTATATCTTTTTTGCCATGATTGTAAATAAATCATGCAGTCATTAAGTGAATCCAACTCCCACCGTTGACTTTGCTTGTCAGAAGCTAGTTTGGAAGGTTGCAAATGGCGATCATGTGATGCTGAGATACTGCTACCATTGTAAATACATGCTGGTTGCCAAGTGCCCTAATTCTGATCATGTGACTACAGGAATGCCACAATTGTCATAAGCATGAAGACTTATTGTAGGTCACTTTTTTCAGCACCATTATAACTTTGAATAATTGCTAAATGAATGGTCCTAAATGAAGGACTACCTATATTTGGAATTTTGAGGGAGCAGGTTTATGGAGTTCTCACAAAATAGCTATGAAGGGGGCTTATTTCCTTTTCATAGAATTCCTGCACACTGTCTACAGCTATTCATTTAACAGAAGTATTAAATAGATTTCTCCCTATCATATCTCTAACCATCTCTTCCAAGAATGTTTTTTATACTCCTCCAATTTAATTTTATATTTGGAGGCAGCATTTCACATTATTTTTGTTTTGTACCAAATACTTTGGACCAACAAGGAATCTTGAGGGATTTTTGTAAATAAAGATGATGCTAGATTGGGGATTTGTTGGACATTTTCCATTTTTAAATTTTAAAAAAATCTAAAATAGATACATTTGAGTTAGGTATGGAATGGTTGAGATACCTCCAGATTTTATTTGGGATCCATAGCCTATAATCTTTAATGCCATCGTTGGGATCTAAAAGCTTTTACACCAAAGTATCCTAATATATCAGTTATACCTAAAGGATGCAGTCCATGGACTATGTCAAGAAACAATCACTCCAGAAGACTCTTCTGTATAAATATGTATAGATTACAAGGAAGTGGAGGAAAAAAACTCAGAGAGACCAGTTTTTTTGAATTCCTAATTCCTAGGAATTTCCTATCTACCAATGTCTATTATTATTATATAAAAACCAGTTCTTTAGCTGGTATTGGCCTTCTTATTCATTGAATTCTTTCCAAAAAAGTAAGATATCACAATGAGTGTTAAATTCTGTTGAAACTGCCTGAACTTGTCTGTGCAGTTTTCCAGGCAAAATTTTGGAAAGTGGATTGCCATTTCTTTCTTCCTAGGTCTAAGCTTTGAGTCTAAGGCTACATTTTGTACCTAAGGCTGGACTAGAACACAGGGCCTCCTGGTTTCTACCCTCATGGCTTAAGCACGACTCCAAACTATCTCTCCTATTATATATTAAGAAATCCCTCTTCTTCCGCCCCAACTCCATTAATTCCCTGTGCCCCTTTTCACCTTGTCCAATCCCAATAGGATAGGATTTGGTTGAGCATCCCCATTAAACACAATGCAGAAGAATGAACTTTTTGAATCCAAGACCTTTCTGCATAAATACCCCAGACCTTTATTTTTCCCCTTTTTTGGTACAGATTCCTCAAAATTCTTATGCATTCTTATATTCAAAGCAGAAAACAGCATGCAGTCTTTTCATAGACTTGAGCTAAGCAGTTAAACCTGGATCATTGGGAGAGAAGAAAGCAAGTATTCTCTCTCCTTCTCTGCAATCCAAAATTCTCTCATGACATTTTAAGTGTCAAAAGAAGTATTTCCTATTTTAACTGAACAGATTTGGAAAAGGAGTGCAAAGCTGATTCACTAATTGAGCATGGGCAAATTTACCCAAATATTTAATCCCAACCGTGCAACGATTTCCTCACATTCAATTCACACAACATATTTACTAAGTGGTAATTCTAGCACTATTCTTCTTCAACATCCTGTTTTTTTCTACCTGCTTTTATGGAGTAGAATAATGTACATTACTGTAAAAATAAGTTTTGACTTCTGTAACTTTATGGCCGAACATGGGTCATAGGGTATGCTTGCAACAAGAGCTGGAGAAGTAAAGCTGCTTTGAGTCCCAAAGAGAAAACTGCTGAGAAGAAATTTAAAAAACAAACAAACAAACAAACGCAAACAAAACAAAATTGAAGTCTCTCGAGGAGAAAGGTTAATGGGTAGGATTAGGATTATGATTATTTTAAAAACCTTCAAATGAAGTTTCAATGTTGGGTATAATAAAAATGGCACCATGTATGTTTCAACTTCATTGATGATTACAGTGATGATTAATTCTCTTTTGAAGATCACTCTGCAAATGATGGCAGTTTGGGATCAATTTAAATTTTATTCAAAAGTCTATGAATTGTTCTGAATTAAGGTGTCATGGTTCCGATGCTAAGACCAACAGAATCAGAACTCTGGGGCTAGAGGTTTTCTCAAAGAACATGTTTATTGGTTAAAAAATATCGGCACGGTCAAAGTGAAACCAAGTCTGAAATTCTCTCCAAAGAGTACAAAGTCAAATTTCCCACCCTAGAGCTATGCAAACAGCTAAGTTCCCCAACAGAATGATTTGGCAGACTTTCTAACAAAACGCCCAGCCCTCCAAGCTAACCGATAGAAAGACCTTGGTTCCAATGGGAGACAGAATTGTTTAGACTAGCAAAAATACTTTGCACCCCCTCCCTTTCTCGTGGCAACCTAGAACAAGCAACATGGCTTCATCCAGATTCGTTGTAGAGTTGACATCAGGGAATTAATTACAAGCTCGTAAAAAGGGAGTTTTTTTAATGAATTGTCCAGGAACTGTTGTAATTTATATGTGCTTCCAAGCAAAGCTCTTTTTTGTAAGATACATGCTGTAAATTTGAATAATTCAATTTTTTTCAGCTGTTTTGACAATTTTATTATTAAAGCACCGAAGATTCCAATAATTATTAGGAAAAAAATTGCTGGTTTATTCCATGATCTCCATTTCACTTTTTAAGTCATGATATTTTACATTCATTTCCAGCTACCTTTGAGCTACTTTGCTATTATTTGCAACTGCCACATCTATAAGTAAAACTTGGGTTTTTTTCAACTATAGGTAGTTTTCAACTTACAACAGTTCATTTAGTGACCGTTCAAAGTTACAACGGCATTTATGACCATTTTTCACACTTACATGATCAAAATTCAGACGTTAGGCAACTGCCTCACATTTATGACTGTTGTAGTGTCCTGGGGTCATGTGATCCCCTGACAAGCAAAGTGAGGAAGCTGGATTCACTTAACAACCAGGTTATTAAGTTAACAACTGGAGTGATTTAATTAACAACTGTGCCAAGAAAGGTCGTAAAGTAGGGCAAAATTCACAACAAATATTTCACTTAGCAACAGAAATTTTGGGCTCAATTGTGGTCATAAATTGAGAACTACCTGAACTGATGAATTGGGTTCTAAATCTCAATCTGCGTGAATGTGAAAATGCCATACAATTTATGCATGATCTTTCAGAGCACTTTTTTCAGTCTTGCGATTGTATTAATATTTAAAGACATCATACTTTTTTTCTTAAATTCCAATATGCTGTTTTTGCCTACAGTCATGTTTTGTCTTATAACCTGTCAAGACAATTTTGTATTATAGGCTATTTCTGATTCAGCCACATTCAAAATATGTTTATGGTAGACCCTTTTACGACTTTGCTTTCATCTGTATAATCATTTAAGCCTCTGACTTTATCCTCCAGTGTCTGCTTCAACTGCAACAAACCATGACTACCCATTTTTCTTGTTAAATAAAATAGTTTTTGTTACCTTTTTTACGTAATGCATAATATTGTCTATCTATCTAAGGCATTTAAGTCAAATAGTAACCAGTCACAAGTAATATTTGCTTGTGGTATTACAGGTTCAGCCCAAATATTAAATATTTTGATTGCATTATTGCCAATCATTACAAATTCTAAAACTTTTCTGACTCATGTTGAAAGATGGTTTGGGCATGCAAGCATCTGTTTGCTTTAAAACATCCAAATATTTGCACCTTTTTTCTATTGTCAACCCTTTGATTTTAATGCCACTCCATAATTTAATTCTGCCTGTATATTCAATTTATCCTTTTTAAAAAAATTCAAATTTTATTAAATATACATTTAAAAACAGAAGTGGACATGATTCAACTTCCCTGGCTACAACACTGCTATTAGTATTACCTTATGTTATAGAAAGAAAAATAGAAACTTAAAATACATTCTATAACAGGACAGAGTATAACAAACTGTACATATAACATCTGTAAATTTTTTGGTAAACCATCTTTCAGTCGTCAACGTTGTATTTACATATCTTTCAGTTGCGTCCTAATATAGGTGTTAATAAGAAGTCCTTACAATATCAACTAATCAATCGATAATCATCTCAGCAATCCTCCTTATCTCTAACCAATCGTACCAATTTTTCCAAATTTCATAATACTCCGTTTCAGTTTTATTTTTAATCTCTAGAGTTAACCTGTCCATTTCGGCGCAGGATAAGATTTTATTCATTATTTCTTCTTCTGTGGGGGTTTCCTTTCTTTTCCATTTTTGGGCATATGCCAATGTTGCTGCGGTTAAAATATGCAATAGTAAGTAGAAAGATGCTTTGCTGAGTTTATCATTAATAATCCCTAATAAGAAGGTTTCTGGTTTCCATAGAAGGTATAAGGAAAGGGGTTAATATGGATATGGTTTCTTATGCACAGTTACTTAGATGGGATGGCCAAGACTGGCAGTTAAAATCTTTGGAAGAACTAACACATGAAAATCTAACTTATTCATGGTTCCAATATAGACAAATAGTGGACAGATGGAAGATGGATTGTAAAATGGGCTGGCTTAGAGAAGATGAAACTCTCCTAAAACAAGTAAGAGATCAAAGGCCAACCCATATTAAGAGAGTTTATGGGGTTTTAGTGGAATTGGATTCAGAATCTGAATTAGTTAAAGATTGTATGATTAAATGGGCACAGAATATTGGTGAATCGATTTCAATGGATACTTGGGAACTTATTTGGACAAGAAATGTTAAATTCACACAAGCGCAAAATTTAAGAGAGAATTTTTATAAGATGTTTTATAGATGGCACCTTGATCCAAAGAAAATGTCCATTATGTACTCTAATTTACAGCCGAAATGCTGGAGATGTGGACACTTGGATGCTACTTATTATCATATCTGGTGGACGTGTAAGCATATAAAAGCTTTTTGGATTAAGATATGGTGGAATATTCAGAGAATTTTTAGAAGGAGGGTAAAATTTACTCCGCAATTATTTTTATTAGGTATTGTTACTGATTGTGATGCTAGGGAGGTTATATTGATGCTAAATTTGATTACAGCCGCTAGGCTGTTAATAGGACAATATTGGAAGAAGGAATCCTTGCCTATTTTACAAGAGTGGTTTTATAAAGTTTCGTATTTGGCAGAAATGGCAAAGATTTCGGCTTTTTTAAAGGAGCAATCTCAAGAGAAATTTTTTGCGGTATGGGAAAAATGGATAAATTTTATACAACATAATTTAGATATGGAAAAATATTATTTAGCCTTTTTATAACTTGTAATGATTGTTTTTTTTTTCTTTCTTTCTTTCTTCTTCTGTATTATTATTTATATACTTTTCTATATATGTTTTATTTTTCGCCTACCTCTTTCTTTTTTCTTTCTCTCTCTCTTTTCTTTTTCCCTTTTTTCTTCTTCCTTTTTTTTACGTATATTATTATTATATATATTATTATTATGATTTTTATTATTATTATTAATTATCTTATAAATTGTATACGTTATTTTTTAAAATTTGTTAAATAATCCTATACTCAGTTCTGGGAAGTCGGGGGGGGGAGGGTGGGGTGGTTTGGGAGGGGGGGTGGATGTTTATTTGTAAAATTTTTGAAAAAAATTCAATTAAAAAAAAAAAAAGAAGGTTTCTGGTTTTAAATCAATTTTTTGTATTAGTATTTCTTCTGACCAATTTTTTATCTGATGCCAAAAATTTTGCGCTTTTGAACAGCATGTCGGTGAGGTTTTTTTTATCTATTTTTGCTAGCCTTGTAGGGGGAAGGTGCCATCTATAAAACACCTTGTATAGATTTTCTTTATATGAGGTGGCTAGCGTTAACCTCCTGTTTCTATCCCATATTCAATTTATCCTTTTTAATTGCCCACGCACATTTATCCAACCAAAATTCTATTCAGTTGTCATCACTAAAGATTTTAAATGTATATACAAGTTACTTTATTTTTCTAGATGATTTTAGATATAGTTATATTATAATCTATATAAGCAATTGGGAAACTTACTCATCCCTTTCTTGGATAATTTGGATTTTTATTTAAAATTATCATGAATAGAATCAGAATATTTTAAAGAGTGGAGACAAAGAGTTACCTTCAAAACATTTTTATTTTGATTTGACTTCTCCAAATTTTATTGTATTTGAAATCAGAATTTCAAACATTTCTAAACATTTCTTAATGCAGCTATAGGGTAGATAATAATAATAATAATAATAATAATAATAACAACAACAACAACAACAACAACAACAACAACAACAACAAAAAAGTTGGAAGAACCTTGGAGGTCATCTAGTCCAACCCCCTGCTCAGGCAGGAAATCCTATATCATTTCAGACAAATGGCTATCCAGTCTCTTCTTAAAAACTTCCAGTGTCGAAGCATTCACAGCTTCTGGAGGCAGGTTGTTCCACTGATTAAGCAAGTCGTTCCACTGATTAGTTGGATTAATTGATTTCTTTTTTGTTTGTTTGTTTGTTTTATGCCTTTTAGACCTTTAATTTTTTTTTCAATCAAAAATTTGTCTTTTGTACCTCTAGAATTTTTTAAATTCCATTTTTTTCTCTATTGGGTACAATAAATTTGAAATTCGGTATTTGTAAATGTTATTGTATTAGCAATGTTTCCTGTTAACAGCTTGAATGTGATTAGGCAAAAATTAAATGGATTTATTCCATTTTTTTTCCTTTCATGATTAAAAATGGTCACCTTCTATTGATCCTTACAGCAACATCTGTTTGAAATGAAAATATTTTCTTTGTCCATCTCCTTATCCACCTGGAAGCCTCTATTTTCCCCCCAGCAACAGCATTTGTGTAACGCTTACTGATAGAAAGATTAGGACTGACTACCAATTGCCAATTTAGCCATGGTTGATGGATTCTCTGGTCCTACTTTAGAACCTTAAATATCAGACAGTGATTATTTGTGAAGGCACATAATTTGTAGAACATTATTTAATTTGAAACAAATCAGCAATCTGTGCCAAGGACTGTCCCAAAGATGCTTTTTCAAAAGGAAACTGGACTTTTCCCTTGAAGACATTTTGCTTCTCATCCAAGAAGCTTCTTCAGTTCTGACTTCTTCAGAACTGAAGAAGCTTCTTGGATGAAAAGCGAAAGTCTTCAAGGAAAAACAAACTCCAGTTGCCTTTTGAAAAAGCATCTTTGGGATAACCATTACCTGGACGAATGAGAATCTCCATAGACATTGTGCCAAGGATTGCATTGTTACAGATATTGTGAACCTTTTTAGCATTTATAATAATGTTTGGGTACTTGCCATCACTTTAGATTTTCCTATTCTGCTATTTCCCACAGTTTATTGGGGACTGCATTATTTTGATAAGGGGAATATGCCATTGTGTTATCTTACACGCTTAAGAGGACACAGCATAGATCCTCTGATTGTATGCTACCATGCCAACATGTACAAAGCATCAATTTGTTATATATTACTATGCCTTAGGAACAACAGAGACTCTTGAGAATCTGACTTCGACTCTTTTGTCTTTCTAAACACATGGTGGGGAGATATTTACACATCAGAATGAAATCTAAAGTACTTCTGTTAAAGATAACACGAAGTTATGTAATGTATTAATTATCTTGAATGAAACTGACTTATATTCAGTTGTTTTCGTTTTTCACATATATAAGCACATACCCTCAGACACACAGACACAGTTGCCCATGCTGAGACACAAACCACATGAAAAGTACAATCCTATACATATTTACTAAGAAATACGTCTCACTGCATGCAATGAGGTTTACCTCCTAAGTCTATGTGCATAGCAAGGAAGGGTTGAAAAGCCACAATGTTTAGACAAAGGAGGTGAGGTTAGCAGTTAAGCTTAGAGAGGGGTACATAGACTAGGGTTGGCCAAAATAAAATTTTGCTTGCACTGATGGGCACTGATTGTGACATGGTCTCACAATATAAGACTGGCTACCTGCTTGTCCCATTGCTCTCAGTAAGATTCAGTCACAAAGTCTTAAAAGGGCAAATATAAAGGAATGGAACCTGATCATATTCTTCCTGGGTGACAAATCCAGATCCTTCAGTATCCACATCCTGAAATCTTTGTAGTGTTTCGAGCAGTTCCATTACAGTGGGAATAGGCCAAGGTTGGGAAGCTGCATGTAGGAATCTGCGCCAGTCCACTGTGTCCAAATTCACAAGTAGGAATAATGATAGGCTCTGCAACTGTAACATATAATTGCAAGCACAGAGATAAATGCATGATCCCATGCAATGAAAAGATTAGGAATGGATGATGTAGGACAAGATATTGTTGCCGGACTTCAACTTTTTGAATTCCCAGCAAGCCATGGAGGCTGGGAAGCATGGAAGTCAAAGCCCAATATACTATATACACTGAAGCCATTAGATGTGAGATATAGATAAATAATTGCACAGACATGAAGAAGACTTCACTGATAGAAACAGCAAAGTAAATATAATAATTCACCAACAGAAAACTGTCATTTACTACAAGCGTTATTGTCAAGGCTTTCCTAGCTGGCAAGCAGAGGAAGCAAAAACAACAGATTTCAGTTAGGTAAGTAAATTTCATACTTGAGAACCATTAGTATCAGCAGTCAAGACTGAATTAAGAGCCGAGGTGGCGCAGCAGTTAGAGTGCAGTACTGCAGGTCACTTTAGCTGACTGTGTTCAGCAGGTCAGCGGTTCAAATCTCACCGGCTCAAGGTTGACTCAGCCTTCCATCCTTCCGAGGTAGGTAAAATGAGGACCCAGATTGTTGGGGGCAATGTAAAATATATATACATTGCTTACTGGTGTACACCGCTTAGAGAGTGCTTGCACTTGAAGCGGTATATAAGTCTCATAAATAAATAAATAAATTGAACACCCCTACTTCACCCCAAGTGTTTTAATGTTATTTTGAGTTAATATACAGAGTCTTGAAAACTGTAAACGGTTTTCCAGCCTCACTGAGAAGTTACACTGAGATAATTAAAGTGAACTTTCTTTTAAATACAGTATGTTTCCCCCCATCTCTCAACAACTGGACTGAGGTATCTTTTCTGAGATACATACTCCTCTGATTTGCCTGCAGCTTCCCATTATTTTTCCTTGTCATCCACAATACCCAATAAAAACAAATCATGTTTCTTTCTCTCAAAGCAACAGTCTACGTCATTCTTTTTAAAGGTAAGGTCAGTGGGCTTTTTCTCTTCATTGAGTAATAGTTAGGGCAGAGTTTCTAAACATGGCAACTTTAAGATGTAGGGACTTCAAGTCCCAGAGATCTCCAGCCTGTAGGTATGGACCTCTCCCAGAATTCCCCAGAGAGCAAGTCCATACTTTTAAAGTTGCCAAACTGTGGAGTGCTGATTTGGGATTAGCTGGCACTCATGTGACCTAGAAACCCCACGGTCACTCTCAATCATGGAAGCTCACTGGATAACTTTGGGCTGGTCACTTTTCTTCAGTCCAATCTACCTCATGGGTAACTGTAAAGAACAGTAGTAGAAGAACAAAAAGCAGGATATAAATCTATCAAATCAATAAATAACACACAGAAATACGAAAGCAATCCTCATTTCAGTTGGTCTTGAAGGCAGAGATGGGTTGTCCACAATATGAAAAAAAATCCAAGAAGTTGACTTCCAGGAATATTCAAAATGGTTTAACTGATTAGCACCTTTTATACACATTGGTAAACAAGCTCCCTTTATAAATAATTCCTAGCATCATCTCCATTCAAGCAATATGTCCTGTCTTTCTACAACTATTAACACTTAAGTTTGGTAATTCAACCACATAGCAATACATTCAAGTAAAAACTAAAGCAACATCACATACACTAAGGGTCTCCATATGGATGGTCACGATGGCAGTCATAACTGTATAATTATGGTCTCTATCTTGACTTTTTATACTTTTCCCTCAGAAGTGCCCTGATGGATACTTACATCATACATGGAGAGATGCAGCCAGGCATCAGGAAGCATATTGGACCCAAGATTCAAAGTAATCAAATCAAACAAAATATCTATGAATGTTTTACTTGGTATTAAACCTAGGCAAATAAGAAAAGAGAGGAGGAATTGGGTCAAAGTGGAATTAATATAAAAAAGTTAAAAATCAATTGCATTTGACTGCCTAATACTGTAGGCACATTGCATATTTCCCTGTCTTTCTTTCCTAATTATACAGTATATACAGAGAGTATAATTTACTTTATATGTAATTGTACAATGTTGTACATTTCGATTTCTTTAAACTATGTAAACCAAGCTGTGGGTTGCTGTCAATCAGCTATGATCCAAGAGGAAACAAAGCAAGTATCCTGCTCTTGAAGTCCGTTCCCCTAATAAACATGATTACAACTGGAACATAACTGGTTTCCAAATTGGAGTTGAAAAAAGAACACTCTTGCATATTCTGACCATTTTTTTTAGTTTCCACAATTTCCTTTTTGGGGAAAATTATTAAGATGTTGACTAGGTTGCAACTACAAAGGACTCTGGATGAAATGGATTATATGGAACTCTTTTGATACCATTAACTATAGCCATGGTAGCGAACCTATGGCACGTGTGCCAGAGGCGGCACTCAGAGCCCTCTCTGTGGGCACGCGCGCCGTTGCCCCAGTCCTAGGCCTTCAGCTAGGTTTTATAAAACCTTTTCACTTTAGGCCTCTGCCACCGTGTGCAAAAAAAAAAAGGCTCAATCAATCAATCAATTTCAACTTCTCACGGGAAAAAAATGATCTTGCAAAGTTGGAATTGATTGAACTTTTTAGTCCCACCCAGTCTGCCGTTATCACCGCAGCCATGCCCACCCAATGGGCCACACCCACCTGGCACCGATGATACATAAGTTTCAGTTTGGGCACTTTGGGTTGCAGTTTGGGCACTCGGTCTCTAAAAGGTTCGCCATCACTGTCCTACATTGTTCCATACCACCTGTTGTTCTGTTCCCAGTCAAATTGACTTATAAATGGAGACTTGGGGAATAATCTTGTTCTCCCTGGGTGAGTTAACTAAGGATTCACTGCTCAGATCTAGTGAAAACTGCCACTGCTTTCTGTCATTAGGACTTTGCTGTTGATAGAGGGTGGATCAAGAAAGAGTGGCATCCATTCAGTCCAAAGTCCACTTGTTCTCAGGATGCTCTCAAGAAGGAGCTAAAATAATGCCAGAATTGATGTTAGTATAGAGCAGTGGTGGCGAATCTTTTAGAGACCGAGTGCCCAAAGTGCAACCCAAAACCCACTTATGCATTGTCGGGTGCCAGGTGGACGTGGCCACCGAGTGGGCGTGACCATCGAGTGGGCATGGCCACTGAGCTGTTGGCTCGTGCTCGCTCACTTGCTGTCTGCAGCAAATGCTGCTTCTGTTGAAAGTTGCTCATTTTTATAGCCTCTTGCCTATTCCCAGACTACGCATGTGTGGAGCACTGCGCATGCGTGGAGAGGAGGGAGCAGCTTGGCCCAGCAATGGCTCGGGTGCCACTAGAGATGGCTCCGCATGACGCCTGTGGCATGCGTGCCATAGGTTCGCCACCACGGATGTAGGACATCAGCAAAGAAATAGTGATATATAGGTACAAGCATACAAAATTGAAATGAAACTGTGGGTTTCGTATGTTACCAGTCGTTCTTGCAACTAATCTAATTCTCAGGTCTGTTATGAGGATAAAATGAGATACCAGGAAAGAGAGAAACCATGTATGCTGTCAAGAGCTCTTGAAGGAAAAGTGTGGTGCAGAAAACAGAGTTTAGGGGACCCAATCAAAAGTATGCATGGTATTGTTTCAAGAATGTACACAGACTCTTCACAAAGACTGAGAAGGTTTGTTACAAACCTTTGATTAGAGAATGTATAGATACTAAAGCAAAATATTTATCTGAATCAAATTTGTTTTCTAAAGAGAATCCCTTGGTGAAAGAGCATAGGAAGCAGACATTCAAGGAGATCCATGAAAGTTATGACACAAATTTATACTCATTTTACTTTTGCATTTACTTTACATTTGCATACTTTACATTTGCCTTTTCACTTGCAAATGACTCTGATTCTTATCCCAACCAGAGAAAGGAGAAATCCTTCTGCAGATACTATTTTAAGCACAACAACCTTTCATGCCATGCCTAATTTCTACCAAGCTCTTTTTCCATGAGCCAATTAGTTAACTATGCATGCACTTGATGGTTGCAAGGTTTTCTATTTCTACAGTTGCAACTGCAAAATTTGAAAGCATTAAGAAAGTTGAAGTTATGCAAATACTGTGGTACCTTCTGAAGTCAGGTGGATTTAAGCTTTTATCCAGGGAGCACAGGACACATCCAAGGTTTGTATGGGAGAGAGAGAGAGAGATAGCTTCCTCAAGTTTTTATTACAAACATAATTCCTTCTGCATTGGACTTTTTGAGCTTTCTTAATTATCCGCTGTATAAATTTCTTTTTTCCCCTTTATTATTTTACATTGATTTTAAAAAGTACCATTTGTGGTTAAAATGTTGCATCTTCCTTTTATAAAAAGCTGCTCCCATCAGCATCAACACCCATTCAAATAGTTCAAATCCATGTAGAACATTCAAAGAAATGAACCAACTGCCTAAGAAAAAAACAATTCTTTCATTTTGGGAGATCAAGTTATCAACGTATGATGCAAAGGGTAAAGGACATTAATATGCTCTGGCTGGAACTTATGTTGCAAGACATTTCATTTCCAGAAGAATAGTAATAATTATTTCTCCATTTCAGCAGAACAAGGATATATAGTTGGAATGCAGAATAACAGGTATTTCAAAGAATTTCTTCCCATTCTTCAGTATCTTGTTAGAGACAAAATGTTTGGAAATTCCTACAGTGCATTTTTGTATTTTGCAATGCCATATTTGAAAATAATATTTCTAAAGATATTGGACTTTAGCTCCTAACATTTTTATCTGGCTCGATAATTTACAGCAGCTGGCGGAATACATATTTTTTAGCCCTGCTCTACAGAAAGATCTTGGCCATCTCTAGCTTTTCAATATGAAAACTATTCAACTTTTCTAAAGACATTTGTTAAAATCTTCCAAAGTCATGTTTATTTCATTTCTCGAAATTCTATATGCTTGTTTAATTTCATAAAATAAATTATACTCAAGTGCTGGAAGATCTTAAACTAAATGGTCAAGAAGTGTTGGTAGTCAGTAGAATAAAAGTATTACAGAGATATATTTATAGTTCTATTAGCAGATTTAGAAAGTGTTGTGCCTTATGAGGTGGAAAAGTCAAAGCTGGTACTAAAGCATTCAACAAACATGTTTTGTGTCTGAGATGCAAAAATTAAAAAAATACATTAAACCCTACACAATGGCCAGCAAAAGGGCAGAAGGGAGCATGTGCCACTATAGCTTCTGTAGTTATACAAGTATACACTTTGCTTTTAATTGGAGTGCAGATTTTTTTTTTGGAGGGGGAAGGTGATAATTACTAAATAGTTATTTGTTGAAACAATGCTTCTGCGAGAAATTGAGACAGAAATAATGTTGCATGTCTAGTCGCTTCCAAATGAACTTTCCCTTTCCCATTCGGGATCAGATGAAGAATCCGAGTTCTCATGAGGAGATACTCCAACTGGGATCCCACTGGAATCCCACTGATTAGCTTGTAGTTTTCTGTTCTTTTGCCAAGAAACATTCCACAACCGAACAGCTTCCTGGGGATCAAATTTTTTAATCTCGGGAGAATTCAGCTGAATGACCATGAGATCCGTCATGCTTTCAAACATGAGTTTTGAACGTAGCCTCATCATTGTCAGCTTCATTTGACCAAAGCCTCGTGCTGCTTCGCTGGAACTTGCTGGCAATGTCAAGAGAAGATCGATAAGGGCCAAGACATTCGGATATTTATGAAAAAAATCTTTGTTTACCAAATCCCATGTTAAGCTCCGGATGTTTTCATATCTAGAAAAGATCACATTTATTACTAACATGTTCCTTTTGCTAATGTAGCAGTAAAACAAACTTGGATTTAAGACAGCATGCTTATTACCTATTATATAGCTCTGCTTTTAGCATATTCCATTCAGTTTCAATTTCATCCACTTTCACTTTGGCCCATTCTAGGACTGGCTCATAATGCTGAATCAATAGAGATACTTCCGTCTCACCAAATTCTATAAGAACATTTATATTAATTGAAACAGTCCACATCTTTCAGAAAGGAATCATTTATTAGCCACTGCAGGGTGCTTTCTGTACCTTGTTTGAATTTGTCTGGCCACAGCTTAAAGCTTCCAATGGCGCTTGCGATCAAAACATCTTCACTAGCATCACAAAAACAATCTTGCAGCTGGTTCAAGAGACTACTTAATAATTCTAATCGAGTTGCTGAAATATTTCCATCTCCCACAAGTGGGTAACCATGTAAATATGTGATTGTCTCTACCAGACGTTCTCGCGGCCCTGATCTGAGGGGAGAAACATGATACTTAAGCAATAAACTCTCTCATTTCAATTCAGACACACTTAAAAATATGCAATAATTGTTAATATCCAACCTTTTTTGATACATTTGGAGTATCTCCAATGTTGACTGAATCGTAGCAAAAACATCTGCAATGGAAGTGTTTGGATTGTGGGCAACACGAGACAGAATGTTGAGGACATTAATGACATCTAATAAAAAGTGAGAAAATTTAACTATGTCTGTTTTTAGAAGCAACTTCAAGAGATCTTTGGCTTTCTGTTGATTTGAGGAACCTGATTCTTCTCCCATCTGGAAATCAACATGAAAAACAATGTGTTAAAACACAGAAAACTTCTAGTTTTTCAATTATTACTCAAATCCTATAGTTTCAAAAAGCATTTACCTTATTCAGGTGTAGGACAATTGCTGGGTAACCTTTCAGAAGGATCTGAAGAGCTGTCTGTAAGCGAAGAAACCATTGAGAGCCACCAATTTGAGAAGGAATCACTGGTGTCACTTTACGAGCTTCATAAATTAGCTTAAGGTTGTTCTTATTCATTGGAGAGTCATGATAAAAATAGTACAAGTTTTTTAATAAATCCACAAGTATATTGAATAGTGGATTATTCTTCAGTACTATCTTGTAGGCCATTTCAAGACGGTGCACAAGGCAATGAATGCTCTGAATACATGGTTGTATATCCTTCAATAGTTTAGCTACTCCATTTTCTCCTACCATAACATCTCTACCATCACTGCCAAAGCCAACCAGTTTTCTTGCCCAGTCATGGTTTGGCAAATTGACCTTCAGATTGGTTTGTAAGGTTTTCAAAATGGCATTTTTCACTGTCAAAGCATCATACATGACTACGGACTGAATTCCAACAATCTGGCAATGGATTTTCCCTTGATGTGCAAACTGTATATATACAAGGGCTGCTTCTGTTGTTCCACTGTCTGTAATGCCATCACTAATGAGAGAGAAGAACTTGCATTTTTCTAATTTCTCTTTCAAGGCTCTTCTTTCCACTTCAGCAATAAAATGAATAAAAATTCTTGCTGCTTTGTCATTTCTAAATATTGAACCAATGTCCACCCCCTTCATATCATCCAGTTTACTTATCCAGTCCAGGTCTGTGAAGGGGCGCCCAGTTTTGGCTATGGCATGGCACGTTCTAAAGAGATTTTCAATTTTTCCCAAAGTTGTTTTACTCATGTTCTTTAACATCTGCTGAGTGGTATCTGTGTCTGGAGTAGAACTACTAGCTGCTTCCATACAGGAAGCCCATGCATGAGCTTCACTGTTATGGTGGTCATCAACTAATTCAAGAATAAAGTCATCAGTCCCAGAGCAAAAATTGTGTGTCTTTTCCCCTAAGTCTACATTATGTTTCCGACACAGAGCACAGTACATAATGCCCTTGTTACTGTCATATTTTAACCATGTGTACTTCAACATCCAGATGTTTGGAAACTGATGATTCTTCTTTGAATAGTTTTGTTTGCTTGGAGTTACATTCTTGCTTTTAAATTGCTTCAGTGCTGCTATGGCTATAAATATTTCATAATGTTTATTACAACAACATTATAGTGTTTTAATACAATTTCAATATAATTATTATTTTGAGCTACAATGATTAATTATTCCAAACTATAGAAGTTCAACTACTGTATTTGTTACAAGACAGTAAATGAGAAGCATCTGAAAATTTCATTTTTTTCTTTCATAACACAAATTTAATGCAAAGATATATGCTGAATTCTGTATTAACTAGATTACATATGTGAAACTGAATCTTGTCTTTCCACAAAATGATGCAAAATATAAAATGTTTATCTTTAATCTTTTTAGAAATTAATATAATCTGAAACTATATTCAGCAGCATTGCTGACATGCTTTTATTCCTTATTTACAATCATAAGAGCTCAAAATTATTTCTTTCTTTTATTTTAAGAAGAGGCTGTTGGGGACAAATCCAAACAAACATACCACATTGTGTTGTCTGAAGCTTCCATTAAATAAACATTCCATTTAAGAATGTTTCCTACAGTTAGGAGTTAACTCATAATAATGCTTAGTTGAATCCACACATTCTGTGCCAGGATTTTTAAATATAATACATTGAATAAGATATAATGTTATGAGGTTCATAATAGTTATAGGAACAGCCTGTTAATGCTTCTACTAACAGGGAAGAAATATATACAGCAAAGACCTATATATTTCTGAAACACATTGCCAGCAAATATATAGAATACTTTTTTAAGTAAGAAATGTTAATAGTCGTGGTGGTGTAGTGGTTAGAATGTAGTACTGCAAGCTACTTCTGCTGACTGCCAGCTGCCAGTAGTTCAGCAGTTCGATTCTCACTGGCTCAAGGTTGATTCAGCCTTCCATCCTTCCGAGGTCGGTAAAATGAGGACCCAGATTGTTGTGGTCAATATGCTGACTCTATAAACCGCTTAGAGAGGGCTGTAAAGCACTATGAAGCGGTATATAAGTCTAAGTGCTATTGCTATTAATAGAAACCTTGTTTTTAATTCAGATATTATAGGGGAACAACCTGTTTCTGATGAAGCTATCACAGAAGGAAATTATGTTCTGCCAGTTGAATCTAAACACAGGTTATCTGCAGAAACTTCATCCTTTCATCCAAATGATAAAAGCAGCATTGTTTTGAAATGGGGCGGGGATTCTATCATAAGGTAGAAAGCTACTTTCATCATTCTGCTCCCTCCCTAGACTTGTTATCCAAACAATATCTAGCAACGTATAATACTTTTCGTCACAAGAGATGAATGTGTCAGGTTTGATTTAACTCATTATGTTATTTTTGTAACCGTAATTTTGTCCTTTCTTATTTTCATATTGATTCTTTAAAAGTCCATGTGAAAATGCAGCCATTTTCTATGTACTGTTTCCTAATCATACATTTTTGTATTTGTTTGCAGGGCAGGCATTGTAACCTATTTCCTACTATTCAGAAAAGTTCAGAAAATCATATTACTGTTCATATATCTGTTTAGAAATTTCAACCTGGTATGCTTATCTAAAATAACAATATAAAAAAATACCACACTAATAAATTACATTTCCATCCCTAGAAAAAATACTTTTGTAAGGAGGAATAATCAGGGTTACAGGTAATCCTTGCTTAGCAATAATTGGGACTGGCAACTCTGTCTCAAAGTGCCGTGGTCACTAAATGGAAAATCACATCCTTGTTTTGGGCTTATGTTATCACTTCTATTCAGTTGTTATGCAAATCACTGTGGTTGTTAAGCAAAACATCATATGACCACAACTTCCTATTTTATTTCTATGTTCTCCATTAATTCTGCATACCTCTAAGCCAGATGGGAAGCATACAAGTGGTGATCATGTGATTGCAGGATGCTGTGATAGCTGTAAATGGGCCTAGTTGTAAAGTGCCTGAATAGCAATCACATGACTGTGGGATATGGTCATAAATGTGAGGGCAACAATCATAAAGGTGAGGATTGGCCACAATAGTGTTTTTGTTGTAACATCAAATGGTTGCTAAATGAGATAATCAATAAGCAAGGACTACCTATACAACTTTTCACCTATTGTATGAATGGATATTAGAAATTAACTATGATCATGTGGAGTTCATGAAAATCTTTCCTTTTTTATTATTTAGTATATATATTTGTGCATTTGTATTATTTTTAGAAAAATGCCTATTTACAAAAATTTAGCAAATATATTATAACATTTATAAGCAATTCTTTGAAATCTTTTTAGAACCTTGAATTAAATAGGTTCTTTATTTTGAAGAAAATGTATGGATTGTTAGAGCGATGTGATATTATATAATGTGATATGGCTAAATATTAAGACAGTATAGAAGTATTAGGAAAATAGAAGACAGTACATTGGAAGACAGCCTAGACAGAGACATGAAAGATTATTGAATAGAGTTACCTAATGTCTACATATTTTTAGTTAAAAAAAAGCAAAGACACACCATTTGGGTGTACATGAAAAAGGATGGGTGCATCTGAAATTTGAATATAAAAAGAACCGCTAAGTCAAAAGAAATTTTATTGAAGGACCTATATGTTAAAAATGTGTTGAGGAACAATATCAGGAAACTGCAGTGAAGAAAAGTAGACTTGCATTGTTAATGTATAAAAAGATCTAAAGTTTTATTTTAAACAACTAATCAGCATTTTATCCTGTTCTTAACCTTTGTAGAAACACTTTATATACTATGGATACAAATATACTATTTCAATCACTTTAAATCTTGAATAGTCATTAATATGTTTTTACAAATCTATATGAAAAGTATTTTCTTACCTTTAGGTGCCACCTGTAGAAACTGCTTATGAAGAGTAGTAAGCTGTGAAATAGTGAGTGTACTGTTTGAAGCAGTCTCCACAGATGGGGGACGATGTGGAAGAGGAGGATCTTCAAATATTTTTATATCACCATTAACGTAGAAATCTACCCCTTCCAGGACTAACTCAAACTGAATTCTGGAAGAAGCTTCAATACGATTGCGGGCAACCCCAATTAATTTATCCACACTGTAACGATACACAATGCTTGAAAATGAAAAACGTAGCAAAACCTAAAATTAATAGTTTTATTGACAATTAATATTTTTCTACTGGCTTTGTCCCTAAAAGAACCAGTAGGATTCTTCAACTCCAGGCATGCTATTAAAATCTCTAATATGTTCTCTAGAACATGTGAAGCCAACAGCTACTGAAATGCCTGTATTGGAAAAATAAAGCAAGTCTCTTGCTGGATTGAATCTCCCAATTTTCATAAATGTCATTCGACTTCCTATGAAATTGGAGTGAATTTTTTATTATGTTTGAAAAACGTCTGTACCGAAGTATTCATTTTATGGAGAAAAATCCAATGGGAATGACACAAAATCACGATAACTTCTCATTTCCAGGTACAATATGGATAGAAAAAGTTTGGGATTGCCCACCTTAATAACTCTCTCCAGATTGCATTTCAGTTTATGGATTAGCACAAACAAAACTAGTTTCAGATATGCCAAAATGTAAGAGGAGCAGAGAGACCAAAAGATTGTCTTCATTTTGTTTTGCTTGGGATTTCACACAGAAGGAATAAATAAAAAATGACATTTCCTTCCATTTATGGAAGTCTTAATGAATCAAAGTAAAGTGGTAAACAATTGCAGGGGCTCATTCAAAAACCTATTCACAGCTATTCAGAAAAAAAACCCCTATCTTTCATTTCTCACAATAAATGCTACTTTAAAACTATAATTCATGCAGTCAGAAGCTCAGTATTTAACTACATATACACACCCAAGCATAAACTATTATTCACAATTTGTTCTTATCCAAATAATAGAAACACAACTGTAGTTTGTCTTTAGTATAGATAATGCAGAATTTCTTCATCTTATTTATTCAGTCTTTTGCTTAAGCCTAATGATTTTTACCTGATTTCCTCTATTGTAACATAATATTATTACTTTATTAAACAATTTATTACCTAGCCATTTCAGCCAGAAATCTCTCTCCAAGCCATTTTTCCATATTTCTGTATGTTTCTTCTGCCTTTGATTGTAGATCATCCAGGAAGGCTAATCCTTTAACTTTTAACAGCTCAAGACGAGATTTTGCAGCCTCCGCTATTTTAAAATGGCTTGTAGTTAGTATAAATCCAACCACATTCTAATATTCATTAGATTAAGTATTATGTAGGAAACAGAGCAATTAATTCTGTGTACAGGAAGTCCACAACTTATAACAGTTGATTTAGTGACCTTCAAAGTTACAACAGGACTGAAAAAAATGACTTATGTGACCGTTTTTCACACTTACAACCATTTCAACATCCCATGGTCATGTGATCAAAACTCAGATACTGGGCAACTGTTTCATATTTATGATGGTTGCAGTGTCCTGGGGTCATGTGAGCTTAAATGGACTTCAGAAAATGGTTGAAGACAGGAAGGCCTGGAGGAACGTTGTCCATGGGGTTGCGATGGGTCGGATATGACTTCGCAATTAACAATTAACAACAATGATGCAAATACTCAAATATGGCTTGGTGATGCATTTAAATTTAAATTAAGTTTCATTCATGAACTTATATTTTGAACTAATTATGGTTTATGAGTATATCGCAGATAAATTTTATGTTTTGAGCTAATCATAGTTTATATCACAGATAAATTTTCTCTGCCACTCCAGCCTTTTGGCTGCAGTGCAATGTTCCTCAGTGTTTTTGGTGCAGAGTTCAGTCTAACACAAAACAACCTGGCCTCATTTTATTTCTGTTCTTAAAGAATTAAAGTAATGAACAATAGCAAGATTCACAAATATGGTAAGCCCAATACATGAGTAATTGTGGTTATTCAACAAACTATGGATAAACCAAACCACATTAATCAACACCTGAACCTAAAAAAGTTCAAGCAAATATAGTTAACATCCAAAACAAATGTCTATGGAGATTCTCAATCATCCAGGTCATCGTTGTCGCAAAGGTGCAAAGGTTCAAAAGGCAACTGGACTCAAGAACTAAACTCAAGAAGCTTCTTAGACGAGAAGTGAAATGTTTTCAAGGGGGAAAAAAACAAGAAAGTCCAGTTGCTTTTCAAACAACGCTTTTGGGAATTCCAAAACACATGTTGGGGTTTTATTTAATTTTCTCAGCCCTAAACAGGTAGATATTTAGCTATTCTGTTTGCAGAAATTATACCTTCATGCTCCAGTGCAGCAAAATATTCCTGTTTCATTTTAAGCTTCAGTTCTTGCTTCTTTAATTCTTCTGGAGATAAAGGAATTGCTATTACTTCAGTGGTAGATGGACTATGTGCACCTGGAAGAAAAAGTAATATTGTAAAGAATCTAAAGGTAAAAATGTTTGAATAGTTATTATCTTTGTATTAACACACAGCTAATAAAGTAATCTAGGATTTCTCAAATTTTGTGATGCTTTGTTCCCCCAATGAATGCAGGTAGTCCTCGACTACAATTGAGCCCAAAATTTATGTTGCAAAGCGAGAGTTGTCAAGTGAATTTTGCCCCATTTTACAACCTTTCTTACCACAGTTGTTAAGTGAATCACTGCAGTTGTTAAGTTAGTAACAGGGTTATTAAGTGAATCTGGCTTCCCCATTGGCTTAGCTTGTTAGATGGTTGCAAAAGAGGATCATATGACCACAGGACCCTGCACCCATCATAAATATGAGTCAGTTGCCAATTGTCTGAATTTTGATCATATTACCATGGAGATACAACAATGTTGTAAATATGAAAAATGGTCATAAGTCACTTTTTTCAGTGCCGTTATAACTTGGAACGGTCACTAAATGAACTGTTTCAAGTCGAGGATTACCTGAAAATGGTTGGACCATGCTCAAGAGTGCATAGATAAGACAGATTGTCAAGGCAGAATGGGAGCACTCTGTAGTTATCGTCCAGTTATGTGTACTTAACCTTTTGTGGCTTTTTCTGGGGGTACTTATTATGTTGGGTCCTGGCACTGAGTCTACGCACCATCTCTAGATAGTGCAAGCACTGCGCTTGTGCTCAAGCACAAAATATTAGGAGCACTGCAAGTGAATGATGCCTCAAGACTGGAAGGGGGAAATGACTGGCCAGGTCATCTTGGATAGCATTTAGCCAGGCTATGCACAAGTTTCAAAAGGCCAGTCCACCTTTTGAGACTTGTGCATAGCCCAGCTCAGTATCAGCAGCTCTGTGAAGGTCATTCCCATCTGAGTAGAGCAGGAGTGAGTGCAGTCCTTCTCAAGTTTGCTTGTTACCCTCTGACAGTTCTAAAAAAGGAGTTTCGTTCAAGTACTTATAATGCACAAACTGTTTTAAAAGTCTGAACTTCATTCATTTATCAAGAGGTGTTTGCCTGGTGTTGCTGCGGGGGAAATTTCCTGACAGTGAGAACAATCAACCAGTGGAACAGCTTGCCTTCAAAAGTTGTAGGTGCTCTATCACTGGAGGATTTTAAGAATAGACTGGACAGCCATTTGTCTGAAATGGTCTCCTGATTGAACAGGGGGTTGGTCTAGAAGACCTCCAAGGTTCCTTCCATCTCTGATGTCTATATTATATGAGTTAGATCTGCAGCAATAAACTCAAATAAAGCACCCCACTTCCCTGAAAGGTTTCTGAGCATGTATTTGCAATCAGATGTTTTCAGTGTGTGTATGCTTCCTCCCCAGAGTTAATAATCTACTGCAGGGGTCTGCAACCTTGACAATTTTAAGATTTGTGGGCTTCAGCTTCCAGAATTCCTCAGCCAGCATAGCTGGCTGAGGAATTCTGAAAGCTGAAGCCCACAAGTCTTAAAAGTTGCCAAGGTTGAAGACCCCTGATCTACTGGATCTTAGCAAGTTTCAGGACAAAAAACTAATCCCAACACTTTCTGAGTTTGGGGCAAAAGGAGGAAACTCCCTCCCACGTTCCATAAAAGTATCTGTTGGTATTGCCTCAGCTAGACCATTCCTCCTTAACCTGGCACTTCTGAATGTGCCCTGGAAGTACAACCTAAGAATTCTGGAGTTTCGTTTCCATTACATCTGGAAGATGCAGAGAAGCTTTACGATTGTACAGACAAGACTCGTTTCATGCTCCTCTAGTATCTGTTTGCTGGTCCTGCTCTGTATAGGATCACGATATATCACTACACTTTGTTTACCTTTCTTTTTTCCTTTTTTGGCATCTTTGCTGTCCTTTTCTTTGACGTCTTTCCCATCTTTTGCTTCTTTCCCACCTTTTGCTTCCTTTTCGCCTTTTCCTCCTTTCCCTTTCCCTTCCTTTCCACCTTTGCCAGCAACCGTTTGCGAAGATTTGAGGCGCTCTTTTTCCTTCATTTCCTCCTGAAGCCGTTCCTTCTCCTCTTCCGCTTCTTTTGACTGTATTTCAGAACTCACCTGAAATTTTATATACCAACATTTATTAATAGAAATATTAGGAGCATTAAAGTAGAACTGTGGTGAAGATGTTTTTTGAGCAAGACTATAGGTAGCCCTTGCTTAACCACCACTCACTTAGCAACTGTACAAAGTTACGAGAGACCGCCTAAAAAGAAGCGAGGACCTGGTTCCAGAATTCCAACATCATGCACACATTTTGTTTCTCTCTTCTATCCTCACGCACCTGTGACTCATCTCTTTAAATAAAGGCTTTACCTACCATGGAAGATATAGTTGTTACAATATGATGCCATGTCTCTGTGAGCAGTTTCTCATCTGGGCCGAAATTAAATATTACACTTTCTGTAAACAGATCGTCCTTGAGTTTAACTGGAATCAATTTGATCCTTTCTCTGTTAACTTCTGGTGAAGGAGATCTGTGAGCAATCATAGGTATTCTTAGAGAAAGAAAAAAAAAGAAAGAGATAAGTAACAGGTTGAGTCTTGCTTCCTCAGATGCTGTATTTTTAGTATATTGAGTATATTTCTATAAAGGTTTTAATGGACATTGTGGCACTAGCATCAAAACTGTGACTGACGTTTGGGTTGGCTACACTTGCAGCGTTGCCCAAGAGTGAGTCACAAGTTGCAAGTTCTCCCATCGTCCATAGGATATTTAGCGGGCAAATTAAATTTTGGATTTTCTTGTTTCTTGCATCATCTTGCTTGGTGAAGAGTTCTTGAAAATTCATTTTCATATTGTTTTAATTCAAATTAGTATCTATTTAGGTGTATTGCTTTTATTTTAATTAGTTAATAATGACTAATATATCTCCAATCATGTATTTAACCATTTCCCCTGTCTCACTGAAAATTACAACCTACCAACAATTGTTGAGTATTCCCTGTGGCCAGTCTTCAAGGAGACTGCCTTGGGTTTCTGACCACTCCATTTTCATTTAGCTATTATTGTGTTATTTGACTGGCCCTGGTTTTCCAGGGCCTCACATACAGGTGTTTTATATCAAACACATACACCCCGTTGTAAAGCAGATGTTTCATATATAATGGAAGTACATTCATACAAGTATTCTTTCTCCTATTTACATGTTCTCCAATACAAACATATCTATTAATTAGTGCAGTTCTGCCATTTTTAACATACATTTTCATCTTGCTCTCTTCCAGAGATAGTTTTCTTTCCGTAAGATCTATCAATGGTATTCTGGTAAAGTCGGAACTTGTGTCTGTTGGAATTTTGCCTTCCATTGCTCTATAATAGTCATGCAGAAGTTTTTTGGTATCTTGGAAACGGTCCATTTCATTCTTTATGATGTCCAAAGAAAACAAAACAATTAATCCTCTTATCCCTCTGAAAATGCAAGACAATTTTACAACATCTACACATCTATACTGATGTTAGAAATCTATTCTTAAAACAAGCCCTACTCATCTTTACAATTTGGGTTCTAACATTTTGGAACAAGGGAGCTAGTGCCCAGTTTTTTTTATATTTGAGCTACATGTTAATAGTGTTAAAACACTTTATAATGCCTTGGTAAGGCCACACTTGGAATACTAAATCCAGTTTTGGTCACCACAATATAAAAAAGAAGTTGAGACTCTAGAAGGAGTGCAGAGAAGAGCAACAAAGATGATTAGGGGACTGGAGGCTAAAACATATAAAGAACAGTTGCTGGAATTGGGTATGTCTAGTTTAATGAAGAGAAGGACTAGGGGGAACATGATAGCAGTGTTCCAATATCTCAGGGGTTGCCACAAAGAAGAGGGAGTCAAGCTATTCTCCAAAGCACCTGAAGGCAGGACAAGAAGTAATGGATGGAAACTAATCAAAGTAAGAAGCAACCTAGAACTAAGGAGAATTTTCCTGACAGTTAGAACAATTAATCAGTGGAACAACCTGCCTCCAGAAGTTGTGAATGCTCCAACAATGGAAATTTTTAAGAAGAGACTGGACAACCACTTGTCTGAAATGGTATAGGGTTTCCTGCCTGAGCAGGGGGTTAGACTAGAGCACCTCAAAGGTCCCTTCCAACTCTATTATTGTTATTGTAACACCATGGGTTTTAACTGTATGTTAATTAAATATCCACTAAATTATACTGTTACTCATCTTGGAGATTTATGATACTGTAGCTAAGCCAATAGACCTGACACAAGCTGAACATATTTTAAAAATCATAATTAAGTAGTCATAAGATTGTATGCATCATTAATTATCTGTATGTGTGATTTCCCTACCTTAAAAAATGATGTATTTCAACATCAACCATGAAAGTTTTAACAAATGTTTTAACAAGTTATACTATATATATTGTAAATAGCAGCTATTATTTGTGATTAGCATTGGTGAAAATACAGTGAATGTAACACTAAACCACGATATACGGAACAAGTAATAATGGTCTTGTTTGTCTATAGATTCTACAGAATAGAGCAAAAATATGAATAATTGTCCAAAACCATCTGGTTTGGGCCTAAATGACAAATTTCACTCAATAATTCTTCAATTAACACTTTAGTTTCTTTCTACAATGATACTTAAATCCAACAAGAAAAATAATGTCAAGTATAATTTGCCAGGTTCACAGAATCTGTACATCTGAGACCAAACTTTATGCACCTGTCATGCTTTTGATTTATTATTAGACTAAAAGCCGCTAAATATATAACTGAAAAGTAAAAAAACAGTGCCATGTATTCATGGGAAAAGTCACAGAACCACAATCTCAAAAGGGGGGAAACAGAGACAGAAAGAAAGAGGAACCACAATATAAAAATCCAGTTGAGTAGGACTACTATCAGGTCAAAAGTTTCAGCTTAAAGCCCTTAAATCTGTATCTAGCACTTGCCAATCCAGGGGTCTTGGGATTGAACAAGAAACAATACAAGATACAATACAATAAAGATAAAGTTACATGACATTATCTGTCCTAATGCTATCAAACCTTTTTTGGGAAATTTGTTGCATTTATATCTAATATTCCTCCTATATGCCTCATTCAAGATCCATTATGGGCCTACAGATAATGATGCCAACCCTGAGGTCAGGCACATGAAGAACCAGGATGCTTGAATCTGATTCTTTTTGAGATACACTTAATGAATATTGGGTTCATCTTCTTTGGATGACTTCAAACAAAAGCTGGACAGATTTTGTTGGGGATAGGCAGCGGGTTAAATTTAATAGTCAATTATGATATTATGTTTTTCCATTTCATTATATCTGCCCAGTGGCACAGGGAGAAGACATTCACCTTTAGGATTCATATATTTTGAAAGATGGCAAGAGAATAAGAATAGACTGGTGGTGGTGTCATTGTTTGTGTGTGTATGTTGGTGTCCTTTCATAGTTCACCTCCAAATTGGTTATTGATTTGAAGCTATTGCCTGTGGCCAGACTTGCACTATGGATTCTTGTTCGGACAGGCAAAGCTATCTAGTCACACAAAGCTAAAACTCTATCAACGATCTAAGAGTTTACACATGCCAGAGTTTATACATGTGGTATTTGGAAGGCACAATAAAGATTGCAATGAGAAATGTGATTTGGTATCCAACAGATTGTGCTATACAATGTGAATGTGACATCCATGTTGTAATGCAGTTTTGAACATTCATCTTCTATGTAGCCAGAGGTTTTCACTGCAAGTGGATTATAGAACTGTTACTTAATAACACTCCAAGCAACAAATAGCACAAAATGTAGAAACCTATACATTTGAATAGCGAAAAATATCAATTATAATAGCTGTTTTTCTAATAACCTAGTTATTCCTAGCTTCAGCCAAAAGTTCATAACACATGAAAATGCAAAGCTCCTTCTATCGTTTAAGTTCTATTTCAGACCTGCATAAGTGAGAAGATGTGGTTCATCAGAAGCCCAATTCGGTCTGGCAACCAGCCATCGTTCATGATATCACAACGTTCTTGCTCAGCTTCATCTCTCCTGTTTTCACAGATATCCCACAAACGATCCCTTAAATCCTAAAAAATATTTTTTTAACTTATAATGTTCTGAAACATCAAAAATGTTTTATCCCAATCCTCCCTGCCCATCCCAAAAAATAGCTAAATGCAATTCCACTGCAGATATCAACTGCTACATTGCCCACTTTTACACAAACTGGGACTAAGGATCACTCTAAATATAATCAAAATGCAATTTTAAAGGTGACTTAAGGAGTGCAAATTTATAGACAATGGACACAAACCATATTAAATCAATGAATCAAATTAAATGTTTATGTTTACACTGAACTTAGTGATCAAATGTGGTTCTCAAAGTCAAAAATATGGTGTATCCCTGCCTTATATGTACAAAACCATATAGAAACCAGTAGATTTTCATGATTTCAATGCAACTGATACAAAAACATATTGTTACAAAATCTCAAAACACATTTTTTTTTAATGGAGTCTGCAGTCTCTCCTTGCCAGAATTGTTGCTGTCTGCAAAAATAAAGGACTAGATGGGACTTTTTGATGGTGGTGGGGGGGCTGGTGGGAGATAAAAGCTGCCAGTATGGATCTAGTATCCTCTACAGATTCTGGAATGTGCATCACATGCAAAGGTGAATTGTGAATGTGACTTGGATACTTTCTTTCTACAGAAGTTTTCAGAATTATATGAAAACATACTTTACTTGCAAAAGAAATAATATAGGGAAGACTGAAAGTATTATATTGCTAGTCCATTTGCATGTTTGCATGCAGAGTTTGAGTGCATATTTCTACTGTTGAGTTTTCCCCATTAAATAGGAAATGATATGACTTCATTGCCTACATCGCAGTAGTTTATCATGGTTTGAAAAAGAGACTTTTTCTTTTTTTTAAAAAAGCGCCACTTTCCACCACAGTGTGGGAAATTATTGCATTCAACTCAATGAGGTTTTAAGCACTGCTTTGCTTAAGACAAACTTGCTGTTCCTTTCTCCTTTTTATCTGACTCACCAAACTGCTTGGAAAGGTGAGACAACAAACTTGTCATTCCCAGTAACCTAAGCAGGTGTTGTGGTCAGTAGCCACATTTACTGTGTGTCTTCAGAGATAAGCCAGTTTTTAGTCTTTTCATCTTTAGATTCTTGCTAGATACCATAAACTAAGAACCTGGTAGTGCTTTCTGCCCTACATGAAGGAAACCTGCTCACTGGCAGATTTAAGAGCACATTGGGGGCAAATAAATAGTCCTATACTCAATGAACCATAGAATTCATTAATTGGTTAACTAATCTCATCATGAAAATATATTTATTCTATGGAACATACAATCTCCTTTGGGAGAGGGATGTCACTAGGTAAAGTCAGAAAGCTGTCTTTTCAAACATAATGCTTAATCCTTGATGTCTAGTGGAAAAACAGTACAGGGAGTCCTCAATTTACAACAATTCATTTAGTGACCGTTTGAAGTTACAACAGCATTGAAAAAGTAACTTATGACCATTTTTCACACTTACGATCGTTGCAGCATCCCGAGTCATATGATCAAAATTCAGACGCTTGGCAACTGACCCATATCAATGACAGTTGCAGTGTTCCAAGGTCATGTGATCATCTTTTGGAACCTTCTGACAAGCAAGGTCAATGGGGAAACCAGGTTCACTTAACAACCATATTAATAACTGCAGTGATTCACTTAACAATTGTGGCAAGAAAGGTCATAAAATGGGGTAAAACTCACTTAAATGTCTCACTGAACAAAAAAATTTGGGGCTCAATTGTGGTTGTAAGTCGAGGACCACCTGGAAATTTAAATAAACTCCATATTCTACTTCCAAATTCTTCCCCAAGTTTTTTCTTTTTCAAGAATCGCTTTGAAAAAAAAAATGGATAAACTAATGGTCTTTCATGGAATGAGAATTGGTAAAAATAATGTTTCTGACACTAGTTCACTTCAGTGGAAGCTGTTTAGAAATAAAACCTTGAAATATAATTCCCTACAATGCCTCATTCATCTTAGCAAGAAACAAAACCAACTTGCTATGAATTAGTAAATCATCTCCTACTTTTAGTTAATTCTTACAGTCACTCTTTGATGCAGTTCTTCTTTTGTCTCATCATCATCCCATAAGTCATCAGTCACTGAATTATAATCAACTTGCCACTGAGTCACAAATTCCTGCTTGTGGTCTGGACGCTTCAAATAGTCCTTGAAATGGTTTCTGTGAACAGTGAAATGAAAGTCCATACAGGGGGTTGGAAGACAAAAAGGGACACGACGAAGTTTCTTTGAGTCAAACAGTCCCAACACTCACCTTATGTCTGACAGGTAATGAATAATAACATGTTGCTCATCTCTGAGGCATCGAAGTGTTGCTTTGATGTTATTGACATATGTTTTCTCTATTGCTTCCCAGTAAGGAGCTAAGAATTCTGCCACTTCCTGTTAAGTTGTAAAAATACAGAATTAACGTGTATTTATTTATACATTGCCTATCTTAAATGTCAAGGGAAAGGGAGTATGTCTTATGTACCCTCTGGTCATGTATCAGCCAAGGTCCTCTTGGCCTGTGTGCAAGGCTTTCTGATAAGAAAGTTATTTCTTATTTATTCTCACCTGCTAAATAAACCCAGGCAATAACTGACCTGCTATCAAGTTTATTTATTATACTGCATTGATTTTATTCTCTTTTTATATTTCTTCACTAGAGTGCTTGATCAAGTTTACTGTATAGGTAGCTATACCAAATGGGAAGTATGTAAAAAAAGAATGGATTGTGTTTCACTCTAAACATCCCAAAATTCCCTAGTCTTGGAATTTCCATACCAAAATAAGAGAAGAGGAGATGGTGGCAGCTCTGCCTAAGTTAGAAAGCAGTTGTACCTTCTAGATTTAAAGTTTACAATGATGTATGAATCTAGCTATTTGAGTTGGTCACTATTACTCAGCATAAATTATGTCTTAACGCCGTCGTTAGACAATGCTGACAGAGTCGGATTTGATTTCCTTGAAACAGCAGGAGACAAATACTGAGAGATATTAAAAACTTACTTTTCTCAAAAGTTTTATTTTTATATAACATTTGACCCATCATGACGTCATGCTGAGCTAGCAAGATAGAAGGTAAGAGCCATTCTTAGCTAGTTGCGGAATGTATACAAATCAATCTAGTACTGTATAAAATATGGCAAAGATTTCTTTCAAAATTAAAAAAATAAAAAATAAACCAATTTTTTTCAGCTTGATACACTTGTCCTCTAGAACAGTGGTTCTCAACCTTTTAATGCCACGCCCCCCAACCAGTTGTAAGTCGAGGACTACTCAACCGGTCGTAAGTCGAGGACTACTCAACTGGTGCAGCACCGTTTGCAGAATGGAACTTTTGGTGGGCTCAGCAGGTCAGAGACAGCCTGGATAATTCCTATTGGCTTTTGAAAGCCAATAGAATTAGACTCTATTCAAGAGACTCTATTCTATTGGCTTTCAAAAGCCAATAGAATAAAAGGGAGTAGCACAGCTAAGGAAAAGGGGAAAAAAATGGCGGACTGCGTTGTTTGGCGACCCCCGTGAAATGGTTGTTCGACCCCAAATGGGGTCCTGACCCACAGGTTGAGAACCACTGCTCTAGAAGTGTTGGAACTACATGGAATTCTTAGACATGCTGGAATTCTTAGACACGATGTCTAATCTGGAGGTGGATCTGGATCACAAAATATATTTCTGATCAGTGAACTTTGTAAGGAAGGGAAGGGAAGAGAAGGGAAGGGAAGGGAAGGGAAGGGAAGGGAAGGAAAGGATCATCATGAACTGCTATTTCTGGACAGCTTACTTGGGGTAATGGATCATCACGGTAAATCCATTCGCTTGACCCAGGTTTGATTGGAGGTGGTTCAATGGTATCAGCAGGCAACATGTCTTCAGGGGAAGATGCCTGTCCTCTTCCTCGTGGAGTTCCTTAAATACAAAGAAAAGAAAAATGCATTTTTATCAGGGAGAAGATGAGAAGAAATGACCTAAGAACCATAGAGAATGGTATCTTTAGACTGGCTTATGGTATAGAAATATTGATGTCTTACTCTCATGGCAAGCTGCCATCATCATTATAAATGCGTTTTCTGGACCAATATTTGGGGACTTTGACTTTGATCATAGTCTTATATGTATATTTATTTATGTAAATATATGCTTATGTTTATGTCTGTATATGAAAAGATCTTGTAAAGTTTCTTGGGAAGGAAAGAAAATGAGATTTGGCCACCCTAGGAAGACTTACTATCTATATACAAGCTTGCACTAAACTTTCTCCTTGGGCTTCTTGCCCTATTAAACATCTTACACCAGGTGTGCCAAACTGGCAGCCCATGGGCCAGATGTGTCATGCACGGGCCAAGTCCACCCCGGCTCTGCAAAGGCAAAAAAGTTGTGATACATCACATGATACAATCGAGTTTAACACCCTTGTCTTAGACCCAGACTTCATTTTTTTCAGGATTCATCTTCTTCTAGACAGTAAGTCTTTGAACAGTTGCAACAAATGAAAAGGTAGAAGTTTTAGACATTTAGCACAATATATGATTAATATGTAGTAGAGTGGGAACTAGTTATTTATGATCCTTTTATGATCCTATCTGGATTTCTCATGCTTCCCATCACATGCTGGCAACCAATTTTACTACTGTTCCATTAGTTCTTGCACTGGAAGGGATTTTTTGGAGATTCTTTGTACTCCTTGTAACTTCTTTGCTCTTGCTTACTAAATTATCACGTCACCTGTTCCCCAAAACATTTTTTTTCAATTTTGGGTCTGAACTTCTGGTCATCTCCCTTGTGCTCAATTACACTTGAGATTCTGATGCAAAAGAATCTGGTTATTGGGCTATTTGACCTAGTCCCTCAATGTCAATGCCAACATATAATAACTGTTTAATTCATATCAAAAAATAACCTGTCATTTATTCATTCAATTAGTATCTTCCTAAATCCAAATGTTTGTATTTGGATGACATAGCGTGACAGATAACAACTTTTAAATAAGTGTGCTACACTTTTTGTTTATACCTCTGGGACATCATCATGAATACAGTATGAGAAGGGGAATACAGTATGAGAAGGGAGAACCACAAGCAAGCTGGAAATATACCTAAATTCTGCCAACTTAATTTTTTCAGTATTGATTTTTCATCTGATTTGTTGACCGTGTAAATATATATTTTAAATATCAGAGGCCTCTATCACAATGTATTAATTCCCATTTCCAGATTTAAAATGCCTACCAGGAAATTCAGTCAGCAAATAGAATACAGTCCTTTACAAATATGTCTGCCAAAGCTACAATTTATTCCATTATCAGCCTGAATTGTTTTCATGCCACATGAAGTTTTCGTGCTAACCATAAATACAGTACAGGTCAATTTTTGCACATTTTGTGCAGGTGAACTAAGTGCATCCAAAGCCCAGTTTTATTTCATCCTACATAAACTGGGATCTCTATTTGAGAGACTATTTTCCAAACCAACATAGAATACTTTTACTCACATCCTAAATTGAAGTCTCACAAAGTACAATAATACTCATTCAGGATTAAAATTAATTTTAAAATTAAAATTAAAATTAAAAATTTTCATTTTTATGAAAAGTATTGTCTTCTCTTTGTCAACTCTATTTTGATTATTCAGTCAAGAATATATTGTAATCAACAAACTTAACAACAAAATTATTCTCACCTGATTTAGCTCCTGATTCTTTTCCTTTGACTGTTTCATCTTTCTTTCCCTTTTTACCTTTAGCAGGTAACTCTGATGGAGTAGTCTCTGTAGACATTTAATATAGATTTGAAATATTTTGAGATATATTACCTTGCTTTTGTTAAGTTAAGATTTTTCTCCTATCTAGTATTTGACTCAAATAAAAGGGAGCTTGGAAATAACTTCCCAAATAAAGAAATATTTTGGCTCATAGTAGTTGGGTTGAATAATACATATTACCAAATCAGTTAAAGGTCTAGCAACTGAATTTTCACAACAAACCCAGATTTCACTGTATTTTGTGAATTCCAATATGGTTTAATTCAATAACCAAACAAGTTGCCTGAACCTAAGCAGTAACTAGTAATTATGATCATTGTTAGTTTCTGCTTTCTCTACCAATTTCATTAGCTCATCAAATCATAAGACAGTGGAAAGGAGAAAACAGTTGAGATGAATGCTGAACAGATGTGGAAATTATTGATCAGGAATAATAACGAAAATCTTTGGCCCATACTTCAAGTGTATTATGGAAATAATGTAACCAATTATTTTTTCTCTATTGCTTCTAGCAATTTGATATGGTAGATGAGGTAAGATAGAGAAAGGCAATATAATAATGATTGGGTTTTCCTGTAATGCCAAGCTATGCCTAATTACAATTTATTATACAAACCATTCTCAAATTATGCTATATACTAAACCAATATTTTAACACTTTTACTGTGTTTGGGGAATTACACAGTTATTTAAATACTTCCCAAACTGGACATGAAACATGTATAAGCAATTGAATTGATTTTTTAAGTCTTGCAGAGTTAAATGTACCCATTAAATCCATTAAGTCAATTCCTAACTCTGTCAATTTTTCCAGGATTGTTTAATACAAAGGTCAAAATTAATGACTCCCAGTATTTGGCTTGCCATAACTGAGTTCCAAAACTCCATACAACTATTAGATGGCAGCAAAGGGATAGAGCTTTCTCTATGCCATCTAGAGGTCAGCCCAAATATAAAAGGTCCATAAAAAAAAGTAAAACACTCCAGTGTTGTGACATTAAAGGCTTTGCCCTCTGGGATGTCAACATGTTTAAGCACATTCCCCAGCTGCAAGGGAGTTTCTTATCCAGTCCAAACTCATAAATCATGTTGTACAAATCACATTGACAGAGTTCACATTTAATTTTTTTAAAAAGTATATGGCATGGGACAATCTATGAGCCCAGAGAGAAAAATTTGTGAGAAAGTCTCTTTCCATTGAGATGACCATTCTTCCCAAGCTAGTACCTAGATCATATTTATAGACTGCCAATTTCTTAACCTTTATTCTAGGTTATGGCCAGGGCTTTTGTTCTCATAGAACGCCCAGAACGCAGTTCCGGCACCTTTTTGGGATGGAACCTTGTAGGGTAGGCAAGGCGGGTTGTATGACGTGTGTGAGTTCTGGCACCTTTTTTTTTTTTTTTAAGAAAAAAAGCACTGGTTATGGCAACTAACTAACACAGCCTTACTTGGAAAGCAAAAAGATTTGGTTTTGCACTGCACTTGTTTATTTCTTACTGCAAAACTATTAATGTATGAAGAGACAATGTTTCTGGATTGTTTCTCAGCTGGCTCATCACAGAGCCTGATACTGATTAGGGCTGAGTGAATGAGTCAAGAGCACCCAATTATTTTCCATGCCTAAGGAAGGACTAGAACCTGAGTATCCCCTCTCCTAGTCTTGCACCTTAACTTCCACACCACATGGCTCCCAGTCTATATACATTACATAACAACATATATCTAATTATAGAAAAGTATTGTCACAAAATTGTCTGTTTGCTTTTATCTTTTGCCACTGGTTATTTATTAATTACATTTATATCCTACTTTTCATCGATCAGCTGAAGACTGCAGGTTCCTAATCAAATTACAAAATATCTCCATTGCTAAAGCTCTATACGGTTGGATGAATGCACATATACACACATCACCGTCCCTCTCATTTGGCATCATGACAATATGATGCTACGGACAGAGCGGGTACATTTGTTCCATGCTGCTCCTGTTTATGGTTCTGTCCCACTGCATCACTATGAAATTTCTCAGGGGGTCTTTTTGCACATTTTCTAGGCCTGGCCTTGGAATTCACCAAGGAAATTAAACCTAAAAGGTGCTTTCTTCTTATCTCCTTATATTGAAAAGAGCTCTGTAAAGCCAGCAACCTGCTTGTAGCTGTACATGGGCAAGAAGGACAGCATACACTATTCAAAAGTGACCATAAAGAAATGGGTGCCAAAAATGGCTTATCCTGGAGCATCAGTTTTTCAATGGAGAGCATGCATGAAGTTCTACCAACCTTTAGTTGCTTTAGTTTCAGGGGATGGAGGTGGATGTGGCGGCTCCTGTGATTCTGGCAATGAGGCTGCTTCCTCCATCTTTTCTATGAATGATTCTTCTGGCAAAAGGAGGATGGCTGCCTTTTGTTTTTCAGCTTCTAACTTTTCCTTTTCTTTTCCTTCAATACAGGAATAGCAGCAAAACACACAAACATACAAACAATATAGCAATAATGTAATGTAATAACTACAATACAATATTTCCTATTACTTTTTCAGTAAATGTCTTGAATATTATTTCCCAGGATTCACATATAGTTACAATGGATAAAGAAAAAAGAAAAATGAATAATGAAAAAAGATAAAAATGAACATAAAAGAAATAAAAACTGTTATGCTTCTATTTAATCTCTTTCTTAATAATATATAAAAGATTAACAAACTGCAAGTTAAAACCGTTAAGGGAATTTGAAAACTTCCAGATGCTGCCGGAACTAGAACTACCAGCAAACCCAGCCAGCTTGGCTAAAGGCATACAGTATGCAATGTTGGGATTGGCATTCCAAGAACTTCTGGGCAGAGACAGATTCCCTACTTCTGCATATTTAAACAGGTTTATCATAAAGTCTACACAGAAGTAGGTTCTACAGCACTCACACTTATTCCCAAGCAAGTGTATATTGGATGACAGCGTTGAGTATCTAAATTAATGTATTCAGGTAGTGATAACTGATTTTAGACTGTTCCATTTTCTTGGAGGTCCAAAACTATTTTCAGAAATAGTTGAGAAGATGAAAGTCCCCATACCTTATCCAGTCTCTTTTCACATCTTCTCTAGAAATCTGCCTAAAGTTATTAAAAGACCATCTTTTTAAATACCTTTATCTTATCAGAGGGAGAAGGTAGGGCAATCTGAGTCTCCTTGAACAAGAGCCATGTCTCCCTTGAGGGAAGGTAAACTGGAAATGTCTGCGATATGCACAAGGATGTGTATATTCTGCCTAGGTTCTTCAGGCTGGTAAGAGAGCTCAACAGACAACAATGCTATTTGTATTTCTGCAATTTTACGATGCATGTGTATTTGTGAAGAAAAAGTCTCAAAAGTAGGCAATAAGAAATTAGAACTCTCCCCATCTCACATTGTTGCTTCCCCAGTATTTAAAAATCTCCCGGGTTACCTTGGAACTTACATCATGATACACAGAATAATTCCAAAAGACATTTTGGGAGAACACTGCACACCTGGGTGGAATGTAATCTAGATTCCTAGGAGGGAGGGGCTGCATTCCAGAGGACCAAGAGAGAGTAAAGTTTAGATTATTTGGTTGTGAGGAAGAGGATCAAGATAGCTCTTCCTTAGAAGTTCTCATGAGTATATCTTTAATGATGCAAGTACAGGTAGTTCTCAACTTACGACTACAACTGAGCCTGAAACTTCTGTTGTTAAGTGAGACATTAGTTAAGTGAGTTTTGCCCCATTTTAAAACATTTCTTGCCTTAGTAGTTGTTAAGTGAATAATTGCAGTTATTAAGTTAGTTATACAGTTGTTAAGTGAATCTGGCTTCCTCATTGACTTTGCTTGTCAAAAGGTCACAAAAAGGTGATCACATGATCCCAGGACACTGCAACCATCATAAATATGAGTCAGTTGCCAAGTATCTGCATTTGATCACACGGCCATGGTTGTTAGTGTGAAAATTGGTCATAGATCACTTTTTTCACTTCTGTTGTAACTTTGAAGGGTCACTAAATGAACTGTTATAAATCAAGAACTACCTATAGTTGCTTTAGTTTGACAAGATTTCTGTCTATAGGTGAGGAACAATAAAGGAAACTGCTCTACGTGTCTTTTTTGGTTTTTGGATACAGACATCACTCCACTAGCTAATGAAAAAGAGAAGATGCAGAGTCAAGAAACAGTCTGCTGCCATTTTCTATTACCTTCTCCTATTGGTATCTTAAGATTTATCACTTTGTTGTTTGTTTCTTATGATTTATGATTTATCACCTTGTTGTTTGTAAGCACAGTGAGAGCCTATGCACCAGAGACAAATTCCTTGTGTGTTCAACTACCCTTGGCCAATAAAGAATACTGTATTCTAATTCTAATTCTAAATTTCTGATAGCACTGTGCATTATTAACTCTTATGTAGAAAAAATGTAACAGGAATTCATTATGCAAAAAAATTGCAGTCAGAACAATTTATAAGTAAAAGATTAAGGAAATTTTGAAGACCACAATTCTTGCATCTTCTGTTTTTGAAGGAAAAAAGATATTCCCACACAGTTCACAGGGATAGGATACTGTGCTGGAAACAAAAAGTATAATATAGGTTGGATGAATGATATTGGTATGGCTAAATATATAGTGTAGTTTTGTCATTACTATAACTGAACAAAAGAATACTGAACCAAAAAATTTGCTATCAGTGGTTCTCACTGAAAAGATTTTAAATAAAAACCTCATAACTGTTAAACTAAAAACAGAATGTTTATTTTTAGAGATTGGCCAGGAAGATTCAACAGTAAATCTATTATATTTATTTAATTTAGTTAATTCCTGAAGACAAATAACTTCACCATCCTACTTCTGGAGTAGCTACAAAATTTGGTCCAGCTGAAATAACTTATTAAAAATGACATTATTTCAATAGGCCAGAATAATTCAATTTGGAATCATCTCATTGATTGTTATTGTTGTATATAAATGTTGGTTAACATTGAGGTTCCTAGCTACCAATGAGTAGAGAACTGATTCTCATTGAATAGGGCAGGATGCATTTTCCATATCATTCATTCTCCATGTCTGAACAAAGATTTGTTTCACAGGGCTCCATTTGTTGTCTCAAGACAATGTGTAGTTTGTTCACACAAAGATATGGTCAGGTGGTGCTTGGCTCAGTGTCTTTGACATCAGATACAGTCTGACATGGTCTCAATCAATACTATTGATTAAGCATCAAACCAGTTTATCATCTTGACTGTAATGTACAGTCATAGCATTTCAGCTAAAGAGGCAGTTTGAACTTACATATCTCTGTTGCATAAACATGGAAACATTTGATGAGTTTCTAAAAATATTTCCTTCTGTTTTTTAATAGACAGTACAAGCAAGAGGAAGGTTTCTTTCATTCTTCCATAATTGTACAGAATATAGTGAAACAAACAATCAAGAATAAAAATGAAGAGTGGTGTTTTTAATTTGCATATAATAATGATTAAGATGAAAACTTAAAATAAAGAAAAAAAATAACATTGATATTAATACTGAGCTCCATCCTTTATGTTAGACCACGTCAAAACATCATCCTGTTTATCTTTTATTTTACAATATAAAGACATTTCACAAATCCACAAAGAACAAGCAAGCAAGATCTCTATTTTGATATGCAACATTATGGGGGCATAAAGAAAAGATTAAGGGAAAAGAAACTGTATTTGGCAGTAATTAATGCTTACTTTATCTAATGTAAGGGGTGGTATGGTGACTCAGCAGTTCAGATGCTGGGCTTTTTGGCTGGAAAACCAGCAGCCCAGGTTCAAGATCTGAGTGCCATGCGATGGGATGAGCTCCTGTTACTTTTCCCAACTCCTGCCAACCTAGCAGTTCAAAAGCATGCAAATGTGAGTAGATAAATAGGTATCACTTCGTTGGGAAGATAATAGCGCTCCATGACATGCTGGCCACATGACTGCGGAAATGTCTTCAGACAGTGCTGGTTCAATGGCCTTGAAACAGAGATGAGCACAGCCCCTTGTAGTTGGCAATGACTAGCGGAGTAAAATCCACAGGGACTCTTTTACCTTTTTATTTATCTAATGTAAAGTAATATTTCATACCTTTAGCTTGGATCTTGATGAGTTCTCCTGTTATAATTTCTTTTATCCTTTGACACATAAGACCTTCCTCAATATCTGCAGTGACTTTTGTAAGTATATTTTGCTGTTCAGAATACCAAGTTTCCAACGGAGGCCAAGTATCCAGGAAACCTGTAATTCTACATAATAAAATATCAAAAGCAAGTTCACAAATACTGAAATGATGGTCATAATCCAAATAAAAAGGAATGACTACAATCAACATCTAAAGATGCCTACCAGCTATGTTGAGAATTGGGTATGCTGTAATAAGTCTAGTTTAATAAAAAGGACTAGGGGATGACACGATAGTAGTATTCCAATATCTAAGGGGCTGCCACAAAGAAGAGGGAGGTCAACCTATTCTCCAAAGGACCTGAAGGCAGGACAAGAAGCAATGGATGGAAGCTAATCAAGGAGAGAAGCAACCTAGTACTAAGGAGAAATTTCCTGACAGTTGGAACAATTAATCAGTGGAACAACTTGCTTCCAGAAGTTGTGGATGCTCCAAACTGGAGGTTTTAAAGAAGAGATTGGACAATGATTTGTCTGAAATGGTATAGGGTTTCCTGCCTGAACAGGGGATTGGACTACAAGACTTCCAAAGTCCCTTCTGACTCTGTTATTCTGTTATTCTAAGATATTGACGTAGTTTTTTGATATTATCTATTTACATTTATTGGCTGGCTCAAAAAAAGTCAATGTTCAGCCATATTATTTCTTCTATGGGCACAAAGTGAAAACCCCGCATTTTGTTATGAGACTTACATCTAGGTAAGCTTTTCTGTATTTTTTAGTTCTTGCTGCGTCTCCCAACCCAAAATGCAACTAACCTGTGCTGCATCTGACCCCACACTGATTTTAATTCCTCTCTTTGCTGGATTTCTGTTCCTAAAATATGAGCAGTAGTTTTGTGTTCTCTTTCATAGGAGTCAGCTGTTGGATTAAAAAAAAAGAATAACCTTTTGAAACATGTTTCTATGGCCATATGATTTAAAGAAACAAAGATTAATCACATACTTTTAATAGTGTCTGATATTTATAATACCCATAGTGATGGGCATGCCAACATTGGACTGTTTGGGGGGTTTAGGTGAAGACATACAGAAACTCAAACTGTAGTGGTCTTCTCTACTAGAAAATGACGTGAAAATCAACTTGGTTGTATGTGGAAGTATTTCTATAGTATGCAGAATTGTTTAAAAATGCATAAAAATGCAAATTAGGATATGACTTTTTCCCATTCTGGGTAGATTAACACTGTTACTTGTAACTACAAATGCCTTATAGGAGGCAAAATTATTTTGGGGAGCAAATATAACAATACACTGTAGTAATAGGTGTGTAGGCTTCCAGACTATAAAAAAACCACAGTCCTCTCTAACAAGCCCCATCCTAGTTTCAGTTTCTTGATGGACACTCTACAGCATGCATGGATAGCAAGAGATATATCATTCTTTCCTAAAATGCTCTAGTGCAAGGAACTACCAGGACCTGAGGTGGAACAGTAATTGAGGATCAAGAGCAAAGGATCAGCAAGTTTGTAGAAGTAAAAAGGAAGCAAAAAGAAAAGAGACAAATTGATCTCCTTCCCAGCTTCACCAAAATACTTGTGCATCAACAGACTATTGTATAATAAAAGTGCTTCTCCATTAATAACCACTCATACAGCAACTGTTCAGCTCTTCTGTGATCACCTGATCATGATCGGGATGGTTGGCAACTAGCCCACATTTGCAAAGTCCTACAGTCACATGACTGGAATTTGCAATCTTTTCTGCCAACTTCCCACAAAAAATGAGGAAGCAGCAGGAAGTTGGACATTGCGGTCACATGAGGTCCTTGCTTAGCAACCCACAGAGTTCTTGCTTAACAATGGTAACCAGAGATTCCCAGAGCTGCCATCACTAAGCAGATTGGTTACATGATGTTGTGCTTTAAAACCACATTGCTTAGTGATGGAAATTCAGGTCCTAATTACCCATCACTAATTGAAGACTATAGGTTATGATGTCAATCTCTCAATAAATTTTCCCCCTTGCTGCGTGCTTTAAATATGAACTTACCCTTCTCCTTTGCTACCCGATTCATCACAATGGAGTCTGTAACATCTAACAAAATAGCAAAGTCAAGACCAGGTGGATGCACAGGGGGCTCTTTTGGAGCTGCAGGGTCTATAACCAGTGTGGGCTTTTTCAAGTTTATTATATTAGTTTCTGTCTGGTCTGGATCTCGTCCGGTCAATGCTTTTTCAAGCAGTTTAGCCTGATTCAGTGTCATTGGGAATCCATCCATGATCCAACCCTTTTCTGGCTGTAGCCGACTAAATCAAAAAAGGGAGGGAGGGAGGGAGGGAGGGAACAATCAATAGATCAAGACCAAAAATGAAATAAATTTGGAAGAAATTATTAAACTCTAACTAAAACAACATCCTTTGAAATTTGCCCCTTCTTCCAATGCTACATTTAAAATTTCTATTTTGGAATTCTGATACATCAAAAGCATAGATCCTGAGAGTAAACCCGCTTGGGTAATCTTTCCACAGTTGGTGCTCTTCAAATGAGTTAAAATTAAGAGCTTTTCTCCACTTTTATCAACCTGTGACAAAAACATGCCCCCCAAAACATTTTTCTTTTGTGTCTTCAAAATACTCCCACATGACACCTGAGGCAGTGTTGTCTTTGCTTACACTGGCATTATATTAATATTTTCTTCCTTTTCCTGAGAAACTTTGTTATGTCACAACCTGGTGCTCTTCACTTTAATCAGTGATATAATGAGGTCACCAGTAGAAGGCAGGTGGGCCAGTCTTCTCCCCTCCAGTACCTGGGCACTGGCTTCAAGGGACTTTATTATTTCCCAAATTTAATTCTTTCAAAATGGGCTTTCCACAGTACTAGAATGGGGGGGGGAGACAACAGCTAATTGGTGTTGTCAGGATGGGTGTGCTGCACAATGAAACTGGGAGAGAAAGGGTGGGAAGTGAATGTCCAGTTGAATGAAATACCTGCATGCCACAAATACGACTAAACTTGGTAGAATGCAAAAAGCAAGAAAGCAGATGAGTATCTCTGGGGCAAATATATCAATACTGAAGTACTGTACATTGAATCCTATTGTGATTCGCCTCCTGCTGGAAGTATATATTGAGTTGCTTTGCAATGAAATTCTTATAGGAGCTGATTGTGTCAAAATAACACTGCATTCTGCAAGTAACAAGACTATTGCAGTGTACTAAAATTTTTGGAACTTGTAGAGACTGACATATCTCTGCCTCAATAAATAAAGAAGAACAGGGCCAAGTATTTAGGGAAACTATATTTGACTGAAAAGCTACATTTGACTTTGAGAGTCAAAACCCAGGCAAATCAAGATTAGAAACACTTCATAAAATAATCCTTTCAGCCTACATAATCACAATAATTTAACTTGTCTAAATAATTATTGTCTAATAATTTCATCAAAATCATTTAAATTGTGTAAACATTAAAGGAGAGCTGGTCTGATGTAGTAGTCGTAAAACTACAACTAGGTTTCTAGGTTTCAGCCTAGAAACCAGGAAACTGTGAATTCTAGTCCTGCCATAGTGTGAAGCCAGCTGGGTGACTTAGGACTAGTCTCTCTCTAATTGGATTAGAAGACCTTGGAGGTCCCTTCCAGCCCAATGATTCTATGTTCTCTCTCTCATCTTTAGGAGGCAGCCACAGGCAAGTTACCTCTGAAAATATTGCCAAGAAAACTGCAGGGACTCCTCCAGGAAGTAGCCAAAAGTTAAGACTGATTCAAAGGCACAAAAACTAAAACTGAATTAATGATTGTAAGGACTACAATATATTAGACCCCGCTTACAAACTTGCTCAAGGTAAATAAAACAAATCTAAAATGAAAATGTAGGAAACATAACATTACAGGTAGTCTTCGCTTAATGACTCGTTACTTAGCACCCATTTGAAATCAGTGGGCCTCCCCAGAGCTGTTTATCACCTGGTTCCAGAACCTATACACAGGAACACCAGTCATGGGACGGTAGTTTGGATGCTTGGCAACCATTTCAGTTTTATGGCTGTTTGCAGCATCCTACAGTCACGTTATTTTTGACAGATTGTCAGTTTCTGCTGTTTATTTTTATTTCCCAGCAAAAAACGCCCATTGAAGAAAATGGGTTTGCTTTAAGGACTGCAGCATTCACTTAGCGACCACCATAAAAATCATAAAATTGGGCACAGTTGCATGGTAACCCGCTTAGCAACCACGACTTATGACTGTAATTCCAGACACAATTACGTTCTAAGTGCACCATTTGTTATTTGAACCAAGCACTGTTTTGTTTGTTTCATCTTGCAGAAATGTGGATATATTTTCCTTATATGCCATTTCAGAACCACAAAGCTCTGAAAGCTAGACCATGAATATAAACTTAATGTTATGATTAGTATTTCCTGTCTGGGTAAACAAGCTCTTATTCTGTTTAACAGGAGACTATTTCAAGACTAATTTAGGTATCTTTACATTGACAAAATCTGACTCTACCATTACATTAAAAGTTAAGCAGACACCTATGTCATACCTAATAGCTTCCACCATGATGCCAACTAGTAATTCATCTGGAATCTTTTTTCCTTTCTTTAACAATGTCTCTGCTCCTGCACCAAGCTGAGCACGAATAGAAAGCTGTGGAATTTTTGAGAGACATTTAAAAAGACATTCAAGTTGAGTAAAAACACAATCTTTTCCCACATGTGCGCATTTCTTTATTAAACTTAAATCCCACCCTTCTGCTTAAAACAATAAAAATGATTTTTTAAAAATGAAATGTGCACTATGGGATGCAGAATTCTAATTAGAACATAAGAACAAATCATTCAGAAAGACATCACTAACTGGAATTCTTATTTTAATATGGAGAGAAAATAATTGACTTATTTTGAATAGTTTAATGTTGCTACAACTTTTTAAACATTATTACACGCTTATATAGTCATCTTTTTTAAAACTACCAAAACTTAATTATATAAATACATTAATAAAAGATTTTAAAAAGTAAAACAAAATAAAACTAACAGTTTAAAAATAATTAAGCAGAAATTAGAGGATTCTGCCAAACTAAGGAAAGACCTAGCAGCATAAAGAAATTTCCAATTTTGGGTGAAACCAATCCTCAGCAAGGAGCTACTTTATTTCTGAAAGAGGTTTAATCAGAGCAAAAAAAACATTATCTTCCTGATATTGAATATCAGAAAATTGTGCTGTAATCAGTACAGCCTCTTATGTTTGAGATAAACACTCAGTAGGCCTCTGTGGAAATAAGTTGTTTCCTAGATAATTCATCATTACTAAGTGGTCAATTATTAAATGATATCTTGATTTTAAAACATGTTTTCAGTTTTTCTTTAATAGCCCAAATAGGAAGTGAGGGCTGATTCAAATTCTAGGATGTTGAAGAAGCAAGGTTTAACCTTTTGCCGCGGTCTCAATGTCAGTCAGATCCTTATTCAGTAAGCACTTCCTATTTGCAGTAGGAATGAAACTTCTACAATACTCTATAGAAAGATATTGGAAACTATTCTTCATGGCCAAAAAAATTAGAATCAGAAGTAAAGAGTATGAACTGCAATCACACAGTGTCTGTTTAAGTCAGTGGTTCTCAACCCGTGCGTCGGGACCCCATTTGGGGTCGAACGACCATTTCACGGGGGTCGCCAAACAACGGAGTCCGCCATTTTTTCCCCCTTTTCCTTAGCTGTGCTACTCCCTTTTATTCTATTGGCTTTTGAAAGCCAATAGAATAGACTCTCTTGAATAGAGTCTGATTCTATTGGCTTTCAAAAGCCAATAGGAATTGTCCAGGCTGTCTCTGCCCTGCTGAGCCCGCCAAAAGTCCCATTCTGCAAACGGTGCTGCACCAGTTGAGTAGTCCTCGACTTACGACCGGTTGAGCAGCCCTCGACTTACGACCGGTTGGGGGGTCGCGGCATTAAAAAGATTGAGAACCACTGGTTTAAGTATAAAGAAAAAATTCTTGTCAGTAAGAATTATATAGCATTAGAAAAGTCTACTACAGGGACTGTGATCTCTACCTTTCTAAAGGTTTTTAAGAAGATGCTGAACAGTCACTTCTCAAGGATAGTTTTAATTGGTTTCTGGCATGTAGAGTAGGGGTATCAAACTCACAACATCACGTGATGTGCATGACATATCGCAACTTTTTTTCCATTGCCGGCCCACGGGCCAGCAGTTTGACACCCCTGTGTTAGAGGGTTGGCTAATGACTCTTCTATTCTCATCCACATCTATGGTTCTATGACTCTATGTACTGACCAGACTCATTGGAAAAGACCCTAATGTTGGGAAAGATTGAAAGCAAAAGGACAAGGGGATGGCAGAGGATGACATGGTTAGATAGTATCACTGATGCAGTGGGCATAAGTTTGGGCAGACTCAGGGAACAGTGGAGGATGGGGGGGGGGCTGGCATGCTAGGGTCCATGACTGAACCAAAACATATACAGAACAAAACACTGCAAATGATAAAGCTCCCAGATCCAGAAGACCCTAAAACTCAAAGGGATTTAGTTTTGCCAGAGTTCTGTTGTTCCCCATGCAGACATCCAGACTTCAGATTCCAAGACTGGATATCAAAACCTTTATGACGTTTATGAGGGGTAGAGATATATAATTGAGTTTCACCAGCATATTGATGATGCCTCACCCCATGGTGACAGGTTATCTCTCCCATTGGATTCATGTAGATGTTAAATAGGAGTGAAGAAAGTAGCAAATCCTCTTCAAATGAAGGGTACAAAGGCATCCAGTCTAGGCATTACCTTTGCCTTGGCCATTAGAGTCTTTACTGACTCACAATTGTTCTCCAACTTTGCCCCCTTGGCTTGGCTTCTAGCTCTCCCTTAAGGATTACTTATAGCTCAGTTCAGACTCTCTTCAAAAACATACATGGACCATGTTCAAGCATAAACTGCAGTCAAAAGAGTTATTTAGATTCAAAGAAATTGCACTAATCAATTAATGTTCTTCCCTTAGCTCTGAACAACTACTTTCTAAAAGTTAGCTAACTGATATTAGGTGCTGCTGTTTCAGGAAAGCATATAAGACATTTCAAATTATTTTGGATGCTGAAGCAATGAAATGTTTTTTTAAAAAAACCTCATGAAACTAAACAATGAATGAACTGTACAACTTTTCCCCACCTGATTGCCTCCCATGCTAGCACTTTCAATTCCAAACACACAGGGAGAAAACCAGGATGGGGAAAACTGACCTGAAGAAATGAAACATACATTTTTCAAAATATAGAAGGACTCCAAAAACCTAGCTATGCTGAGTTTAGCTTCTGAAAAACCCCAGTGATAATTAAAAAAGGTGGAATAGTTGCATAGGTATAAAATATGTTTTCTTCAGTTTGGTCAACAAATCCAATCACACCTACATATATGTATATAATATCCACACACGTATAAAATTGTCTGTGGCTTATAGCATCAAAACGTTCTTTCCCATTTTTAGTTGATACAACTTTCTAAGTTGGAAAGTATTGTTTCTATTCCATTTTCTGGAACAAGAAAAATAAATTGTATATTGATTGATGTCTATTTTATACCTTATAACTTTCAGACTTTTGTCAGAAACAACCTTAATAATTAAATATAACAGAAGTTAAAATCCAGTTCATACTTTGGTTAATTCATCCTCATTCTCACTTATCTCCATTTGGTCAACCATCACAGCAGAGCTTGGTTTCTCAATAATTTCTAGGAACAGTAAAATACCAAAAAGCAAAACAATTAGGATTTGGATATTAACATTAATTCCTAGTGCATGGTCTACCACTCTCTGTGCCAAACACATCTTGAAAACTGATTTATCATCAAGTATGGCATTTTTAAAGAAACATAATAAAATTTAATACTAAGATGTACAAAAAAGTTTATACATGTATAACATGAACTGAAATAAATGGATTACTGATGAATTTCTAAGTTCTGTCTGTTCACTGTTCCTTTCACTGTCTTTGTATCCAGCTTCCAAGAATTGTGGTATAACCAACATTTCTCAGTTTGATTCCTAAATTTCATCATGGTTACAGCTTTCAGATTAGCTATAACTCTTCTCATTCCATCCCATTATTATCATGATCAAGTTCACATTATTTAGCATCTGATCAAACTGATGGCCAGTTTGGTATAGAGGTTAAGCCATCAGGCTAGAAACCAGAAAACTGTAAGGTCTAGTCCTGCCTTAGACATGAAAGCTGGCTGACTTTCAGCCAATCACCAGGAGACTGAGAGTTCTAGCCTTGCCTTGGGCGTGAAAGCCAGCTGGGTGACTTTGGGCCAGTCACTCTCATTCAGCCCTACTTAATTCATTTCCATAGACCAGTGGTTCTCAACCTGTGGGTCGGGACCCCATTTGGGGTCGAACGACCATTTCACGGGGGTCGTCAAACAATGCAGTCCGCCATTTTTTTCCCCTTTTCCTTAGCTGTGCTACTCCCTTTTATTCTATTGGCTTTTAAAAGCCAATAGAATAGACTCTCTTGAATAGAGTCTAATTCTATTGGCTTTTAAAAGCCAATAGGAATTGTCCAGGCTATCTCTGCCCTGCTGAGCCCGCCAAAAGTCCCATTCTGTAAACCGTGCTGCACCAGTTGAGTAGTCCTCGACTTACGACCGGTTGAGTAGTCCTCGACTTACGAGGCATTAAAAAGGTTGAGAACCACTGCCATAGACGAACACTTTGTTGATTTGAAAAAGTGGATCCTGCCCTTGCAGGAAAAACATTAGAGAGAGAAAAAAATAGCATCTTATCACTGCATGTGAACTAAATGAATAAACCAAAACCATATCAACAATGTTTTTAATTCCAGTGTGCATGTTTATATCAGTAATATAGAAACAGAAAAAAGCAGGAGAGCTAAAATAAAATACAGCTTTGCCAAAATGGAAAAACATATAAATAATTTTAAATTTAAAACTTTTTCTTCCAATGCAGAGAGAATGAGTATAAGCAGTTTGGAAGAACCAAACCTTCATACCATGAACATTGGCCATGCTTAATGATACCATCTCCACACACATCATGTGCCAAGCAGTGCAAAATTCTGCTCCTGAAAGACTTATAAGTTGTAGTTTTGTAAAGGACTTTGATGGTAAGAATCATTGCCCCAGCATTTTGCCAAACTTGTTGAAATTATTTGAGATCAGGCTTTGTATTAATGTCTTTTAAAACTTTAAAAATTAAAGTTTTACAAAGTGATATATGTGGCAGCTTTACAGTAACAGAACTGTTGCAAAAACTTACAAATCCATATAAATTTTTCACAAATCCTGTTGTAAGGAGAAGGACCAAATGGACATAAAGAATGAAAAAAATGAATTAATGCTGCAAACCTGGGATACTTTGCTGTATCTGCAACCACTATGTGGTGGCAACAAATTACAATATTTTGGAGCTCTATGCTACCCTCCGGGGTGACCTGAATTTTTGCAACCCTGACTTGGCAGTTTTGGCAAAGTAAGAGTTTTATGTTTTGGCCATCTCATTTTAAGCCTGGTGTGGATGAACATTAAAATCCAACATCAGATTTTTATTTAAGGATTTACCTTTGCGCTCCTCTGAAATTTCTGTGTTCTGTTCTGCTGACTCATAAGTTTTCAATACTATCAGTGAAGCCTTAGAAGCCTCTTTCAGAACCTTTTCAAATAAGCAGGCAAAGAAATCATTAGCCATTTTTTTTTCTATTTGCAAAACACTGGTAAATTTTGGAAAACAGTTTTGTACAAATCAGCACTGAACAGCGTAGAACTCAACAAGAATCCAGTGAAAGAACATTATTAATACATTTTGATATGATGTAGTATTGACACAATGGGTGGGTTTCTGTTTGGATTGAGCAAGAGCTGTTAACCCTAGTTTGTTGGGAAAGTACAATTTATTTATCAGTGTATTGGATTAATCCCCTTCCTGTCTGTCAATTTGATAAACAATTGTTAGTTATATATCCTAATGACTAGATTCAGACATTCAGGGGTTGCCATGAATCTAGCAGCTATGGCTGATAAGCCAGGGTTTATTGCTTAAAAAAACAATGCCTTAACATGTTGCTTAAAAAAACAATGCCTTAACATGAAGCCATCCCTCCTGCTGGATAATGAGATTTGTATTGTTTTCCAGTTTCAAAGAGAATTCATGACATTGCTTTTTCTCCCAATGAAAACCAACAGTATGCAACCAATTGATCAGACACCTTCAGTTCTCGATTCAGAAAAGGACAAAGACTCACAAGTTTAGAGGGGGATGTAAAAGATAAGCACAAACAAAATGGCAATGGATAACGTGTGTATATTCTTGTGAGCTACACGTTTTTATTAAATTTATAAGGCCACTCGATTCCTTCATGACTCTGGATGGCATATAGCAGAGGTAGGCAACCTTGGCTCTTTTATGACTCGTGGACGTCAACTCGTGGACTTCAACATGGCTGGCTCAGGAATTCTGGGAGTTGAAGTCCACAAGTCATAAAAGAGCCAAGGTTGCCTACCCCTGGCATATAGTATGCAAACTATTTAAAATATTTAAGCCCTTTTCTGGATAGGAAGCGTCTCTACTTGATCGCTCATGCTTTGGTCATCTCCCGTTTGGACGATTGCAATATGCTCTATGCAAGACTACGCTTGAAAAGTATCCAGAACCTTCAACCAGTACAAAATGCGGCCTCATGGGCAAACTTGGGAGCCCAAAGAATGGTGCACATAACACCTCTGCTGTGTGAGCTGCATTGGGTGCTGCTCTGCTTCCGGGTCCAATTCAAGGTGTTGTTTATGACCTTTAAATCCCTACATAGTATGGGGATTTAATGCTACAGAACCGTTTTCATCGCATTGTATCAGCCCATCCCACTCCATCAGGCAGGGAAGATATATTGTGGATCATGTTAGCTAAAGAATTCCAACAAGCAGGGTCCAGGAAAAAAGCTTTCTCTGCTATTGCCCCCCACCATGAGCCGGGCCTCTATCTTGGCCTTCCACAAAGGACAAAAATATACTCTATGTCCTTGTTTAGGGTGAACTATCTCTCAGTCAATTAGGCTCTAAGACTAGATAATGACTTGATGGCACATAATTAATGTCATAAAGACTTCATTTTATTTGTTTGTTTGTTTATTTGTATCACATCTTTATTATTTTTACCAATAACTCAAGGCAGGGATCATATTCAACAACTCTCCTCTTCCTATTTTCCCTACAACAACAACCCTGTGAGGTAGGTTAGGCTGAGAGAGAGTGACTGGCTCAAGGTCATCCTGCTGGCTTTATGGTTACGACAGGAGCTGAATTCTCCTGCTTTCTAGCTTGGTGCCTTAACCTCTAAGACCAAACTGGGTGATTACCAGCACCTTGAATTGTAAAGGGGCAGCCCCATTTGTAGGATTTTGCAATAGTCTAGCTACAAGATGACCAAAGCACGAGTGATTAGCCTAATAATCAAAGTATTGGATCATTAGATGAATTTGTGTGAATTCCTTTCTGGCTACAGTTGCCATCTACCTCCTTGAGCAACAGCTGTGAGTCCAAGAAGACTTCCAGTTACACCCAAATCCTGAAGTGGGACTTAAGAGTAACATCCCTAAAACTGGATAATTCAAATAACCACAGGTATTCATCTTGTCACTGAACCATTAGAAAAGAGTATTATTTTCAATATATGAATAACAACTAAAACAAAAAAGCTGTTTCAGGCAGTGGAATTCAAACAGAGTTATTCTTACAAGGCACAATGAAAAATTGAGATGTACTCTATGAAGTTCTCCTGAGCAAACCTTACTGAAAATTATGGCAGCACGTACAAATAAACAGAGACTTTTACCCTCAATCAACAGTTTATGGATATATTTGGAAGAGGAAGGACATAATTTGAAAGTTTTATTTTAATATCAATTGTTAAAGTCTATTTGGTTTGGTCAAACAGAGCACACAGTCCTTGGAAGCACAATTTCAGTTTACCATTCCATACCAGGTTTTACTTACATGTAGTTGATTCAAGGAAGAGTCTTCTATTGTGGCTGGAAATAGGCTTTCAATCGCCATTTCATTTTCATGGAAGGATTTAATTGCCTCTGCAATCAATGCATCCAGAGATAGGACCTGGATATTAAAAACTGACACAGAGAGAACCAGGTTGTAATGGGCTTACATTTTATGCCATCATAAAAACAGATCGTAGAGGGAAATGCAACCAGAGGAATGTTTTTCTATGTATCTTTATGAAAATGACAGAAAGAATTTTCACTACTGTACTGCTCTTTATAGAACCAAAACCAAATTTTGGAAACCATGAGGATTGATGAAGTACATCATTCATGCCCAGGGAACATATACTTCCTGGCTTTGCTACAAAGAGCCATGAAATAGATAAGAAAAAGGCCCTTTTGTGGATTTGGGAAAACTCCAGTCAGTTAGAATCAAAATACTTATGGCACATGATATAAGAAGCTTAATAAGGAACTTTGCCTTCCAAGATTTAGGGATTTGAAGACACATCCTTAGGCATTTCAAAATTAGTTGCTGGGCAAGATAGTATCTCCTTTCAGAATATTTCATTGATTTATCCAATTGTTTGCTAATTCCATTTTAATTACTCCCAAGTAATTATGGAAGTTGAAACTCAAATACTTTGGCCACCTAATGAGAAGGAAGGACTCACTGGAGAAGGGCCTAATGCTGGGAAAGATTGAGGGCAATAGAAGAAGGGGACGACAGAGAATGAGATGGCTGGATGGAGTCACTGAAGCAGTAGGTGTGACTTAAATGGACTCCAGAAGATGGTAGAGGACAGGAAGACCTGGAGGAACGTTGTCCATGGGGTCGCGATGGGTCGGACACGACTTCGCAATTAACAACAACAAAGTAATTATGGAACTTCATTGATGCGTATGTATAAATAAATACTGATATTGTTTGTTCTGCAAGCTTTTAGGCTTAATTGACAGTACTGTTTTCTAAACAAGATAGTACCTAAGAAGTCACAAATAGTTATTGGCATAATTTAATATGATTGTAATCTTGAGGGGAAAGGGGTCATTTAGGTCATCCAAGCCCCTGCCCAGAGTAGGATTTAAATATTCTTAGCACATAATTAACTTCTGGTTGTCTGCAGTACTGATTCCATTGTTTAGCTGTTCTTGCTTTTTTTAATAACATTAAATCAGAATCCATCTTCTTTAGCTTAAATCTAGTGCTCTGTATCCTATAAGCTGGAACTATAAAGAGCAGGTGTTGATTAAGAAGCTCAAACAAAGTAGAACAATTACTTCCTGTCTATTCAATGACATCCAAGATGGGTGTCAAAACACCAAAATGATAGTTAATACAGAGCAATGAAGGTTCTGTCCCTTTTCAATATGCATTGCTGATTTTAACCCTCCCCTGCATCATTTATAAATTCTTCTGGTGCAGTCTAAAATGGCATTTTCATAGCAATATTACAAGCTGATTCTTTATCAGCTTCTAAATCTAGACATTTTTAACAAATATTAACAATTCTGTGTGTGTTTGTGTGTACAGGTATACAGTATGCATATACATTACCCACATTCTCTTATATGCACGTCGGTAAGATACAGCTGGTTTCTTAACACTGCACCTTTTTCTTTTAAACTTTATTGTTATTCTCAGCCATTTGTCTAATAATATTGTTTGCATTTTTTCTTTCGGAGATTAAGCTCTTTGATAAAGATTCCTTCCACATCTTCATCTAAATTATTAGACAGAAGAATGTATTGTCTAGAATTAAACCTTGTAAACTATTTGAGACTTCCTCCAGCTTGATGGGGAACTCTTGATGAACTCTCTTCACATATAATTTTTGAGCTAGGTAGGTCCCCACTTAAGTCTTGTGACTCTCATATACCAGAAAGTCTTTGGGGATTGATGCTTTTTTATTGATTGATTCACTGGATTTATATGCTACTCCTCTCACCAATAAGATGACTCTAGAGTATATCCTTTCCCTGCAGTATATAACTGTTGCAAGGATTATTTTCCTTGGTGAGTTAATAACTAGGGTGTTGATTGTTATTGAATATTTGGGTCTGAATTCTATTTTGTTTTTGTTGTGCTACTCTGAGCCTTTTCAGAACTGAGTGTGACACAAATCACAGAAACATACAACTGTTTTTCTTGGTGCATAAAAATCGGTATGATCTGCATTAGATTCTTCCTTGATATCTAGATAAGTTTGATTGGTCTCTAATTCTACTAAGTATCTACTTTCTGCTCTTTCTGGCACTTTGTCAGTTTCCCAAAGATTTCCTAAAGGAACTATATAAAGGTTCAGCCACTCCACCAGTTCCCTAGAATATGGAAACTTAAACTCATCCAAAATCAAGACATATTCCTTGACCATGTTACTATGAACCTTAACTTTCAATCCTACTCCATTATTTTACTGATCACAACCACTGTGTCTGAAAAAGTGTGAGAATGGATTCCTCCTCCCTTCAATTTTGATCTACTCAACAATAGGCATGCAGCCCTCCATAAACTGAAGAAACACATTACTCAGGGGGAGGGAACCTTCTGTCCCACAGACAGTACAAAAGACATCAAGAGGAGAATAAATTATAGGGAAAATAGAAATCCACCCTACCTTTTTCTAAGAAGTTTAAGCAGGTGGTTTTTCCACTATAGGGCTTTCCCAAAATGCAACCTTTCATAGGAAATGGAGAAAATATAGATGGTGGTGGTTCAGGTTCTGGGGGATGTACTAGTTCCATCAATCTGTGAATCACATGACCCAATATTACATTATCAGGAGGTGGTTTATTTATTCTGATCTCTTCAGGAGGGTACCACTCCTCAATCATAGCCTGTAGTAAGAGAAACCACAAAATAAAATGGAACATTTTACATCCATCCAGGCTGCTGGAAAAAGGATTGAAACACAATCCTATGGGTGTTTACTTAGCAGTAAATTCCATTGAGCTGTATAAGATATTCTCTGAACAAAGGAAAAGGCTACAGCAAGTTATTTCATTTAAGATTCACAAGGCTTACAGCCATTAATAAAAATGGACCTTCCCCAACCTGGTACTGTCCAGATATCCAGTTACCCAGACTCCTATTCCCATAATTCCAAAGGCTATATCAGAGGTCCCCAACCTTTTGGGCAGAGAGACTGGTTACATGGAGAGAGGTTTTTCCGTGGACTGGAGGAGGTGTGGATTTGTATGCTGCCTGCATCTTGCAGATGGGGCTTTCCTTGTTTGTGCAGACCGGTTGCTGATATGCTGTGGCCCAATACTAGTCCACAGACCGGGGGTTGGGGACCCCTGGGCTCTGTAGACTGGTAATTTTAGAAATCATGTCCAAACACATCTATTGGGTTTCAGTTATAAGAAACTCTCTGGAAGATCATGAGCCACTGTATTATGTATATTATATGCAAAACTTATGACCATGGCTTAATATTTTTCATCACTAACAAAAGAAGTTAAATAGGCTTTGCTCATGTAATAAATTTCACCTGCTCACTTAAACCACAATAACTTAAGTTTCACTAGGAATTCTATCTTAATGACATAAATGACTTTCTTCCTCCTGTTATTACTAGCAAACTTGCTTTTGATTTCAGTGGTACTATAGGTGTATTATGATGTAATCAACACTTCTCAAACTCATGTTCTCCAGTTGTGTTGACCATTCTTACTGAGAATTAAAGAAGCTGCAGTTCACCACATATGGAAGTTATGAAGTTAAGGAAGGCTGCCATAAATAAGCCACTTGAAAACAAACCACATTGAAGCAGATTGTTCTTACTACTATTAATAATAAAGGTCCATGTGATTTGTTGTTAGTATCAGTTGGAGACATGAAGATCTTTTCCTTCTTCTCAATACGACTAGAAAGCTTGATCTTTTTTGTTTTAAATTTTAACTTAATTTTGCTTTTGAACTTCAAAGATGACATAATTTATTCTTGGCTATTAACTTGGATCTCAATTTACTAGGATTGGCTTATATTGTTAATATGAAAATTTTGTGAATAGGCTTGAAATTGGAAGAAGAACAAAGAAAGATCCAATTTCCCTGAATTCTCACTCCTGTTTTGCAGCAGAAAAGGAAACTGATGAAATTTACTTTTTTTGCTTTATGAATGGCAGTATCCTATAAGCAGAACTCTGTTCAATGGTTCGGGTACTGGATATATGCCCAGGCATTTTCATTCAAAATCTCAAAGCATGAAATATTTGAATTTAGCTGCATTATACAATGCAAATGAATTATCTTTTCCCATGTCTAAACAAAATAAAACACCCACTAATGTTTCAATTTTACTAGCAAAAGTAAATAGTTTTCTCAGCCAAAGACTGTGTTTTGGGAAATGATATTACAAAAAAAACTAAGATATATTGCAGCCTGCATTGTCAGATTTTCGCTGAGCATGGATGTTGAGAAAAACAATCATTTGCAGACTGTATTTACTCTGCCAGCACAATTGAAACTTTTTGACAAAATAGATTTTCTCTTGTTCCAAGATCCCGTGTGCTTTTTTTAAATCTCTGGCCAGGGGACTTGCCAGGCCTAATTTCTGAAGATACGTGGGAAGTGAAGAAACAGAAGATGGAAAGACTTGTAAAGACAGCCTTGGTGGAGATATGCAAGCCTCTTTTGCCTAGGCAACAGCACCTGAATACCTCTATCAAATATATCTTCCTTCTTTTCTATAAAACTCCAATGCATGAATACAAATCCAAGCACTAAACAGGGTGTAACCAGATATAAATGAGTCAAAAGTGGAATTCACACATCCTTGCCAAAGCAGGATGAATAATTAATCTGATGTTGAGCAGTAATCAATAAAGGCTTATACTTTAATAAATTTCTCTTTGAGATACCTCAAGTCTCTTTGTTGTTTGTACTTTGACAAACCACCTCTGGAATTTTTTTAAAAGGAGGGAGAAGAGCCTATTAACATCTATTAACCTTAATACAGAATAGTTGAAATTCCTTCTGCTATTGTTTGGACATGTCAGAGGCAGTTATCTTAAAATGTGGAGAGAAAGAAAGAGTGAAAACTGGCCTCACCTTAGTGAAGACCTGAAAACAACAAAGGACACACATAGGGGATTAAAAAAAAGTCTCTAAGAAAGAGCGCATACAGGTAATTATAGGCATATTACTTATTACTGGTAGCTCTTTTTAAACTACCACAATTGGGACATGCTACTTGGCTGTAAAATAAAGCAGTTGCTAAGTGAAACATTAAATTTTACTATAGCTTTCCTTTGTTTTGCAGACCTGCAAAGGTCAAAAATCCAAGGAATGGTTGCCAAGTTATTTTTTCATCACCATTGCACTTGAACAGTTGCTAAACAAAGACTACAGGCAGTCCTTGACTTATGACCAAAATTGAGCCCAACATTTCTACTGTTAAGCAAGGCAGTAGTTATGAGTTGTGCCCCATTTTATGATCTTTTTGCCATAGCTGTTGAACAAATCATTGCAGTTAAATGAATCATGTGGTCATTAAGCAAATCTGGCTTCATTCATTGACTTTGCTTGTCAGACTTGGCTAGGAAGGTTACAAATGGCGATCACATGACCTTGGGACCCTACAGATGTCATAAATACATGCCAGTTGCCAAGTGCCCAAATTTTGATCATGTGATCATGGGGACTCTGCAACAGTCATAAATGTGACAACATGTCATAAGTCACTTTTTTCAATACCATTTTGAATGGTCACTAAACAAATGCATATAAGTCAAGGACTACCTGTACTTGTAATTCAATGTTATGGCCACCCAGCGTTTCTTTGGATGAATAGATGGAGGGAAGGATTGGTGGATAAATAGTGTCAGGCAATCTAAAGAACTGAATTTGCTGAAGGATACTAAGAACAATCACCACAGAAGTTCTTTTACATTTATTTAAAATAAAACAAGTTTCACAGTAGCTCCTCAGTGAAGATAACAATACGCTAACAGATAAAAAAGACAAAGTTATTCAACTCCTAGTTTGATTTAGGCTTCTCCAAGGGGAAAAAATGTGTTCAACAAGAAATTGCAAAGAACAGGACCAAAATTTGAGTCTAATAAAATCACGCTCAGGAAATATGTTTTACTTTGAATTAGTTAAATCTCCAAGGTCACTACCAGATACTAGTGGTCTGGAAAAATCTTTCAAAACTTGTAAAATACTGGTGTGGTACCTGATGTTTTTTCTCTCTTCAAACAATAGAAAATGAAAGATCAAATACACAGCTAAAGGTTGAGGATACTTGACTTGGTATTAGTATTTGTGAAAAAGATTTGGTATAGTAATTACAAACTAAATGGTTGCAATTACAAAAAAAGCAGACACAGTTACAGGCAGCGTCAACGAAAGTACAATTTCCAAAATCACAGGAAGAAATAACTACAGATTACTCTGCACTGCTGTTATCCTACATCAAATATTCTATTGAATACTAGGCAGCACATAATTGTTTACTGCACAGAACAAATTAAATTGAGTTGCAATATTAATTATTTTGACTGATGCCACAGTACTACAAAATACATATATAGTATCTGACTTTTTGTTTAGTAACAGAACTAGTTAATTAAAAAACAAAAATATGTCTGGATTTTTGTTGTACATTTCCAAATAATTATTGACGAAATAGATTTAAGTTTTGTGAGTCTGCTTAGCTCTAAGTCAATCTCTGATTCAGGAAAAACATAGTTGGTTGTTACATCCAAAATGGACAGATACATTTTTAATTTTCTCACCAATGTAACAGTAGAAACCAGTTGTAACTTTTTCTCACCATAAAGTAATAAATTCAAACCATATTTGCTAGTTCAAGTGTAAATAGAAATAATGCAGTACTCTAACCAAGTTAGGAAGTGGCTCCAGGTGCAGAGTGGGAAAAAAATCATGGACAAAGGGGCACAACTTGTTATTTCTTACAACTCTTAGCTTGCATAATTAGAAACATGAGCTATGGCTGAGCTCAAACAAACAACCCTCAATTTCATAAATTAGAAATAAGTGCATATCCTTATCTGCTGCTCCAAACCATCTCACATTAGCTTTGATGAAAATATTCTGGGTTCTATTAAGCCACAATTTTCTACTTTATTTAGATAAGGTAGTGTTTCTCAGCCTTGGCAACTTTAAGATATATGGACTTCAACTCCAAGAATTTCCCAGTCAGCTGGTGAATTCTGGGAGTTGAAGTCCACACATCTTAAAGTTGTCAAGGCTGAGAAATATTGAGATAATTAATGTCAATTAACAAACCAAGAGAAGAAGGCATGAAGAGACACGAAGAAGGGAAGGATTATTCAGTAACAATGTTTAAGGTTTCATACATCTAAAAACATTAATCAATGTTGTAAAGCTGTTCAAAACAAACTGTAAGCATGTGATACATTTGCAAACTCACTAAACATCCTCTTGGTTAGGGCTGGGAAAACAGACAGGTAAAGAATTGGAACAATGTCTCCTGAATCAAATTAAGCATTACAGAAGATGCAGCCATACTGTCCTTAGTTCAAGACTGAATACACAACTGAAAATGTAGCAAGCAGCATTTTGGGCTATAAATATATACAATAATATGGCAACAGTTCCCCCTGCCCCCCCCCAAGAAGTTGTGGATGCTCCAACACTGGAAGTTTTTAAGAGATTGGACAACTATAATGATATAGGGATTCCTGCCTGAACGGGAGGGGGGGGTTGGACTAGAAGACCTCCAAGGTCCCTTCCAACTCTGTTATTCTGTTAAAATCAGCTTTTTAAAATGAATACCTATCGTATGAACAGCCTATACTTACATGTGCCATTGAGGGGCAGAAAGACAAGATGGGTCATGTACAATT